ACCTCTGCGTGCGGCAGCAGACCACAAGGAACGAGCCGCACATAAACCCGCGGAGGGCCCCGCGGAGCAGCCCGCAGAAAGAGCCCGCAGAGGAGGAGAGCAGTGGGGATATGCGAACCACAGCAGTGCAGGGACGCGGAGGAGGAGCAGACCAGTGCAGGGACGCGGAGGAGGAGCAGACCAGTGCAGGGACGCGGAGGAGGAGCAGACCAGTGCAGGGACGCGGAGGAGGAGCAGACCACAAGCAGCCAGACGGAGGACGCCAGGGACGCGCCGAGTAGCGTGAGTAGACGAAAACGATTCCTCCAGACGATTCTCTGCAAGGCTTCAGGAGCATGCGAGGCTTCGAGAAGGCAGAGAGTGGGAGTTGCTCCGCTTTTAAGCGGCTGCCTGTCCGGCACGGATGATTGGAAGGGGGCGTTTGCCGAGCGATAGGCTGGGGAAGCGAACCGGCCTGGAGGGGGTAGCTTTTGGCTGACGTCTACCAAATTGAATTTTCGCGAGCTACATTTCTCCTGATTGCTGTCCAAACACTCTCTATCCCTGATTGACTGCAGCGCTCTGAAAGTGAAGGACATGGGATGAAAGTAAATAGTTTTTCATACATGTTATGGATTAGCAGTAGCATCAGCAGATGTTGTGTGAGCCAAACTATTAATGCAGAGAAAATGGAAAATAAAACAGAGATTAGCAGCCCCTGTCAGGACATTCACCTGTGTATTTTTGGATAATTATGGTCAGAGGATTTTCATTTAAACAAATACAGTATATGATTGCGTTCGTCTTGTCAATGTTATAAATATTTCTCCTTATTTTAGGAGTAACCAGGTAATGTCAAGAGAAATGTTAACGTTATCGTGGATATTGAAACATGAAGTCGATTATAAGAAACAACAGTTCATATTTGCATTATATTTACTGGTCAATCTTTGTTCCCTCCCTCACCTATGGTCATGAGCTTTGGGTAATGACTGAAAGGACAAGATCGTGGATACAAGCGGTCAAAATGAGCCTCCTCCGCAAAGTGGCTGGGCGCTCCCTTAGAGATAGGGTGAGAAGCTCAGTCACACGAGTAGAGCTGCTGCCCCCACGACCCGGTAATGGATGAAGCGGAAGAAAATGGATGGATGGACCTAGTTAATATTTCACATGATATTTTTTTTTCCCTTCATGTGTTGTTTTGGTCTGCTAGGATATAGTAGTAAAAACTACCGGATCATTGATGCTTATGAATTTATAATAATTATGCTTGTCAAGTGTGTGGTTCCAGACAGTTACTTGTATGTGGTGTTTTCTTTGTTTTTGTTCTGGACTTGCTATTTGAGTTTTATGCAGTTCAAGTTGTCTGTGCATATCCTTGTACTGACGGCGGTCGGTAAAGTACTTTTTTAGTTATTTGAATGATAACCTGTTCTCTACCTTTCGTGGGCTGGGCAGTAAATCCCTCAACGCTCTGGGCTCTGGTCAGTGACTGCTGTGCCACCAGTGGGCTAATAGGGACCAGGCAGCTCACTCACTGTCGCTTAATGCAGTCCCTGCCTCAGGCCATGGACTAAGCTGGAGTACCCTGCCTCACCCGCAGAGACAAACATATGAAATCAGACATGCACTTTACAACCCAGCCCCTGCTATTGACCACAGGGTTAAAACATATTTTTGTTTATAGCGTTTAGGTTTTTTGAGGGGATCCAGTGGAGGTGGGTGCTGAAGCACAATTTGACTGTGGTGTTTTGGGACACAGATCTGCTGCATGTAGTTTTCTTTCTCTTGGGACTCTCATTATCACTGCTGTCCCAGATGTCACCCAGCACATGAAACGTTCGTCATGAATAATGGAGTCCTATTTCTACATCTCTCCCCATTCCTCTCGCTCTCCATCCTCCCACTCTCTTCCTCTCCATCCCTCGTTTCCTCTGATGTTTCTACTGATGCTTAATCTCCTCAGCAGTCCCTCTATCTGAGATGGTCCATTTAGCTTTATGCGGCCTCGTCTGCCTGTCTGCTCTGGACGGCTTTATGGACTGGAACATGGCATCGCTGCAGCTTTGTGTTGAGTAATATCTACACAGATGTGCTCTTTTGCATACCAAGAGTTACGTACATGTCTCCGTTCCGACTTGGTCCATGTGCGATAGACACCGTCCATGGTCCCATCCCCCAGTGTTTACTGTTGAAAGTCACATAGGGCAAATTGGGACATCGCAGCCAGTGAAGCAGAAGCAACGTGGACTGCTGTCACCACTCACACCTCCCCCCCATGACGTTTCGATGGGGTTCCATAACTTTGTGTCAGAGACCTCACTTTATTCAGCATAGTAGAAATGATTGAAAGATGAGGTAAGCATTCAGAATTGGTTTAGAAGAGTCGGCGGGAGCAGGAAGACAGTGAAGCGTGGCTTTTTAATGAAAACATGACAGAGCGCTCGCCCTGTCCAACCCTCCTCCCCCGTGTCAACGCATCTTGTCGCCTTTTAAGAACGGTCAGTCCATAAGAACGCGTATTTTTAATGCCCAGATTCAGATTCTTTGGTCATGCAGGGAAGGCCTCAAGTGGACGTGGTGCGGCTGAGCTGTTTTGATTGTGCTGGGGTGGGCTCCAACACAATCAGTTGTTAGTACACATCAGTTGCGCCACTAAAACACGCTCTGAATGTGAATTGAACGGAGTTAAGAGGGCACCATTCATGGATGTTCCATAAGTGTGCGTCAGAAGAAAAGACAGGGAAGTGTATTTATTTAATTGGCTGACACCTGCTTCTACTTGGGCTTATAATGTACACAGTGGAGCACTAGGGGAGAGCGTCGGGAGGGTGGAGGGGCGGCAGTGTTAGAATACAAATGTGCCTCTCATTTTGCATAAAGGTTCAGTGGGAAGCACAAGACAGAACTACAGAGTCAGACTATTCTCCATATTGTTTCCATTTTCCCTTTGTCCTCTGATGTGAAGTCAAGTCACACTGGGTCACTGTGGCACAGACTTCTGCCCTTGACTAAAACAATATTATAGTTAACAATATTGTGTTTTGACCCATTTTGTGTTGCTTTTGGAGGCAGCAGAAATATTCTTGCAGCTCAGTCAAAAGTCATAGTCAAAAAGTCAAAGTCTTTCATCTGCTCATTCGTCTTTGTTCCCCTGTGTCACCGCTGTCATTACTGGGATGGATTTGTTGACGTTCATGTTTTTGTGAAGAGCACTGTGTGTGTAAAATGGTCTACACAATCACTGCATGAAGTGCAGTGTATTCTAGTCTCAGTACCTTTCACCTGATTAAATATAAAGTAGGCCTGTGTGTTTCATGCATTATCATGGTAATGCATCACTACCAAAAAGGCATCACTAAAATCAAGATGTAAAAATAATTATCCTGCCCTATATGTGTATAACTTTACACTATATATAGATAGATAGAGATGTATTGTTATTTTTAGCTAAGAAACATAGCAGCTACTTCTATTGTATATTTTGTGTGCTCCCTGTGTGCTCTTACTACTGTCCTGTATGTGCACTGCAACATTAAAATTACTCCACTGTGGAACGAATAAAGGTATCTTATTTCAAAATCTAAAAAACATTAATCTAAAAAAAAAGAAAAAAATCATGTTCAGTTTATGTTAATTTTAGTGATTTAAGTTGTATCTTTTGATAGCTGTTCAGTTAGTCCTTTGATTACATTTTCAAGATTCAAGATTGAAGAATTTATTTTCCATTTGCAGTAAAACCACATTGGAAAGGTTGTGCAAGACTACAGTGTGCACCCGACATATAAACACATACGTTAAATAGACACATTTTCTAAGTATATGTTTTAGCTGAATAGTGCAAAGCTTAAGGGAAACCACCTTACAACAGTAGAATTTATTTCCACTCAAAAATACTTACAAATAATTCAATTACTAAAATACTAGACATTAATTGAGCCTTTTCCTTCAAACATGATTTCAAAGTCATAAAAATTTCCTCTGTGTCAGTGGCTTCTTAAGCAGTCTTCAGTGCTGCGCTGCAGGCTTCTCGTCTGGACCGCTGTCTGCAGCCGATTGTGGAGGAGTTAGACCCCTGACCCACTGCTACTGTGCTCATAATGTTTACTTCTGGTTTTCTAATAGGAACTGAAATAGACTAACCTTCCTTTAACTGGGAAAACCTTCAAGGCAAGGAGCCAGTGCCTTTGACCATAGACATAGTTGAGTAAGACATGGAGCCCTTTGGGACCGCAGTGAGAGATCTGCCAGAGGAAGCATGAGGCCTGTTCGATTGCTTGTTAGCGCGTTAACTCTCACAGGAACATGTTTGTATGTTTTTATTTACTTATTTATCGGCCTCAGTCGCTGTTTGTTTTAATATGGGTTTTTTAAATGCTATATCTTTCTTGGAGATGGATTTGTGTTTTGCAAATTACGCTTCAGCTTCCTGTTTCATGCACTATTTTTGAGGACCTTTTTTACCCCCCATTCAAAATATACACATATTTATCTATGTAAGGTTAGACTATGAATTACTGTGGCAAAAGTTCTCCTTTGCATCATTCTGGAACTCATTTGCAATATAATGTAACATAACAGCATGTTGAATGGTTTATTTTTTATAACTGAAAAGTGATTTGATTATGAGCAGAGAAGGGTTCATGCTGACTCTCTAAAAACAGGGAGAAAGAAGCTTTTTGTCAAATATTTGTGATTGGATAAACCTATTTGCATCTCAGGGCTATATTTAGCACGCTCACATCGCTGCTACTTTCTCATTAATTTAATTTTTGACCATAATTCGTTGGTTACACACTTTTATGGCTGTGCACCACAATGCCACAAACCTCCTTCATGTTTGGGGTTTGCTTATAGTCAACGCGCTTTGCTTTAATAATTGCTAATGCTGAAAACTAAACAGAATGGCAGTGAGAAGACCCTAGCAACAGGGAGAGGAAGAAGAAAGCGTGAGAGCAGGGAGGGAGGGGGGAAAGATGCAGAACATCAATAAGTAATGGCCCCACTGAGGAGATGGAAATATGGGCCTCGTTATCTGTGCGCCGACGCCTTCATTTGCATGTGAGAAAATGAGGCTGCTACTAACTCACATTGGCTACACTATGTGCCCTATTTATAGACCACATGTCACGCCTTTTTATTTACATCTTTGTTAAACATCCGTATTTCCATTATTTCACTTTTGTCTCACTGTTTTCAGGCTTGTTGAAAGGTGGTTTGTTGGTTTCAGAAATCCAATAAATGACTCAGACTTTTATTACTCCAGAGAGGTCTGTAAAGGCCATGCACTATTAATTATTGAGAAATGCATCTTTTTAGCACACAGACAGACACGAATCACAAGTGCACCTTTGGAATACAAACAGTTACTAATAAACAACAATATTAATGTTTTGCAGTAAATAAAATGTATTTTAAATGTGATTTTCTCAGTTCAAATTATTTAATGAGGAGGAGTAATGTTTTTTTTCATCACAAGGCCACTACTGCTGGCTTACTCTCTGAATGCACTTCCATGTGACTGTTGCAAACCAGCCCCTACAATCCTCAGGGCCCTGGAGCGTCTTTGAGAAAAGCTTCTTTCTGGGTGAAAGGACTCTTTATAAAAGCATTTATTTGTGATAAAAAAAATTGTTGAACCTCTAAATGGTTCATGTGGAGACTTTTTGTTGATCCGTGAGTGCTTCTATTTTTCAGTTACGAGGGTCCTTCAGCTCTTCTATTTAACGACATGTGTGAGCCTCAAATACAGGCCATTCATGAAAACATCTCAAGCTGTAAATACATTTGATAATAAAAACATATTATTGTAAATATTTACTTATTGTTACTATTTAAAGATTGCACAATGTGTATTGGAGCTCTAAGATGGTATTGAAATGAAGACCTGGACAAAAGGCTGATGCCTGACTCATAGTGCATGTGTGTATGTTTTTAGCTGAGCCCTCTGCGCTCCACCATTGAAACATTGGCTCTGTTTCTCATCAACGAGTCAAGTCAGCATGAATAAAAGCTGAGGGAGCACACTGATTTAGTAATTAATATTTTACTCCATCTGCCACTCTGCTCATTGACTGCAACCTGTAAAAACCCTGCAAAACAGTCCAAACATTGTTCTTCAAGACCAATAGTAATCATTTGTGTACAAAATTACTACAATTTTCAACACAATGCTAAGTTGGTTAAGTCTGGAAGTGTGGTTTTGACAGACCCAGCTGACTCTCCCCGCCTGTGTCAGAGTGTAGTGACAGGCGAATGGTGGGTGTTGGGGAGTCATAGTCTTAAAGTGCTTATTATCCTGTAAGCCTTCATTCTCGGGAAAAACAAAGGCTGCTGTGAAAAAAGCAGCTTGGGTCTGTTCTCAGGTCATACAAGCAAATGCACGACCCATAACAGTGATGTGCAGTGCACCCATTCACCCTGAGGGCTCCCGGTCAGCACAGGCTCATAATGTATTATTAATGTTAAATAAGTTGTAGGTGCGGTTAAAGGCAGTCCTTCAACGGTCCTGTTCTTTTGATCATTGCATTGTGTGCAGTCTGTCTCTGCACTGTCTGCTGCTGATGTTTACCACTGTGTGTCCTCTAGGCCTTGATAATTTGCCAGGTTCGGGGACACAACATTAGGAGTTCAGTTAGTGCCAACTGTTCAGGCAGCTGTTTGTCCTCAGCACAATATGTTTTTGCTTTGTGCACAGTATATTTGTGACAGCCATGTGTGTTTTCTGTGTTTAAGCCACATTAATGAGACTTTATAATCTCTCTGCCCCCAGGTAACAGGTTCTCCTTGACCTCCTTTGGAGCTCTGTATATCTCAGACGTTCAGAAGGAGGATGCCCTCTCCACCTACAGGTGCATCACCAGACATAAGTACAGTGGTGAGACACGCCAAAGCAACGGGGCCAGGCTCTCCGTGATGGGTAAGAATCAAGTCACAGCAATAATAGCTTTGTTTGGCTCAGAAGTTATAATTATATTTACAACTATATTTTATTATTTATCCTAATGTGCAATTTGATTTATTTTTCAGACGCAAATGAGTCCTCTCCCACCATCCTGGACAGTTTTCAAGCAGGAGAGATCAATGCAGGTCAGAGTATAGAGCTCCCGTGCGCAGCAGGAGGTTACCCCAGCCCCACGGTGCGCTGGCTCAAAGACGGCCGGCCCCTGCCTTCAGACGCTCGCTGGACACGGCGTTTGACTGGACTAACCATCAGTGATCTGCGGCTGGAGGACAGTGGCAGCTACGCCTGTGAAGTCACCAACAGCTTTGGCTCAAAAGAGGTGTCCGGACAGCTCCACGTCATAGGTGTGTGAGTCTATACACTCGGCAAATGAGCTGCAGCGCTCCCACTCCATCGCCTTGGCAGACAGGGACAGTCGAGCTCCTCTTTCGCTGGAGCTTTGAGGCACACGTACTGTATAAGTTTCACCTCGAGTGTGACAAACATGTGTGAGTCGTGTGATGCCCTGTCATAGCAGCCCTCCTTCAGACAGGGCAGTAATCCACTCAGACTGGATCCTTAACACTGCTGCCATCACCAGTCATCATCAGATAGAAGAGTGTGAGGATGACAAAGATGAAGATGAGGGGTCAGAGAGGGGACAATCTCAAATTCAAACACTAAAAGAATGACATGCCAACTGATAACACAACAATAACAATGAGTGGAGATAAAGTGTGTGAGATCTGTTCAATAAAACAGTACGGCGAGACAGAGTGGAGGATAGAAAAATGTAGGATTTGCCGGTGGGCACATCATGGCAGCACACACTGTGACTCTGACAGGGCAAGGGGGGGTTGGGAGTCTCCATGATGCCCCCCAGCAGAAACCACCAGCTGCCTTATTGCTCACTGACATTTTGCACATAGACATATACGACGCAGACACGCCTCGCACACAGAAGTGGACAGAGATGTGAAGCGATATCTCCAGCTGCTTTTTAATGAGTGTGTCCAACTGATTGAGCCACTGCCACTGATTGTGCTTCACTCCCTCTATTCTCTCAGACTAATAATGCTAACCAAATTCTAAAGTTACACTTGTCTTCTAGTCTAATCAATGTTGCATGCTGTATCACTTGTTGGTCATTTATATATTTATTTTGTCCATCTCTGTATTTTAGAGACGGAATGTATTCTGAGCATGAAACAATACAATAATAGAAGCACATACAGAAAAAACTACAAAAACACATACATTTCTAATCTGTTACGGCACAGACACAAAAACTTAAGATATTTTGACTCACACTCACTCACATATGTTATATACATCTTTTTTATGCATGTTTTAAGTGTGATGTGACCATATGGCACTGTGTTATTATCTATACTAATTATTTTTCATAATAAATATATTTAAACCAGTCCCTCCTCTTGGCACGACCACTACCAGTAAGATTACCTAGAGGAGAATAGTTAGACCAATGGTAACGGGCCTCAGCTGTCAGGAACCTGTGGAGGCGGTCTAACTGCTGCTAGCTTTTGAAAAACATCTCTCCATTTTTGCAATTGTGAAAAGTAACTGAACTTTTCGTTGATGTGTAATTTGGCTTTCTTTACTTTCCAGACCCACTGCGAGTGACCTTGTCCCCCAAGAACCTGAAAACGGGGATCAGCAGTACGCTCTTCTTCACCTGCTCCGTGGAGGGGTCCCCAGAATACTCTATCAGCTGGTACCGCAACACAGAGCCCATTGTACCAGACCAGCACATGTCCATCCAGGGCCAGCACAACGACACTCTTCAGATCACTGCGGCTCAGAAGTTACACTCCGGCGCGTACCAATGCTTCGCCACAAGGAAGGGTCACACCTCTCAAGACTTTTCCATTATTTTGCTTGAGGGTATGTAAAAAAAAAACTGTCATATATATCTTATATTTAGTGTTATGGTCAAGTCTAGTTACTGTAAGGTGCAGGTCGATGTTATGTAATTTATTTTATTGTGCTCTTTCTGTCTGGATGAAACCATTTAATGTTGGACTCTTGAAGCAAATATGTCAGATTAATGGGATATTCTTTTGCCTAATCAATTAGTTGTTTGTATCCTAAGGTCAATGAATATGGGAGTTTGTATACATTTGTACAAAGTTGGAGTGATGCCCCTGGAACTTATAGAGATGACTTGTTACAATTATTAGAAATACTTTTTCATTCAATTCTGTAGTCATTCAAGAATTATATTAGTCATAAAACCTCTTCTGAGCCCATTCAAGTCTATGTACGGTTCTAGAAATTATGCATTAATTACTGAATTAGTTGACTAATATAGGTATGATAACTAACTCTTTCAATAATCAACTTGTTACAGTCCTAATGTCGGTAGGGACTATGTCATTCCTTTATAACGTATCTCTTTTCTCTTTCCCTTTTTCTTTTTTATCATTTAGATGGTACTCCTCGAATTGTGTCTTCCTTCAGTGAGCGTGTGGTCAACCCTGGAGAGCCCTTCTCCCTCATGTGTGGGGCAAAAGGTGCGCCGCCGCCCTCTATCACCTGGACTCTGGACGATGAGCCTGTCGTCCGGGACTCCACCTACAAGACCAGCCAGTACACTCTGTCAGACGGCCTGACCGTGTCCCACGTGAACGTCAGCAGCCCTCTCATCCGGGACGGTGGAGTCTATCGCTGCGTCGCACGCAACTCGGCGGGTAGCGCAGAGTACCAAGCGCGCATAAACGTAAGAGGTGCCTGTCTGTTTTTCATTATAAACGCACCTCACACCTGCCCTCATACACAGCAGATAGTAGCAGAAATAGTTACTTTGAACTAATGTAAATGTAAGATAATTTGTTTATAGTATGTGGATCAATTAAAAGGTTTTTGTAGTGGATGCATCTTTTGTGATAGAGCCAATATTGTTACATTAAAATACCAAATATTCAGAACAGAACAAAGTATGAGAGAAAGTTACATTCAGATATTTCTTTATTGCATTGTATGGAGCATAACTAACCTCTCTCTTCACTTGTGGACTTGACCCTTCCCCACCCTGTATGCTCCTGCCATGTCCTCTGCCCTCCGTCCGTCCCCCTCCACCCCTCCTCTCCCCCCCTGTTCTCAGGTCCACCCCGAATAAGACCCATGCGGGACATCACAGCCGTGGCAGGCAGAAACACCTATATTACATGCCGTGTGATTGGTTACCCCTATTATTCCATCAAGTGGCTTAAGGACGGCATGCAGCTGCCTGATAATCATCGCCAAGTGATATTTGAGAATGGCACACTGCGTCTGACAGACGTACAAAAGGGGGCAGATGAGGGCACCTACTTGTGTAGTGTGCTGATCCAGCCCCAAGTGTCCATCAACCAGACTGTTCATGTCTCTGTCAAAGGTTAGTGCTCTATGAATGTAGAAGTCAGTATACTAATACAGCACTGGGTTTCAGGCAGAAACAAAGTTAATCATTAATTATTATAAATTGACTAAAATGGCTTTGAGTCAAAGCGTTTGTTGCCTTGGTTAATCAGCTAGTTTATGTAAGTAGTTAAAACTATGTTAAACTGTTTCTGTCTTCTGTCTCTCTGCTCTGAAGCCAACCATCTATTTTAACACTTGATATATTTTAAACATGAATCATAATTTTCTGAAAACATGATTAAAATATGCTGTTAAAAAAGTAAAAACTGTTAATAGGTTACTCGAAGGTAATAATCAATAAAATGCAGACTTCTTGGTAAAAAGCAACTCCATATAGCCGGAGCTTTCTCAAAGTGTTGAATGAGTTATGCCTAAAAGAGTCAAATGTAGGCTGCAGTTTGCTTGGTTGTGTTGTTGCGTCTGTGAGTGGGGTAATAATGGTTGAGCGGGGCAGCTGCAGAGGTGTTTAAGGGTGTGTGCGTGTGCCTGAGTGTGTCTCTGATTTAATTAGATGAATAATAATGAAGCCCAGATTAAATCCCCCAGATGTCTCAGCTGTAGTACCCCCACCCCAGCCTCAATTACTATGGAAACGGACTGACTTCCTCCTGCCAATTGGACTCTTACCAGAGCCCATTATGGGCTGCAGGATGAGGCTGGGGGCAGAGAGAGACCCAGTGGCCAATGACCTTCTCTTTTCCACAGCAGAACTTGGTTGTGTGCTCCTTCGCTCTGTCTTGTAGGGAATTCTCACGCTGGCTTTTTTTCTCCCTCAGTGCCACCACTCATCCAGCCTTTTGACATCCCCTCTACCTCTGTGGGAAAGCTTATATATATCGCTTGTGTGGTGTCATCTGGGGACATGCCCATACGCATAACCTGGCACAAAGATGGCCAGCTCATAATCCCAGGCTCCGCTTCTGGAGTTGCAATAGAGACCAAAGAATTTATGAGCTCATTACAAATCTCTAAGGTGACATTAAAGCACAATGGAAACTACACCTGCATAGCGAGCAATGTTGCTGCCACTGTCAGCTGGGAGAGACAGCTGATAGTTACTGGTGAGCCAATAGAGAAAATTAGTAATAAAATCAAATATCTACATAAATATACATTTTATATTATTCTATACCTTTTTTGCTTGTAATTATTTTAGTTCCACCAAGATTTGTGGTTCAACCCAACAACCAGGACTGCATCTATGGGAAGGCTGGTGTCCTTAACTGCTCTGTCGAGGGGTACCCCCCTCCAAAGGTCATGTGGAAACATGCTAAAGGTAACATTTAACACACAGAGGAAATTATGTTCATGTTTTGTGAGTTTTTAAGATTGTTATTGTTGCTGAACAGGTCTGGGAAACCCACAGCAGTATCACCCGGTGCCTCTCACTGGCCGAATTCAAATCATGTCCAACGGCTCGCTGCTCATCCGTCATGTTCTGGAGGAAGACCGGGGCTACTACCTCTGCCAGGCCTCCAATGGAGTTGGCTCAGACATCAGTAAAAGCATGATCCTCACTGTTAAAAGTAAGCCTCATGCTTTCTCACTAAAACTTGAATTCATTCCTGCCTCCTTTATTTTCTGGTCTGCAAAACCCATGGCTTTTGGGAAGAATCAGCCCATCCCCTGTATAGTGCACTCCTGCCTTAGGCAAGTACGACCTGTACGAACCTAACCAACCACTGTTATATTGATTGATATGTTCCGGCTGCCTGTCTCCATGTTCCTGAATGTTTGCTTGGGAAAGGCTTGATGAATTAGTTATGAAAACAAAACCACAGGAACCCCTCAAATCAATAATGCGCAAGTAAAAAGTGAGATAGACGGAGAACAGAGATGACGGTGAATCAGGATCAGGCAGAGGACTAGTGGGGCTTGAAGCGTGAAATGAAAATGTAGGGCCAAGGGAAGAAATAGAGATGTCTGTACATCTGTAATGTATCTCCGATTTCTAATATCACATTCCTGTTCCTCCGTCTCATTACTCCTGATAATGCGATTCGTCACAGTGAAATGTGTGTGTGTGTGTGTGCTTCTGCTTAGTTCCTGCCATGATCACAAGCCATCCCAACACCACCATGGCACGTAAAGGCCAAACAAAAGAACTGAACTGTACAGCACGAGGCGAGCAGCCCATCATCATCCGCTGGGAGAGAGGAGACACTGTCATTGATGCTGAGAGGAATCCTCGCTACTCCATCACCATCAACAAGAAGGGGGACGAAGTCATTTCTACCCTAAAGGTCAGATATACGACAAAACATCATGCAGAAGTAAACTGACCTAAATAGAATCACATGCACACTTTTAAGACTTCGTCATCATTTGCATATATATATACCACCGAAAAAATGTATGAATTTGCTGAATAGTTTCACAACCAGTTGCATTTTTGTATTTTCACAGTTGAATCCAGCAGAAAGAGGAGATTCTGTGTTCTTCTCCTGCCATGCCATTAATTCTTATGGAGAGGGCCGTGGCCTCATTCAACTCACTGTTCAAGGTAAATCTAGAGTAGGCCTATACATACAGTACTTTCTAGAATGCATAAGTGTTTTGCTCATGTGTCAAATGTCACTTCTCATCAGAACCTCCAGATCCCCCTGAACTCGAGGTCCGTGAGGTCAAAGACAGGAGCATGAATCTGCGCTGGATCCAGAGATTTGATGGCAACAGTATCATTACAAGCTATGACATTGAATACAAGAACAAATCAGGTAAGTCTGACTTGTATACACTTTTCAATATCACAGAAAGTGTTGTTTAAAAAAAAAAAAATCCTCTTTTTTGACAGATTCCTGGGATCACATGTACACAACAAGAAACATCTCACCCACCAACAACCAGGCCAACATCGTGGAGCTGCACCCTGCCTGCGTTTACAGTATTCGCATGTACTCTTACAACAAGATCGGTCGCAGTCTTCCAAGCAAGGAGCTCACCATCAGCACAGAGGAAGCTCGTGAGTGTCTTTCACATGAGGACAGGAGTCTTACTCACCACTTTTGCCTCTGTATTCACCACTACCATAAAACTAGTTCAGTGTGTAATCAATGTGTTATGTATTTTATCAGCACCTGATGGACCCCCAGTGGAAGTAATCCTCCAACCAATGACGTCACAGAGCATAAGGGTCACATGGAAGGTAAATGTTATACTTAATAGACCTACTTTGATTTTTTTATACTGATGAGACTCGAAAATGTTGAATATTGTTCAAAAGTTCATTTACTCCTGTAATCTTATAATGTGAAACTAATATTTTTAATTAAGATAATTGGGCGGCACAGTGGCGCAGTGATTCCACCTCCAGGCCTTTCTGTGTGGAGTTTGTAAGTTCTCCCTGTGTCCCCTCCGGGTGCTCCAGTTTCCCCTACCACTAAATACATGTACCATAGGTCTGGCTTGGGCCTCCTGTTTGGCGGCCCCGCTCCCATCTCTGTGCGGAGTGAGAGAAAAATGCCCACAACAAATGGAAAAGCGCTTTGTGACTCTGGTCTGTGAAAGATGCTATATAAATAAAGATTACTTACTCAAAGATTACTTAATTGCCTCACAACTTGTAAAAAAAAAAACCAAAAACACATCAGAGTATCTGAAAAAGTATGACTGTAAGCCATTATTGTCCAAAAAAAAGTGGCTAAGTTGGTAGAGCCACTGTCGCCCCCCCCCCCCCCCCCCCCCCCCCCCCCCCCCCAATCCTTAAAGCCTGAAGGTCGACTCTCACTGACAACTGCTGTTGTTGTGTCTTTGGGCAAGACACTTAACCCCACTTTGCCTGAAGTCCCCGCTGATAGATCAAGGCTATAGAGAAGCCATCCTCCTGTGGACCCACCACCTGCAGGAGGATCAGTGAGGGGCTGGTGCTCTGTGAACTGGGTGCAGCTCTGACTGCCATCCCCTGACCCAGAAATGGACAAAGGGGAAGAAAATGGATGGATGCATTACAAACAAAAGCAGATGTCACTTAGCATATAATAAGTCTATGTCATACATTGGTTTCACATTTTTAATGTTGAATTAAGGATAAATACATTTTTGAACAATATTCCATTACATTATTATCTCCTGCTCTCTCCTTGGGAGGATCACTTGAGTTTACCCCTGAGATATTTTGTGATTTTATTAAAATAATCAATTCTGTTTTTCCAGGCACCAAAAAAGGAGTTACAAAATGGTGTGATCCGTGGCTATCAGATTGGATACAGAGAGAATGGCCCTGGGAGCAATGGACAGTACAGTATAGTGGAGATGAAAGCCACTGGAGACAGTGAAGTGTACACGCTGGACAATCTGAAGAAGTTTGCCCAGTATGGGGTTGTTGTTCAGGCCTTCAACCGAGCAGGCACCGGACCCTCCAGCACAGAGATCAATGCAACAACCCTTGAAGATGGTAAGAGAACAAAACCATACATACTGTATTGGAACAAGTCAATGACAATGGCGATAAAAGAAAACTGTCCTCATATCTATATACACAAATGGACACAAAGACGACATGGGAGAAATGGATTTGCTGCACTTCCCCCATTATTCTTTCTTCTTTAATTAGTGCCCTCATTAGGCTGGTAGAGCGAGAGGAACAGGGATCCATTTTACTCTATAAATGTCTGCCCACTCCGCCTCTGCTTCCTTTATCTGTCATCCTATTATCCAGCCTTATCTCGCCCTTTATTTGTCTTTCCTATCTTTACATGACGTGCATTATGTTACGGTTTTGATAAAAGCGGATTCAGGATTGATTCATTCACGATTGACATGCTCATCCCGGAAACAGATAACACAACATTTTTATTTATTATTCAGATAAGACTCATGCTGTTGAAGGGTTTTCACTGCATCATCTACATTTAACCCTGGTGACATCACCTGCCTCTTAGAGTTTCTACATTAACATTTGTCTTGAAATGTCAAAACACACAATATTGAAATTTAGTAAATTTTGTACTAAAGTACAATGCAACATTTTTATACAAAAAGTGGAAATAAAACCATTTTGATGATGTATATCTTTACAAGTTGTTCAATAAATTCTCTTCTGCCCTCACATGTTCTACATATTTTATGCTGAACAATTGTGTTCAAGATGAGACAAATGTACAGTAGCTGGGCCCAGTGTTTTGTCATGCACTTACTTATAAAATTGAAATATTATTTGCATACAATATTGTTTAATCTTTACATTTGTGTTAAACTTATAGAAGAATACTGGTAAATGTTGTGGTTTGTGTCTCTTTAGGGTTCAGTTGGCTCTGCTCAAAACCTCTCTATTTCTTAGTTCATATTGAACCAAACTTTCCAAACTGCACTTTGGGACTAAAACTGAACTTTGTTGAAAAACGTGAATGTCGTCATCATTAGCACACAGATGAGCAGGCCTAAGACAAGCTCAGAAGTATCAAAATTAACATTATCTTCTAAATGGATTTCCAACTGGTGTTAAAAATTGTTGTTTACACAATGTGTTGTGTTCTATTTATTCATTGTTGTAATTATTATGTACAATCCCGACTTTGACCAAACAATGAGGGCTGACATATTTAATTATGGAACGGATTGGGACTTTTATATTCTGTAAATAAACACATTGACTCCTCTGTCTCTCAGTGCCCAGTGAACCTCCTCAGAACGTGCGGGCCATCTCTGTGACGTCGGACGAGGCGGTCATCACTTGGGCGGAGCCTCCACGGCTGACGCTGCACGGTGTGCTGAAAGGCTACCGTGTTGTGTTCTGGTCCCTCTTCCCTGACGGAGGTGGGTGCTGTGGGGGCCAAGCCCAGTGGCCAATGCAGAGTAATTATCACCTATCTCATTCTAAACGTCACTGACTTTTCCCTCCAAACACATGCCTGTCCATGTTATTGTTTGTTTGTGTGTCTATTGTTTTCATTGACAACATCACAATCTGTCCCTCTTTGTGTGTAGTGAAACTATAGATATTGAAGAGAAGTTTGCATATCCATGTAAATGACCCAGTTAATATAGAGTCATATTTTAGATAAAATAGTTAAAGAAAAACAGTAATGTTCACATCTTCACATCATTGATCTAAATAATGTACTTTGACGTCAGAGTGGGGAGAGATGCAGAATATTACAACGACCCGGGAGCAGGTGGAGCTCAGAGGTCTGGAGAAGTTCACCAACTACAGCGTCCAGGTTCTGGCCTACACACAAGCTGGAGACGGAGTCCGCAGCAATGTCCTCTACATCCAAACTCGAGAAGACTGTAAGTATATCATTTATATTTACACAAATCCACAGAGACCTATGGGTTCAGAGAAATCTTATTTTAGTTTTGTGAAGAGAGGGGAAGGCATCAAAACACAGAGTACAGCTGTATCTCAAACCCATGACAAAAGCTCATTTATGCTTGGAAGCTCCATTAGCACTACTAATGAGAATTAAGAGGCTTTGGGTGCACAGCTCAGGGCTGAGGGAGGGCTGCCTCCCGAAGTCAGCCAGCCATCACACTGCTTCCCTTCTACCAGACCCCTTGCCATAGGCATGGGGATTAACTCCTCTTGGATTAGAGAGAATTAATTTTGTGCTTACACCATTGGAGGCAGGATTACAGCAAGATCCATGTCTCTTTGTGAAGTGGAAAGAGGAGAAGCCTCAGGGTTAAAGATGGAAGTATAGATAAAACAACAATAGGGTGGTATTGTATATCAGTTGTAATCATTTGATATAAAATAAACAGATCTGTTTGAAGTATTATCTCAGTGTATGTGAGTGACATATTAGAGAAATATTGCATTGAAATATTTTGCATTTATTTGATTTAAATTTAAATTGTCAAAAAAAGCAGTAAAAAGGAAACATTCTTTAGTTACATATGTATTTATACAGCTCAAAACAACAATCTTCCTCCTACTGCAAAGATAATGTACCTTCTATAAATCTTGAGCACTAAAATACATTGTACCATCCATCACTTGCCCTGACTCTAGAGTGCTGTAACTCACAATGCTGGTCTGTTTTCTTGGGTGTGGGCAGCTCTTTTGGGCACCAGATGGGCTGTAGCTTCCCCTCCCTCACTGCCCCGTTATGAGAATGATGGCTGCCTATGTACCCCTCCCCTTCGGCCTCATCATCACTTCCCAAAGGAAATGTCCCGTCTCTCCCTTTCACTTACCCACACCTCCCTGGTTTGAGCCCTCTATCCTTCACTTGACTCCTGTTATCCATCCCTACTTGTGTTCTGAGCTCCACAGGGGATGAACAGTTCGACTGACTGGATGAAGGGTCTCACTATAAAGATTTAGAGGATCCAGTCTTGTTCTGCCTCCCCAGAAGTGCCCAGAGGAGGCCCGTTGTCAAGAGGGACTCATATTTATGGAGGGCATTGAATAGACCTGACAGTGTTAACCCTGCACTGTAAGACTGCTGCCACAAAAGCATCATTGTTCACTATTTCACTAAATCCTGCTTCTTGATGTGTTCATCGTAAAATATCTCAGCCATTTAAACATCTCTTGTTCCTTTAGCTTGATTACCCCTATTAAGAGCATTAAGTAGTGTCCAGTGTCAGCTCAAGTGGCTAGCAGCGGATCAGACACGGCCTAATCTGTTGTGAGGCCTGAGACTTAAGAGCGTTGGGTGTCGCAGAGTCAGAATTGCTGACCAGTGTCTACATGAACATATGTCACTGTCCTTCACTGAAACAGCATTCCTCCAAGTCCGAGAGCTGCTTAGAAGGGGATAAGACAGAGAAACTGCAAACAAGTCTGCTTGAATTAATGGGGGTCAATGCCAAGTGTGTGTATAATGCCTAAAGTTGTTAATTATGCTTGGTTATTATTCTTTTCAATAAAAGCAACAGCACCTGGATTACTGAGACCTGAATCTGAGGTCCTGCTGTATTGGAAAGACAATACATCAGCACCAGTCTGTGTCTGTTTCTGACTTTACTATTTCTCTCTTTGGTTCTCTTAAATCAATGCTCTTCACTAAAGTAGCTCAAGTGAATAATGAGGTGTCAAAGCCAGATTCTAAAACATGCTACATTTTGCCCAATTTGTATGTGTATAAGATTTACAACAGTGGATTCCACAACAACAATGTCTGCTTTCTGGTTTTTTTCTTCAGTCCCTGGTCCACCAGCTGGCATCAAGGCTGTCCCGGCTTCACCTAATAGTGTGGTTGTTTCCTGGATACCACCTCTTAAACCCAATGGTGTTATCCGCAAATACACCATCTACTGCTCCAGCCCTGGCTCTGGACAGCCGGTACGTCTGCTCAATATGCACGCTCAATATAATTTGATGAAATAATTAATTTGTAACCTGTATTACCTATTAGGCCTGCACTATCCTTCATCGTATCTCTTTCACCGTGTTTGCACCACCATTTTATTTCCTGCCCTTCCAGATGAACAGATGAGGTTGTCTTGGCAACGAGATGAGACGTAGATATGCAAATGAAGCAGCGAACAAGCTCACACATGCACACAGCCGCATCCAAAGCACACAGACACTTTCGGAGACATAGCAATAGATAATGTTCTATTTATATGTTCACTGTGCGTCTCGTGTTTCAGGTTTGGGTTCGATTGTGTGCACAGAAACAAAAGCTGCTCCCGAAACCTCAAACGAGCGTGGACTTCAGTTATTTTCCCTAAAAAACTCCTCCCTGTGTGTGCGCATGAGAGCCATGTAAATGAGCCCGGCCACAGAGAGCAGCACACACACCATCAGCGGCAGGGAGAGGCCAGGGGAGAGAGGGACGGGCAGAGCATCGAGTGCTTTTGTTCGTCTTTTTATTACCCTCAAATATCACTCACAGATCACCACAACATCTCACCATTAGCCACCATATAGGAATGTCTGAACCCCCCTTCCTCCCCACTGTTTTATCATCCCTCCATGTCCTCCTCTCCACTGAGCGAGACAGAAAAGGATAGAGGAGCTGGGATATGAACAATGTGATATTAACACGTTCAAGAAACAGAGAGAACAGGCCTTTTGTGTCTTTCTATCTTTTGCACGCATTCATCTTCAAAGATTTATTTTAGCTCAGAGTTTGTTATTCTATTGCTCTTATTTTAGCTGTTACATAAATTTGGTATGCACCTTTTTTAAAGAGAAAATGTTGCCCCTTTTTTCTACGTTGAACTGAAATTATTCAATTCAAACTTTGATTCTGGGAGATGGTGGTTGGTAATCTGTCTGTCTGCCCAGTGCCCTACTCTCCCCTGGTCCTTCCAAATCACTTTACTCGGACTTAACAAAGGGTTCTCGTGGTGAGGCTTGCTGCAGCTGAAAATATAGTTGCTACAAGGTGAAAGCCCCCTCACTCCCTGTCTCGCCAACCATGGATTATGACTTCGGCATTGCCTGTTTGGTCCTCTCAACAGCGCTTACATGTGTACTTACTTACCAAAGAAAGTACTGTTAGTATGCGGATCAGATCTTTTGACCAACTGAGGCCAATGTCCCTTTGAGCTTCGAGTTGTCCAGATTTTCTGTTGTTTTAGCCCTGTGTGTGTGTGTGTGTGTGTAACAGTGTCAGAGAAGAGGAAAGAAGAAAGAACGGATTTAAATGTTTCAATAATGTAATATTCAATTTGCAAATGACTTGGTTGCTCTGAGATACCGTTGAGGCTGTGTCTTCTGCCCGCCTGAGGTTTTGTTTCCCTGTTGTTAACTCTTTAGCGTGTCTCTGTCCCAGGCGCCCAGCGAGTACGAGGCCAATCCTGAGATGCTCTTCTACCGTATCACGCACCTCTCCCGCGGTAAACAATATCACATCTGGGCCGCCGCCGTGACAACTGCCGGCCGAGGAAACATCAGCTCAAAGGTCATTGTGGAGCCTGCTGGGAAAGGTAAGGTCCTGGGGTGCGTGTGTAAAGAACAAAAAGGTTAAAGGGATTTCTATAAAGGTTATGATGTTACAAATAAGGCCGTAAAAATGACAATAACATGATGCTTGGCTCTTTCACTCTATGGCAGACTTATATTGACTGACAGACCTCGTATTGATTGAGTAGAAAGAAACTGTGTTGTTAATTATGTGGTGATGAACTAGGCCTATCTAATAAACTGATCCACAGGGAATACAATAGCCAGAAAGATCAATAAAGAGGAGAATCTATGGAAAAAAAGATTAAATCCACAAGGCCTTGGGAGCAGGACTGTTTAACAAATTCGGTATGATTGGTTTTACTTTCATAGTAAAGCAGGGAAGCCTCTTGGCATTGTGAATGAAAGGGTTAAATAACAAAAAACTTGGTAATCGGTTATATAGAGACTCGAAAATGATTGAACTTTCCCGTTATGGTGTTTAGTTCCAGCCAAAATCCTGTCGTTTGGCGGCACTGTGACCACGCCCTGGATGAAGGAAGTGCGTCTGCCCTGCAGCTCTGTGGGAGAACCAACACCAACGATTAAATGGACCAAAGACAGGTGGGGTTCCAGAATCATGAAGCTATAACACAAGAAGAGGTGTCATGTTGGAAATATTAACATGTGTCTTTCCATTCAGTGACAATTCTGCCATCCCAGTGACCGCCGATAGTCAGAGGCAGATTTTATCAAATGGAACGCTGGTTTTACGCTCAGTCAAAGCAGAGGACTCTGGATATTACACCTGCACAGCCACCAACACTCTCGGCTTTGATACCATTATTGTCAACCTCGTAGTACAAGGTATGACCTCACAAACGCATTTGTGTTCCCTCACTTAAAGGACAAGTCTAATGTTGTTTTTTGGGTTTGATTTTTAGTTCCTCCTGACCAGCCACGCTTGACTGTGTCCACCACCTCCACCTCCTCCATCACCCTGTCGTGGATACCAGGGGACAACGGCGGAAGTTCTATCAGAGGTGTGCCAAGTGAATACTTTGTTTGAGCTTTATTCTAAAGAAGCTTATGTAAAAAAAAATAAAGAAATTGTTTATGTGAACTAAATACATTTCCTTCGTAGAAAAGAGAGAAAATGTCTTCATAAAATGGTTTAACTCAGTTGTATCCATTGTTTTGCTGTAACTAATTATATTTAACAAAAATACGCATTTACAAAACTGATTTGAGAAAGGAAAATGCATGTGTGTTTTACCATTATCTAATCAACTAAATGTAAATGCAAACCAAACAGAGAATGTTCACACAGTAATTTATGATACATGGCCATGAAATTTACCATGTTAAAAAAAAAACTTAAAATATTAGTATTATGTAACTAAATGTATTTTCACGCAGTTCTTCCATCACTGGGTAGTACCCGAGTAGAGTTGAATGAACGTTGTCAATTGAAGCTTTATGATGCCACCTGGTGGTCAGTCGTGCAGCTGCAGTTGTAATTCACATATTCATGATGTTTGACTGAATTGTGTTTTTGCAGGGTTTGTGCTCCAGTACTCAGTGGACAACACAGAGGAGTGGAGAGATGTCTTCATCAGCTCGAGTGAGAGGTCCTTCAGACTGGACAACCTCCGCTGTGGAACCTGGTATAAGGTCAAGCTGGCAGCCAAGAACAGTGTGGGCTCAGGGCGCATCAGTGAAATCATCGAAGCCAAGACACACGGGAGGGGTAAGTGCTCTAGAAGCTGCCAACAACAGCTTCAAGAATATTACATCATGTATTTGTAAATATAATTCTGTAATTCATCCAAGTACAAAACAAGAAAGATGCATTAAAATCCTGTTACATACATGGGGATGGGATAATAACCAGTGTTGAAGTATGTAACACAGTGAGATTAAAAACTTTAATACCAATATGTCAGGATGGACTCATTTTTGAAAAAGCAGCCAATAATCAGTGTTTGGTATTAATATTATTATACGTTATTCTTTGCACATTTACCATATTTACATTGTTTTTGTTAGAAAACCACAAAAACACATGTTTACAATACAAGTAAACCTTATGTACCGGTGTAATAGGTTCTTTTTGTTGGGAATTATTGAAGAAGAAGTCCTCTTAGGCGTATGTAATCATTTTGGTGTCTTATCTCTACAGAGCCTGTTTTCAACAAAGACCAGCCTCTGCTCACACACATCAACTCCACTCACGCGGGGCTTAACCTCCAGGGCTGGACCAGCGGCGGATGTCCCATTTCTGACCTCATGCTGGAGTTCAGGCCTAAAGGCACCTGGGCCTGGCAGAGTCTTCGAGCCAACTCCACCACTCAGCTGTTCCTCAACGAGCTGCGAGAGGCCACGTGGTACGAGCTGAAGATGAAGGCGTGTAACAGTGCAGGCTGCGGAAACCAGAGCTCACAATTTGCCACCACAGACTATGACGGCAGTAAGTAGAACCGCCATAATGCATGCTCCAAGGAAGTGGTGATTTTATACATTTGTTTTGTCAGGTACCATCCCACCCATCAAATCAGCTCGAGGTGAAGGAGACGATGTGAAGAAACTCTTCTCCATTGGATCGCCGGTCATTCTGGTCACTGTGGGCGTCGCTCTGCTTTTTATTATTCGGAAGAAACGAAAAGAGAAGAGACTAAAGCGCCTTAGAGGTAAGACCAAATCTTGACGATTATGTATTAAAACATTTATTTTAAAACTCACTCTCTTTGTAGATGCTAAAAGTCTTGCAGAGATGCTTATCAGGTAAATATTATTATATTATACTGTAGTTTGTTGGTCAAATTTGTTGAGTTTTTAATGAGCTTTGACTCTGTCTTTTGCAAACAGTAAAAACAATCGTACCATAGACACCCCTGTAAAGGGCCCTCCTCAGGGGCCTCGGCTCCACATAGATATCCCTCGGGTTCAACTTCTCATTGAAGACAAAGAGGGAATAAAACAGATTGGTAGGTAGAAAGTGAAAACATTCCTATGCTACTCTATGTTCTTGCCCAGGACACTGTGATAGTAGATGTGTTTTTGTTTAGGAGAAGACAAAGCAGCTGTGCCAGTGAAAGACACTGAGTTCAGTCAGTCAGTGAATCCACAGAACTTCTGCACTGGGGTCTCCCTGCACCATCAGGCTCTCATACAAAACTCAGGACCACTCATTGACATGTCCGACATCCGCCCGGGCACAAGTGAGTGTCGCTACATGAGACATGAATCATGTACCACTTGTTTCTAAATACAATACCTGTGCTGTGTTAGACCCAGTGTCCAGGAAAAGTATCAAGTCTGCTCACAGCTCAAGAAACAGATATTCAAGTCAGTGGACTCTGAGTCGCCCGAGCCAGACCCAGTCCACAGCATCAGCGCGGACCTTGACCTCTGACTGGAGGACTCTGGGCTCTCGTGGCATCACCGCCACAGAGAGCGACAGCTACAGTGCCAGCCTATCTCAAGACACCGGTAAATACACAAAATAAAGCACAATTACAAAATCCACCTACAGCAATTCATCTTTGAACCATATCCTAACTGGGATTTATTTTTCAGACAAAGGTCGTAATAGCATGGTTTCAACGGAGAGCGCCTCATCCACATACGAGGAGCTAGCCCGAGCTTATGAACATGCCAAGCTGGAGGAGCACCTGCAGCACGCCAAGTTCACCATCACAGAGTGCTTCATATCTGACAGTTCCTCTGATCAAATGACCACAGGCACCAATGATCCGGCAGACAGCATGACATCTCTAAGCACTCCTTCAGAGCCGGGCATCTGCCGCTTTACTGCCTCGCCACCCAAACCACAGGACTACGACCGTGGCAAGAATGTGGCTGTGCCTATCCCACACCGCGCCAAAAGTGAGTGCTCATGTATTAATCAAGGAAATGTTGAAGGAGCTATACCTTACAGAATGTTTAGCACCGCCCCCAACTCACTCACAGGCTTCTCATTTCCCCTACGCTCTCATAGCACAGAGCCATCTAGTTTTTGTGATCTGATACGTATGCTGACATTATCATGAGCGCAACTTCTTGTAAGCTGTACAACAATCACTGATGAAATGGTACAAAAGCAACACATATATAAGTAAAAGAATACCGCTAGTTTCGTCTGAATGTTTTAATTTAAACATTAGAATATATTCTAATATTTAATTATAATTAATTATACAGCTCCTCACAGCAGCAGTAGAACACTCCATTGATCTGAATGTAATTTCAAAACGTTCTACCGATCATTTTTTCTTGATAACAGAACTCTCAAACCAATAATGACCGCTGCCCTTTGGCAACACAATCTTTGTTTGTAATTCAGGTGTGTAAAATACTAACATTACTCCGCAAGTACAACAAGCTTTCAGCGCCTACTTCCTTTTTTGCGAATGTATTCCAATGTAGTTTTCATACTGCACATGACTAATAAAAGGAATCTGAATCTTCTGTCTGTGCAGAGAAGCCACGCTCAATAAACAAATACCAATCAATCAATCAACACCTTTAAATGTTAATCGGGAAATACATTGTACATGTACATCCTTAACACACGTGCACGGAGGTTTTCAGATTTTTTTGTTAAAATGTTCATGACAAAAATACTGTTTTAGTTTAGTTTAGTTTAGTTTAGTCTTTATTTGAAGGGACAGTGTACAGAGACATTAAGCTCAAAGACAGATATGTTCTGCACCAGATTATAGCTAAACAGCTAGTTTCCATCTGCAGTCCCTGGTTACATCAATAAATTAATGTGACAAAAAGCGATCGCGATAAACCCGGAAGTAACCATTAACATGAAACGAACATTTTAGGACACATTTGAAGAGGATCTGATGGATTTAGGTTCGGTATATAAATGGGTAACTCATCGCTGATGTTCAAAATTCTTTGTTCAGTTTTCATGTAGTTCCAGAGAGTTTTTTAACTAGCTAGCTTAGCTGTTACCTGCCTAGCACGTTACGGTGAAACCTTTGGGAGCTAACTATTTTATTTGCAGTCATTAAATACATCTCGAATATTAAGGGCTGTCTAATATTCATTCGAATATGTATATTTTTTAATTTTCGAATTATATTCGGATTTCGAAGTCAAAGCCCGACTGTTTAGCAGCGCTGTAGAGGCTAGAGGACGCAGTTCTGTGATTTGAGGAGAGCTAGCGTCACGCTAAGTCTTTACTCAGCACTTTTTATGGTCTGAATTCACACACAAGCTGAATCAATGAGCTCAAGTTTTCAATTAAATTACGGATTATAATACAACTTGTATGTAGTAATAAGCATTTTTATGAACTCGGGTATAGCATCTTTAATCTTACCCTCATAAGTTACAGTAAATATGTATACAATTGTTAGACTCATACTCAATAAAGTTGACACAGCTTTTTAGAAGTGCAACTCTCAATGCTACATTTTACAGAACCAGCACAAACAGCATCTACTAACCTCTTGGCCATCTGATTCATTATAAAACAAAGATTTTCACAAGCTTACATCATTCTCTTTTCTTACCCTAGGTGAATTTTGCAATCTTCCCCTCTACATGAAAACAGACCCGTTCTTCCGTAAACAAGGGGAGCTGCACGACCCGTGTCCTGCTGTGCCTCCACGGGAAGCTTCAATTCGCAGTCTCACACAAAGAGGCTATCATACCCAGGGACGCCACAAGACTCTAGACTCCAAACAACTGAGCCACTCGGGGCTAAGTAGCCTGGGTTCAAGCTCAGGCACTTCCACTCTGCCCCAAAGGACCCTGACTATGCCCAGCTCCAACACAGCGGCCACGGCCTCCACCTCGAGCACGAGTAGTAACCCCAACAACAACTCCAAGGGCGGCTCCAGAGACTCTCTGCTGGAGAGCAGCTCATCTGCACTGGGAAGGCTGCAGAAACAGAGCGCAGGCGCCTACTCCAAATCCTATACACTAGTGTAGCCGGCTCATTTGCACTGACTGCAGCGCCCACGCCAGGGGCGCCTGGGACAGAGACGCCTCTTTAGACCCAGTTATGGAGAGCCCGGTGTCCTGCTCCGCTGCTCTACTATTGCAGGAGGCTGTGGTCCAGCAGAGACTCCGCTAACTGGACTTTTTCATGTACTCCTGGGACTCTTGAAAAACTACTAACTATAACTAACAGATCCAGCAGGCTGGTGTTTGCTCTGGTCATTTTTTACTGGGGTTGCACTACGCAAAGCCTGAATGCAATTCTGTGGTCATTTTGAAAAGTTGATTATGATTGGGAGCTCTCTTATTACAAGACGAAAACTCTGATCCAGTGTGAAGCTGTGTGATCATCCCGTTTCTCATGCTCTGTCCTTCTTACTTTGGTCTTATACGTTCACAGACTTGAAGTTAAGTTTCCTCTTCTAAGTGTTACCCCTCTCATGTCTCTTAATGTCCCACATTGAGATTGGCAGATTTACACAAAAATAGATTAATCAGATAAGCTTTCAGGAAACATCAAAGTTTTATTGTGTGACAACTTTCTGCACATCTCCAAATGACAACCCAAATAACTAGCTTTGATTTCTCACATAAAAATAGAGATTATTTGGTATTATAAAGAATTTACATATATATTTCTATGTATAGTATTGACATTAAAGTGAAATTATGACAAAGTATTAATAGTGTGCACCACAGCAATGGTATGGTCTACTAAATTTATCAAAAGACAATCGCTCAATCATGTGAAGAGGAATTTAAAAATGTTGGTTTAAGATAAGTGAATATATAGTATGTTCTGTATGGTACTGTTGGATGACTGCGTTAGAGAAAACAGTGGAGTTTTCTTAACGATTTCAAGTCCAAGGGTTCTGGTGAGTCCAAAACAACGCACTAATACTATGTAGCATTGTCCTTATGGTGTGTGTTTGGAAAATATCTGGACAAAGAAGTTTTATGATACCATTTATGACTTTGACGAGATGGCATGGGTGGTATGTTTCAGTAATATCTATGTATAATCTTCTAATCAGTATTACAATCAGAGTATCTCCTAGTATTGTTGTTTTTGTTCAATAACAGCTGCTAAAATGTACTAAAACAGTATTATTTCCCAATTATAAATGTCTTCACTGTCAAAAAACAAGACGGAAATCCCAATCATGATGTGAATGGAGCTTAAATGATATACTTTATGTCAGGGATCATTTTAAGATGATATAATGTTCGCTCAATTGAAATAACGTATATATCGGTAAATGTTTTCCTATTTCTGCGGTACTGTTTCTGTCCTGTTTGTTTTCTCCCAATGTACATTCAAACAGATAACTTCAAGGAGTGTCTTTTTGAGGCGCCTCCTTGTGTTGTGGTTTACATTGAGTTACATTTTTTAGTCCATTTGTCTGACGTAAAGGAGTTAAAAGATATAGTTTATATGTATTTTATGAAATTATTTGCAATTTTGATTAAACAGTTTTGGTACATGGCCTAAACCAGTCCAGCCAAGTCAAATCAGGGACCCGTAGCTCTTTTGGTCACTCGTGTACATAGCGGTGGGTTTGAGCAGGTTGGATCATGTGGCGCGTCCAAACTCCAATGATTTCAATTCAATTGTCACTTGCTCCTTGATTTGTCCCTTTGTGCGTGTTGTTTATAGATCAAGTCTTGTACATAAACACAGTTTTGTATGAAGAGCTATTTTCAGCAGAACAAATCAGGGGACACATCAGGGTTGGATGCCCCACTTTCCAAAACAAAAATGAAAATTTGATTATTTCATTTCTTAAATGAGCAAACTATTCTTTTCCCTTTATGTTTTTGATACTATTTTGTTGACTTTTGATTGTTTTTAAAAAGGTCTTTTGATGTTGTCACTTGTCCTGTTAACTTTTATATTATTTTGTATTTTATTTTTCATCCTCCAAAAGTCATTGCATGCTTGCTTAAAGGGAAAATAGAAGGGAAAATGTATGAAAATCAAAAGCAAAATCAAAAAAAGTTGCGGGTATCCCAAACATTTGTTTGAGTTGCTTGTTATAGCAAATGCTTGTGTTCAAAGGTACATTTTCTATGAAAAGAAACAAAAACTAAAAATATCATTCTAACACCTTGTGCAATAAAGCTATCTTTCATATGTCATGGCTTCTGCTGTCAATCCCAGACTATACATTGTGTTTGCTGCTCTGAGTTGAATAAGAATGAGCTAGAATCTATTATTCTTACTCTTGCCTTCTGTATCATCATGTAAATCCTTCCAGTCGACTTAACTTGGTAACTGGCGAGTAGGTACAGCTTTGCCATATTTGTAAATGGCAATTAAAGAATTGGAATTCAGATATGCTGCTAAATAAAGTGGTAAGAGAGTTTCCTACAGATTGAGGTTGGCCAACTGCTTTACCCACAACATGTCGCTAGATGGCAGTGTAGACACACCTTATTCAGGACTGCATCCATATCCAGAAAATGTCTCCCCCTCATGCTTTTCGTTGACCTCGGTGACATTACTTTTTACCAAGTGATATTTACCAAGTCTGGAATAACTATATTCACTTGAACAATCTTAGATTTGCTCTTTCTCTTAAAATATCAATTGATAATAAAAAAGGCATTCTTTTTTTAATTTGGGTACAGCCGAGATCCCTGGAGATCAGCTGCTGACAGACCTGTGAGCAGTGGTTCATGACAGATGCTGTGAATAATTGATCTCAACAGAGTCACCTTCACTGCTCCAAGCTTCCACATCAGTGTGTTAGTTCATCAGGACCATTTCATGTCCTAAAATGAGATGAAAGCATAATTCTGTGTTTGTTTGTAGTTCTGTCAATCATACTCCCACAGCTACAAAGCACAGATCAAAACATAATCAATAGACGCATGCTCCATTGTGTGATAACAGCAGGGCGTGACAGGTCTTTTCTGCCTCCTCCTCAGTAATAATAGTCCTTAAACAGCCCAGACGCTGTCAGGGCAGTCGGTCACAGTGAGAATCATAGAAATTATTATGATTTAACGGCGCATTTGTGCCAATAGTGAAAAACAACAGGTGCTGAGGACAATTTAACAAGATTTAATTTATTAACTATTATACAGTTCACAGAAGGCCTTCATCTTTGAACACTTCAAGTTGTATGATCTGTCCTTGGTGCACAGTACACGTTTCTTCTGTTTCAGTAGTGTTTGTTTGGATCTATGTTTCATCCTTCTTTGAGTTTTTTTTTTCATGCATTAACCTTACTCGGCCTTGAGCCATTCACAAAAATTGTAAAAATGGACTTTCGATCATTGAAATACACACTAGAAATGTTTCTACCACTGACTAAAGGGAGGAGCCCCCAACATACAAATAAACACATTATAGAGTAGTATGCACTTTGCCAATGTTGAGTTCGGTCACGATTGTGTACACCTGCAGTAAGCAGCAGTTGGGTAATAAACTCCAAACAGCATTGTGATCCCAAAGTACCAGTGAGTTCAGATCCTAGAAATACTTGTGCCAACAGTGCTCTACATACGAGGAATTTACCAGAACACAGTCACCAAGAACCTGTGTCAGTTTCTCCAAAGACTTCATTCAAAACACTGCTTCACTTCCGTCAGATCATTAAATGACTGCGTCTTCATTCACAATGCTACTATTGGAAATGTGTTACCCTTCTCTTTGCCAGAAGAAAAACAAGTGTGTAAGCCAGCACTAAACTTACTCACTAAAGCAGCAGATGGGTCTTTCCAAAGTCCCATTCACAATTTTATAAAAGTCTACAGGGTTGTGTTTACTGGGACCATTGAAACAGTGAAAGGACCAAGTTAGAAGTCCTTAATATTGGATGAAAACAAAGAGGTGGCCACAGCAGTACCCCAACCGTCTAAGGTTTCAATTCTGTAATCTCCATAGTCACCAGATGGCAACAGAGCCGTTATGGTATCACTAGTTGCTCATTACATTTCCCCATTTAACCTGGTATCATTCACCTGAATGAGGCCATATATTTTTATGCAGACTAAACTTCCCTAAACATCTATTCAGATCCATCAACATCTGACAAATGATTCAAGTAAACTAGCTTTCACATGGCTGGGTGTATAAGGAAAATGGTCAGATACAGACTTCTCATCAGTTTAAAATGCAACTTGGATTTTCGTGACAGTTTTTTTTTTTTTTTTACAAAAAGGATCTTGTTGTACCAGCCTGCTCTGATGCCACACCAATAAAAACACAAACGATATGGGCCGTTAGTCAATGTGGCATCTCTTCAATTAATGCTACACTATGAAAAGTGCTTGGAGATAAGTTAGAATAGGAAAAAAACAAAACATGTCTGATGTAAACAAGATTTGATCTGCCATGGCTCTGTTTCGGCAGGAGTTATGGCTGAGCGCTGAAATAAAAACAGTGATAGATAAAGTGCATCCCTGGATGTGTACCCTTCCCCTGCTCCTGACAGCTTCTCAATACACAAGTCATACACAGGAACAGTCCATCAATCCAGTGGCAGTACTTCATGAGAAAGAAATTAAAATACAGGTTAAAAACAGGTCTTCCAGCTTGGCATCTGGAGGTCTTTTTCTTGGTAGTATAGGGTAAGTGGTGTCATCAGAAGGCTTGTAGTGACGGGGCTCCCTGTTGCCCTCTAGTGTAAGGGCATGGCAGTACCAGTTTGTGATCAGAAAGTCTTTTCACTCGCCGCAAGCATCCAGGGGGTCATGTCTCTGGTCTTCAAGTTAACACAATCTTCAATGACAAATGCTACCACTAAAATGTGATGCCATTCAACTCAGCAAGCACAATTACGACAGAGAGTCTCAAGAGGCTGGAAGTACATTTGTGTTTTCTATAGTGAGATGTGGTCCAGCATTGGCACGGGCGGCACGAGTCTCTCACAGTGTCTCCTGTTCGGCCGGTGAGTGGTGGGGGTGAGGTTGCTGGTGCAGTGGGGGCAGAAGGGACTGGAGGGGAGACTGGGGCGTGGTGGGGGGAGACTGCTGCAGCGGGCTGAAGTGCGCGCCGCTGTGAGGGGGAGAGGAGCGGTAACAGGTGTAGGCTGAGGTCAGGGCAGTGGTGGGAGAGGCGGGCAGTCCTCCGAGCCCAGTGGGGGAGTCGATGAGGGGCTGGTTGTAGAAGAAGAATGCGCACTGGTGGATAAAGGTTTCTATGATTGTCTGGTAGGTGCGAGTGGCAGTCAGAGCGTCCATAGTGGTGAAATCTGGTCTCATCAGCGTGGGCCAGAAGCAGATGGAAAGATTCTCACTAGTCATCAGGTTCAGCCTACTCAACTGGCTCACCCTTAGGACACACAAAGACTGGTATTAAAAAGGGAATTCTCATAAAAGCTCTTTTCTGTTGGAAAACAAAACAAAAAGCTGGTGCGCTTTAAAATTGTACAGCAAATACTTGTAAAGAGCAAATTTGTCCTTGCTTTCCAGTATATGATTTCAGCCTAATTTCTATTTAACCTCACTTTCAGGAGCATAGTTGCAAATCCTTCTTCTAGTTGGGAGAGTGGGTAGGCTTTTTTATACTGAACGTTTTACAATTTTGCAACAAATTTAGATGTGCTGTATACATGTATATATGCACAACATGATGTTATAGCTCTCTATGGCACAAGAATTCCCTTCAGGATTAATAAAGTTATATCTAAGTGAGTCACTCACTATCTTTAGTGAGTGAAGAGCAAAACCCATGTAGAAGCTGAATGTGCCAAACTCACTTGTGTAAGTGACTTGCAACATATTTGAAGACATCATAGTTCTCCCTGGGGAACTTCCTCAGGACATCCTTCATGGTGTACAGCCTCTGTTCTCGGTCATTAATTTCTGAAAGCAGAATATGTTTGGATTACACTTTCATCATCAAACTGATCTCAAGCATGAAGAGTAATACAGCAAGAAGGGCTGGAACAAGTTCATCGATTATGAAAATGGAAGTCATTTTTTAACTTTACATTTCTACTTCACAGAGGTTTCATGACTGATAATTCAAAATGAAAAGTAAATATGTTTTAATAAAACAACCCAATGTGTAGCAAGTCTCTACAAAGATAATCTCCAAAACTTTAACTTGAGCTTTGTTTTTGGTCAAATGTATAAAACATCTCATATCTAAATCAAAAAGAATAAACAGCCAACTAATTGTAAAAAAAATAGATTAAAAATAATTACAGCCCTAAAACAAAGTGAATCCACCACTAAAAACTCCCAGCCCTTCTCTGTTTAAAGAAATGTTAAAGGTCTTTATGTTGAACAGTGAGCCTCTCAGCACAGCAGTGTTTGCTTACTGAACGCCTCCAGTAGGTCCACCTGCAGAGCACAAGGCACCAGCGGCTCAGGCAGCTCCGAGAAGAAGCTCTTGAGGGCTCCGGCTACAGTGTTGATGGCAAAGTCTTTTTCCACCAGATCTAATCCATGGTCTATAGAAAAAAAAAGTCAATGAGTCACAATAATTAACTGGGTAAACAATTTGTTTTGCATAAACAGGGTCATTACTCCACACATGCACAGAAATAAACTCACCCTGTTCAAACTGCTTTTGCATACTCTCCATTTCAGACTTGTTTCCACTCACTCGGTACAATCCTTCTGTGTTGAGGCCTGAGGACAAACATACAGCAGAATAGATGTATTGGGAATTACAGAGCAGAGCTGCACAAGCATTTTATTAACCATACTACAAACTGACAAATAGCCTTTTGTTACTTAAATGTTGTTTTTAGATTGATCCTTTGCACTCAAGGGGAAAGTAAACAACACATTGATTGGATGGATGGAGTCTACCAACCTGTAGTCTCAATATATCTGACACACTTCTCAATGAAGAGAGGGATTGGTCTGTCAGGAGACACCACACTCGCAAGTGGGACCCCAAAGTAGCAACTCTCTATAGGTTTGGGAATGGCAGGACGAGGTTTTGCTCTTGTTTTCTAAGGAATACACACAAAGTTAAAAACAGCAGCATTAGGATTCAATAAATTATGTTAAAGTTTACGGACTCATACCTTGGCTGTCCGCCGCAGACTCTTCAATATGTTCCTTTTTTTGGGATCTTCAATCTCCTCAACAAGACTGTCGCTTTTTAGGGTCCCATAGTCTTCCTCCTTGGACTTTGGTAGAGCCCCCATCTCATCATCGCTGCCAATGAAGCTCGTGCGAAAGCTGCTAAATTTTCCGAGCCTCTTGGAGCGATCGCGGTAAAGGCGGGGCTTAACTCCAATAGCAGAGAACTTTCTCCTTCTTTCTAGTGAGCTGCTGTCAGCTTCACTGTCCGAGCCATTTCCATTGGAGTGCATCCGGTTGGAGTTGCGGATAGTGATTATTTTACCCTGTGTGCTGTCATGGGGAACAGAGTAGATGATCTCTTCGTTGCTGAGACGAGGCTTTGAGACAGCGTCCAAAGGTTCAGCGTAGTCGGATGGATCATAGCCAACATCTCCCCCTGGAACCCAGGTGACTGCAGAGGGCAGAGAACGCCGATGACCAAGTGTGTCAATGTATGGGTTTCTGCTCATTTTACGAAAGTCAAATGTAACGCCAGGTTTCACTCGAACTTGGGCTGGCACTTTGTTGTTGAGTTTGTTTTCAAAGTCCCTAATATCAGATATGACAGAAATGTCACTTGAATCCATGTCGGGAATGTTGAAGCCTCCTCCGTGGGATGTGAGCGTGCCATCATAGTATGGTGGAGACGGCTCCACATCATCCTCTGAGTCCAGGTACATAGTGACAGGGCTGGGCGAGCTGCAGCGTGGGGAATACACGTTTTCACCGGTGCAAGCTTCGGCAACATTATCGTACATGTGAGTGGCCTCCACAATGTTACGTTTCTCCACCACCTCCATGAGGAAAGAGTGAAACATTTCTATTCTGTGCAGACCCCCCACTATGCCCCCAGAGCCACACACCAGAGTATTGAAGCGGCCCTCAATCTCATGGGCCAGCTCCTCTCCTGCGACGAGCTGCTCGCCAACATAGTCACTGTCTGTGAGCTGTGCCTGGCTATCGCCCACAGCCAAGATTTGTACTGGGATAATGTCCTGAACCTCACAGAGAAACGCACACAGAGTCTCCAGGGAGGCCTTACGGGAGGCAGAGTACACTGCCATGTAGCCATGGACCAACCTGCTCTTTCTTAGAGTGAACGAGGCATGATATGACAGCACTGACATCTCTATAGCCAGCTTGTGTCCACCCACTGTCTGCTCTAGTATGACAGAGGTACCACTGCCGGACATAGGCCTGCAGTGCTGAGGCATCAGAAAAGGAGACAGGAGCTGCTCTATATCGTAGGGGTCTCCACACATCAAACACATGACAATGCGAAGGTCTGCCTCAGGGACAGGCTGAAGAGGAGAGTCTCTGAGTCCAGGAGGTTCAGGGAGGAGGGGTGGTGAGCTGCTACTGAAAGATGTACTCCGTCTGATATCCAGAAGACTTCGAAGTACCTGGTTAATCTGTGACTCACTCATGTTGTGGCCATAACCAACACCAGGGGAGGCAGGGTCTAAAAAGCTACACTGAAGTCTCCGGGATACCTGCTGTCCCTGTGTTATGAGGGCTAATGCGGTTTCCCCACCAATATCTGAATAGGACCCCACTCCTCTCTTTGTCACCAAAAGCAGTGACAAGGGCAGCTGCGCTAACATACTATCCCTTCTGCCTAATGTCGACTCCCTCAGTCTCTCCAGGCTTTCTACAATATAAGAGAGTGAATCTTTTGAATTGTACAGACACAGACAACCGTGAGGGGTGAATGTTGGTGTGTGAAAAGAATTCACTGGGAGACGCACATTCCCTTCAATGGGCCGCAAAGTGAGTTCATACATCTTTCCATCTAACACATACCAGTCATCATTTGTGCACAAAGCTCTAATCTCATTGGCAAATTCTCTGGCCAATCCATCCTTTCCAAGAATAACCAGATTGATTCTATCTGCTTTGTTATCCCCAAAATGACACTTCATGTCATAAAATGGATAGTATGTGGGGAAACGAGACGCTAAAATCTGTTCTATCTTGGAGTCCCCACAGTGCGGACTGCAGGGACATGTCTCCTTTGTGGGGTGGTAGACAAAGTGGATATGTTTCAATACTAAAGCATCTCTTTCGGCTGGAAGCTTTTGTAACGCCTTGAAACGCTGTTCTTCCCCCAGAACCTCCTGAATGGCACCCATCTTTTCTTTGCTCGGTTTAGCATCCACCTCAAGCTCATAAAAAAGCTCAGAGTACTCAAGTAAGAGCTCTTGGAAGTCTTCCTTTGCTCTGTCTATAATCTCTTTCTGGTGCCGGTTGTACAGGTCCAAGTACTCTGGCTCCTCCAGCCACTGATAGAACTCTTCATTCATGATGAAGCTGCGAGCCTCTTCCCACGGTTTTCCAGGTGTGACAAACGGAGATGACATTAACCTATGTCTGAACTGCATTCGGATCTCTGCTCGTCTGCACTCATTACGCAGGTGTTCTAGGTGGGCGTTAAAAATGTCTTCTGCCTCCCCAGTCTCCAGAAGGTCTGAGGGGATCCTCTCGTCCTCCATGTTGTCGATGTGGGATGTGTCCTCCCACGGAGAATCTTCCAACACAACAAACCAGTGAGCAAAGTGCGGCTTTGACTCCAGGACCTTCTGCACCCCGGACCAGCTCAACTGATCAATCTCATCCAGGTCAGGCACTAAAGAGCTAAGTGCTAAAGGAAGAGTGCTTAGGTAGATCTTGCGACGTCTCTCAATGTGTTCTTGTTTCAAACGATAGACATGCTGTTGGAACAATTTTTTGCATTTCGCTGTTCCCTCCAAGAAGACATAATCTTTATACTCTGGGGAAGTATTCATCCGCCGGCTGGTGTTTAACCAGGTTTCATTGTGATTTTTGACAATGCGGTTAATAAGCCACTCGTATCGATCCTTGGCTGATGCTATCTGTTGACTCTGCAGTTTCAGAGCCTCAAAATAAGGAATTATTTTGGGCTTTCCTCTGCTTTTATCAAGTAGTTGAACTAAAGTGAGAAACGCAAGATCTACATTAATATTTGAGCGAGCTGATGTCTCAACTACGGGCAGATTCTTTTTAGTAATAGCAAAGGTGTGTGCATCTTTGATATAGCGTTCAACTCCTTCATCACATTTTGTGAGTACCAAAACTATTGGTTTCTTGGACTTGCTCAGCTGACTGTACAAGTTACTGACAAACTTCAACTGGTCATCAAAGTTCCTGTTCATGCCACGGCTCACATCAACACAGAGCAAGAATCCATCGACCTGCAACTTTCCTTCAGGCATTTGTTTCTGCTCAAAGTCCTGCTCCAGACCCAGCTGGTCCGTGCAAAAGTACATGAGCTTCTCTGCGGAAGCCAGTTTAGTTGTGGCGGCCCGTTTGATATAAGGCTGCATCGCCGTGCTGCGATGTGGCTGAAATGTCTGGTCATCAATAAATTCAGTCTGCTCCACCACATGCATCCGACATTCAGGCCCCTCCTCCGTAACGCGGCCCACCTCCCCCCAAAACAGAAAGTGATCATTGTTCACGACTCGGCCTCCAAAGTCACTGGTGCTGAGGACTGATGTGTGGTCCAGGTAGAAGTCGTCAGCACTGGGCCGCACAAAGCGATTGCACAGGCAGGACTTCCCCACCCCACACTGGCCTTTCTCCTTCTCTGTTCCAGACAAACCCACCACAATCAGGTTGTAGAGGGGCGACCGGGCATCTTGCTTTTTTGCCATCATAATCTCCAGACGCTCATCCTGCCAAAACAGGCCCTGTGTAATAAAGCTCACTCAAACATGTGTTCACATAGATGCTCAGCTCAGATTCTTCCGCTGGACTTCAATTTGAATAAATAGCAGAGAGGTGATATCAGCAAAGCCTGTGAACAATACAGAAAATAAAACCAAAAGTCAAAACAACATAACTTAACTAAAAGTGACTTGAGAAAAATATACATATTTGTGTATAGTTTAAAACATAATGAATCAATTGGATTGGGGATAGCTTCTTTAAGATAGAGAAGGTACAGAGAAAATATTACTACAACTACTTTGAGTATTTGCTTGCTTTAAAGCTGCTCTACCCGAAGATAAGATAAGATCAGAAACTTTATTGATCTCATAATGAAGAGATCTTACTTTACATTACTTGATCATGCTGAAATGTGAATAGTAATGATTGATTGACTGATTGAATAGTATATAAATGAATGAATGACACAGCTATTGATTACTAACTCTGCAGTGACTTGTAGAAAATGTATGTATATTGTCTTATATTATCTTATTATATTATATTAAGCAGGTGTATTAATTGTATCTGAAATCAATTTAACAGCGGCCTACTTTGCTGGTCATATGTAAAACGATATGGAAGAGCATACATGCAGCAGCCACTTGCAACATTCACTCTTGACAGGGTCAAACAGAACATGGGCAGTTCACAGTGCTCAGCTGGGCTAGGCCTGGAGCACCCTAATGAACAAGCACCCTGAAATCTCATTATACACTCTTCTCCAGTGAGTCTAAGGTTAACCCAATGCCGTCTCATGACGCCCCAGCTCTGATAAAGATTTGGTTAAGAGATCTGTGCCAAGGATTACTAGTTAACATGAGGTTTAGAGTGCAAAGACCACGCCAGGCCCTCTGCAAAATGAACCAGCAGCATATGTCTGACTGTGGGCTATAGTTAAACACCGCCTACATGATATAAAGAAAATGATGATGGGCAGTGGTGCAGGGTGTAGCACTTCTTCACACACAGGGAATGAGGCAATAAAGAAGTGAGCGTGCAGAGTACATACCAGCGCATTTCTCCTTTCTCCTTCGCATCTGTCAGGCCACCTCCTGCCGCAGCCCTCACCGCACTCCTTGTCCTCTTTATCTACACCCAAATACAAAAATCACTCCAATTCGCGCGATCGAAACTGCGTCTTGCTTTAAATACCCCCCTGCCCATGCCCGTTTTCTCTTGTTCAGTCCCACCACTTTCTTTCTTTCTCTGCAAAAGCGAGACCACGCAAATGAAGGCGAAATCAATGTGCTCCAAAATTAAACCATTTGGCGTTGGCTTTTTCCCTCGTGTGGAATCAGAACGCTCAAAAATCTACTTCTCCGTCCTCTGATCGCTTGACCACGTTGCTTTTTCGATAATTATTCTGTCCATTGTTGTGGGCACATAATAATGCAGGCAGGGCCGGTCTGGCGCACGCACGGAACAATGCTGACTTGGGAGCGGTGGCTTCTCGGCTTCAAAGTGACGCACTGGTTCGGCCGCAGAGTCGCTCCATGTCCCGGGGAATGTGACAGCGGACTGCGGGTGTCTTTCTGTCAGCTTTGTGGTAATGGCGGCGGTGGTAGTAGCGGCCCTCCTCCCCGCTGGCTCGCTCGCTCAGTCGGTCAGGCCCTGGTTCTTTCTCTCTTCTTTTCTTTGGGAAAGGCAGCAGCGGTGGAGACAGGCAGATCACCCAGCGGCGCCCTCACTCACTGCAGCAGGAGCGAGACCTCTATAGCCCCTGCTTTTGCTTTTTTATGATCTCTGCGTTTTTATGATCTCTGCCACATCCATGCATCTAATATCAGGCTGTCTGGAAATATCCACATGTGCACGACAATTGATAGGTAAGAAGAAAAGTTGTGATATTGATGAAAAACAAGAATATTATACGTGTTTGCGGTAATTATGCTGTACATACTGCAAACACGTTTTATTGTGTTTTTAACTCATCAACATCAGGTTTAATAATTAGTTTCAGATCATATCATAGCACATGTATTTGATAGACAAAACTTTAGTGTTGCCGCCTCCTAGCGGATTTATCTGCCTTCAGAATTCATATTGTTTTACAAAGTGTGGTCTGCATATATGTGTCTGGGTTAAAGTGGGATATAAGAGGAAACTAAAAAAAATACAAAGATTACTAAAGAAGAGACCTTAAACTGGGAGCGCAGGCCCTTTTGAAATAAGGAAACTCATTCACAGTGCGTGTGCGCGTGCGTGCACTTCTAACAAACACAAATAAAACCAGAGACAGAGACATTATTATGATTACCACTTAATTTCATGTAGTACTTTTCCTAATTGTAGCCTTTGCAGAAACTACATGCGTGGGTGGTGTTGTTTGCAGTAATTACAGCGTCATATGTCAACACTTTTATAAATATCAATTGAAATATCACACGTTTATCACAGGAAATGATCTTACCATAGTATATTGTTTTGGACTTACGATTCTGTAAGTTTGTATGTATGTAGCACAGTATCTTTGCTGCCTGTTGTATTTTCAGAATCAGGATTACACCTTCCTCCCCCTGGTGCTTTAGTAAACTTTGTTAACTTTTGTTCTTGTTAAAATTTCCAAGCCATTCAAAGAAAGACAAATTCCAATTAGATTTTCCCTTTGCATGTAAGACTATTAGACTATATCCTTTCAGTGTAATAGGGATACGGGGCAGCAGAGGTTAGTGTGGGGTGACAGAGACGGCAGATGGGCAGTAGCTGGGAAACACTGCCTCCACCAAAGACATAATAGACAGAAAGGGAGGCCAACTCAGGTAACTCAAGCAACCGTCTTGGAAATCCTGTATGCGTATATGTCAGCAAATGATAATAAATAGATAAGACATCATTCTAAACTCCAATCTATTCTATATTGTTGAGAACGTGGTGATACAGAGAGCGGAACACACTCTTGCCTTGCACAATAGACATGTGAGTGGGGTAAATAAATCAAAACAGCAAGCTCTTATTTTGCATCTCTTTTACATTTTACTTCCCTCTTCACCCACGTTGCATACATCTGAAAGCTCGAGGTTCTACTAATTTTGATTACAGAGAAGTGAAATCCTCCTGAAGGGAAACCATAAGGAAGGAAGCTGCTCTTACAGGAACAGGCAGAGCAGCAGTAATTGGAAAAAGACCTGGTAAAGAATGCTGCGCTGCTGGCTGAGGTAACAAAGACTGACTCAATGAAGGTTTTTTATTTACAATCATTTTATTTTGTGCTAATGTGAAATGCCTGGAGTCATGTTGTAATCATTCTCCATGTTTGTTGTTGCTTTTACTTCCAACAAACAGTCATTTCAACACTGCCCAAACTCACAAGTGAATGCACTCTTTCCCATTTGGTTACTCATTTTGGCACATACAAAAAACAGCCTGGGAGAGCTGGGGCAAGTTTTGTTTGCATGTATTCAAATGCACCTTAGAGCAATTCACGACAGCACATCACATCCGCCTGGACAATGGACACCACTTTTGTGCAATAGAATGACAGGGAAAACTATAAAACAAAATTGAAGCTTCAGCTTTGAACCAACTTTCTATAGTAAATAAGTTAAGTTGGTTGCATTGTGCTGTTCTTTTGATTTGGGGCACAAAAGGTCATGATTGTGGCTTATGAGTGAGTTTTTGGTGATATAGATGAAGTATACCAGTTTAATGCTGTGATAAACCCTTAGTGGTCCTCAGCGTCTGGTGGTACGGTAGCTGTTTCCAGGACCCCTGCTATATCTGTATTACTGCTAAACATTATTATCTTAAGCACTTCCGTCTTAGTTTTGCCCACATTCTTACTACAGTGTCTATATCTTAAGCATGAGTCATTAATATCTCAAGAGAGGACATCTTCTGTTCTTATGCACATTGGCAAAAATCATATAAAAAGCCTTGTCTCCTTTTGTTCAATCTGAAGGGACTTTTTTTTTTAAACGTATACGTACATGTGAAGTCGCTGCTGCCTTGTCTTTATTAAGCTACAATCCCCCAACTAGAAAAAAACCTGATTGCATCTTTATATTGTAGGATTAGTGAGACATTTTAACAATGGTGTAGATTTCTGGGAATACAAAATATTATGAAACTCTGGAGAAGTTGACAAAGTGTAGACTTTCTCCATCTGGCTGGCATTATCCAGATTCCTCAGAGCTGGATGTTTGATGATGCTGGCAAAGGGCAGAAACAGACTCGGGCAAAGTCTGGAAGAAGAAAAATAGGCCGGGGAAACCAGAGGAGGGCACTGTTTTCTGTGCTGTTGGCTCCACTCATGTCAAAAGATAAAACATGTGAATAAAGTGTATTTCACAGAAGCACCATAGTTATGCATAATGTATTGTAATGAATAGCTGTAGAAAAGTCCTTATTAGCATGAATGTGTGTCTTCTTTGTGTGTATTACTGTAGACAAACATTTCCATAACTTTTATCCCATGTGAATCTGTCTGAGCTTGTGGAGTAGAAAGGGAGGGAACAAGCTCCAAAGGGAGGAGAGCTGTGAAAGAATGTGCAGCGATCTCAGTCTTTATATGCCTTTATACCCTGCTCAGTGATTATATGTTTGTAGTTTGAGGCTCTTAGCAACATTTTCCAGCAGTGTTTTGTCCCTGGATATTTTTAAGCCTGTGACGTATGTGAGGAGTTCCTGCCCTCAGTGTTTTGTGTTGTTTGGTTTATAAGGAAGAAGAGCTTGACCTGCGTCTGGATGAACTCAAAGTGCAACCGAGATCTTTATTTTCTTCCCACAGAAATGCCAGACATAGAAATTAACTGAATGAAAACTTGGATGAAATCTGGGAGGAAGTTTGGCTCACGAAAAGGAAAGATGAGTGGATACTTTTGAGGAGTTTGCTGGGATCCAGGAGAGGAGTGTCTCCCCAGAACCAACAAATACTTTTGACTACAACCAAAAGGCAAAGATGAGATACCAAGCCAGGGTAAGCTACAGTGATTTTTCAATGTAAAAACTTGACTTTTCTGCTTGCATTCCTATCTGATCTGCTACACAGCGCCCAAAAGAATAATGACCAATGACTCATTCAGAGGTTTTATCTTGTGACTCAAGATTTTAATTAAGTACAGCACAGAGCAGCAGCCCTGAGCCATCAGAGCAGATAGAGTTCCCTCAGAGTGGCACAAAGGCTTTGTCAGTGGAAGAGCCAGCTGTGGTCCTGCAGCAGCACAGCCAAAGACAGGGCTGTGTGGGTATGCCTTATAAGGAAGACAATCCAAATGTATTTGGCCGAACAGAGCTTAGTCATGGGGCTCAGGGCCAAGTCCCACGTCGTCCAAAGTCAAAAGGAGCTCCTCATCTTCTGCGGATCGGCTGAGGTGAAAGTGCACGACTCTAGAGCTGTCAATCAAAAACTATACCTCTAAGATGAAAGTATGTCTGAGATGAGGCCCTATCTCTATCTTTATGTCCATAGTTCTATGCAACTTCATAAGTACATTTACATACAAAACCAGACACATTCGTCACAATAGAAGGTAGTTAGTAAATTAAAGCCAAAACATCTTCAAAAGACAAAACATTGAACTGTCAGTTGCTTGCTTTTACAGTTCTATCACTTGTTATCACAAATCATACATCACATGTATTTTTTGCCTTTGTCTTATCCTTAGATTAGCTTTTTTCAAAAAGAGAAGACAGCCCAAAGCATCAACTAGTGACTCACAGGATTCTTTCTTTCAAGCATGACAAAAATAATATGGTTTATCATAAGCCTTGTTTTAAATAAATTATATGACTCTTTTTGTTGGAACAACCAACAATTCAACAACTGTTGGAGGTTCCTCTGCCCACTTGTTTCTCCTACTTGAGATGTTGCATTTTATGGTTTTAACTTTTTTCTATGAAGAAAATAAATCAACATCAGATATCTCTTCAAATACATGTTTGTTTTGGGTAATTTTATCAGCAATGACATTGATTGAAACTAGATGAATTTAACCCCGTCCCATGGAACACTCAATGCTAAGGAATGAAGTCTCCATGGAGAACAAACAAACAAGTAGCGGTCACCACCAGAAAAGTTACATAGTGCACCTTTAATGCAAAAGAAGGTTATGAAGGGATAGTTTGACCAAGGGCATGTGTCAGTGTGGGACAACATCTTTAAACATGTGCATGAATAACATAACGTAGATAGTGCTCAGATGTATAGCAGCCATTAAATCTAAAGCCTTGTGTCCACCACTCTGACCCGAGCCTGGCCTTGCATTCCTGAGGTGTATCCTTTGGAAAATCTGACTGATCTGTAAGTGTTATGGTCGGAAGCCCACCTGCCACAGTTTGGGACAATGCAGGAGGTGAAGGAGGAGGAGCAGCCACAATGGAAATGTTCTGACCTTCCTCTAGTCCACAGTTTTGGCGGCGTTCCACTGTTGTACTTTGGTGTTTTTAAAGGATTTCCCTGCATCCAGAGCTTGGAGATAATGACCTGTTCCAACATTAGACAGCCAAACGAGACCCTCGAGAGCCTTCCCCATTGAACAATCGCAGTAGTCCTGTGGAGGGCTCACTTTGTTACAGTCAGTGGAACTTTCACATGGATAAGACGCTGGTGTTACACTGCTTTCATTTGTCACATTTGGCAAGTATTGATATAATTTATGATTCTTATGAGCGATGGCTGTGTTTGTTCCAACTGGATTTTGTGGATTTCATTATGAAGCATGGTTCCAATTACAGTTAGAGTTGCATGTTAAAAATATTTACTTTGACATTTCAGTTGATCAGTAAGTTCAATTGACTAACTATGACTATATACTAAGTTACTGAATCAAAACAAAAACTTGGTTACATTTTGACTATAACAAACTAAATCTGCAGTTTTTCATTTTTAAATTTTTACGAAAACTCTTGGAAAATCACAATATATGAAGTGGTTTTATTGTCATACTGTATTAATGTAGTGATCTTTTTTGCACAAATATTTCTTGTTATCTTGGGTTGGCGACACACACTTGTTTACCTCGGTCTGGTGATAAGGCAGTGTGTGTTGTATAAACTTTTTTAATTCCCATGAATGTCATTCTTACATAAGACAAAGTCAGTCCTCTCTGTTTACTGCTGGGTTGTTTGAATATCTTCATAACTTCAGAACTAGAACAATCCTGGCAGAGCTGAATGGAACAACTGTGTGATTTTTGGCCACTTTCAAACATACAAAAACAGAGCTGGTTGTTATTAAAGCTTGACTAATGTTCAAGTTGTGTTTGTATCCGCTCTTCGGTTTTGCTATGTTATCTGGACAGCTGTGTTTCTCTGTGGCCACATCTGTCCCTGGTGAGACATGACTTGATCGTCCTCTGCCTGTCAAGAATGTGTCACGATCGCTCCTGTTTATTCATTTTATTTTCATTTGAGCGTCACAGAAATTGTCAATTCAACTATAGATTGGAGAATTGGAAAATATAAACACAAGGAAATGCAATAATAAGAGTCATTGGTACATAGGAAGTGTGTTAAAGGGGCATTATGAAACTTTTTGTCTGAAAAATAGATTGATATTTTTGCATATTTGACCTTGCAGTGACCAAGTGGGTGTATGAGTGCTCAGCCTTTACTTTCCATCACAGAGGTCTCTACAATGCTGTAGAATCAATTGAAAGGTTTTTTTTTCTGTTGACAGACCACTGCACAAGAAAACATACACAATAAGTTATCCTGGAACACTGTATAAATAACCTTGATCAAGTTAAATATCAATGTATTTATTTTTGATAATGCACCTTTAAGTAATGCTGGATTGTCACTGCACCTAAACCCTCTTGGGTGAATAACAATGAACAGACTACAGGTGATTTCATTCTCTTTAATGATACAGTAGGAGAGAAGTGAGAATAGTGCTCAAGTACTTCCCCCATCATGATGTCAGCGTGACCTAGTATATCTTGTCTATAATAAACAACCATTGCTAATATAACAATGTCCTCTCTATGTTTTAAATGTGTAGGAGGTGGACATAGACGGCCGAGTGCGTCTGGTGATGGAGAACGCATTAACAGCGCGGGACAGAGTCGGGGTCCAGGACTTTGTGCTTTTGGAGAATTACAACAGTGAGGCTGCCTTCATTGAAAACCTCAGGAGACGTTTTAGAGAAAACCTCATCTACGTAAGTCCAGCGTGTTGTATGTGCTTTTGATGTTACATATAGAATGTAATTCATGTCTTTTATGATGTTTGGGGCAGACATATATTGGCTCTGTGTTGGTGTCAATGAATCCATACAAAGAGCTGGAGATTTACTCTAAAGCACAGATGGAGCGTTACCGAGGGGTCAGCTTCTACGAAATATCACCTCATATGTGAGTCCCATCATTCCACTTTAGATGTTATCAAGCATGTATGCATTTAGTAGTCTTTTTTCATTTTTAAAAATAAATGCACATTACTCATAAAAGCCATACAAACACATTCGGCCGCAGAAACTGGGGCATTAAATCTGGAGCACCTACCTTTGACAAAATATTTAGTTTGTAAGTTTGGTCCTATCACTAGTGTTCACATGCATGTATTTTGTGGGCTCTATCACATTTGTAAATCAGCTTTTTCAGACAGAAACGTGAAAAAAGGACAAGCTTCACTCATCCAATCAGCTGTCAGTATGTAAAAGATTTGATTTGTTTAAGAAATATAACTTAAAGAAGACTTTTTGTTGGGATAAGCAAAATGTATTAAAACAAAAAGGTTAGGTGCTCCATTGTCCTAAAATATATACAGCATTATAGGACAATTAATCAAGTGTATCTTATCTGAAAAATATATGCACAAAGCACCTGCTCTGTTCTTCTTGCAGCTATGCACTGTCTGACAACACATACAGAGCTATGCGCACAGAGAGGAAAGATCAGTGTATCCTCATATCCGGTGAGAGTGGAGCAGGTAAAACAGAGGCCTCCAAGAAGATCCTGTTGTACTACGCTGTCACCTGTCCCGCCAAGGACCACATGGACACGCTGGGGGACAGGCTGCTGCAGTCCAACCCTGTGCTGGAGGTTTGCAACTATCTCCAGGATCTTAAATAAATGAATGTACTGTGATCACATAATTATGTTTTTACTTGTTTTATCAGTTTAATGTTTCCTTTTTTGTTTTGTTGAGTTTCCCTGTGTGTGAATTGTGCTTTTGCCTTGTCCTTGCAGTCGTTTTATTTCCTGTCCCTTTTTTCTCACAGGCTTTTGGTAACGCTAAAACATTTCGAAATGACAACTCAAGTCGCTTTGGGAAATATATGGACGTGCAGTTTGATTTCAAGGTCTGTTGAATACATTTATCACATGTAGTTAGAAATGTCATATAACTCGAAATTTTCTAACCACAGGGAGCCCCGGTAGGCGGTCATATTGTCAACTATCTTCTGGAGAAGTCCCGTGTTGTTCATCAAAACCACGGCGAGAGAAACTTCCATGTCTTCTATCAGCTTTTGGAAGGTGGAGAAGACGAGCTGATCAAAAGGCTGAACCTGGACAGGAACCCACAGACCTATAACTATTTAGTCAAAGTGAGTTTTAAGGCATAGAAAATCAGAAAATATATATTTGACATTATGATTATGTTATCTAACAGATAATTACTTTTTAGGGTAACTGCCCCCGAGTAAGCTCCATCAGTGACAAGAACAACTGGAAAACGGTCAAGAATGCCTTTTCGGTCATCGACTTTACAGAGGATGAAGTGCAGGTCTGTATCACTGTAGACAAGGGGTGTCCCTTTTTTTCAATTTTAGAAGAAATTAGAATTGACATTAGTTGTGTATTTTGTCGAAGTGTGGCCATACTTGCATGCAAAAGAAAGATCCCTATAGACCTCTGAAGCTGTGTGGGGCAGGGCCTGGTTTGTACTGTGATGGGAGACCTCTGGGAACACCAAGTGTCATAGTGGAGCGGCTGTAAAGTACCAAACTGTCGTTGTGTCCTTAGGCCTGACACTTCAACCACGTTGTCTAGAATGAGTCCTGTGCGTGTGTGAATGGCTGGGGGTGGTTGAAGGGGCCGATGGCACATACTGGTTGACTCGCGTCTGTCAGTGTGCCCCAGGGCAGCTGTGGCTACAGTAGTAGTTTATCACCACCGTGTATGGAGTGAAAGAATAATGACATGTGAAGCGTCTTTGAGTGTCCTGAAAAGCGCTGTATAAAACCATTATTATTATTATCACATAACAATATTTGACCACAGATCTTACTGGACATTATTGCCAGCATCCTGCATCTGGGGAACACTCAGTTTGGAGAAGGGGAGGACGGGGAAACTCATATTACCACTGAGGAGCCGATAATGAGTCTGGAAAAGGTCAGCGTCCCTCCAGTATTAACACAACTTTAGAAATGTACAAAATGTTAAGCTGAGGACAGATGTGTTGTTCTGCAGCTGCTGGGAGTGGACGGTTCGGCCCTGAAGGAGGCACTCACCCACAGGAAACTCACAGCCAAAGACGAAGAGGTGGCTGTACTTTATTTACACCTTGTTTTTTTACATTGTGGTTTCAACTCTTTCATTCCACTCTTTCAAGATGATCAGCCCGTTAAACTTTGAGCAGGCCATGTCAGCTCGGGACGCCCTGGCCAAGGCAGTTTATGGCCGGACATTCACATGGCTGGTAGAAAAAATCAACCAGTCACTAGCTGTCAAGGTAAAGTACATTGAATTTACTTTGCTTGATCATATGAGATGATGTATCACTTGAAAAACAGGAGGAGATTTATCAGAGTGGCAAAGCATCTACGGTTATTGGACTTCTCGATATCTACGGCTTTGAGGTTTTGCAGAACAATAGGTAGCTTTTGCAGATTGTCCTTTATTGTTTAGGAAAACTGTTTTCAGAATGTATATATTTTTTTTTTTCAGTTTTGAACAATTCTGCATCAATTACTGCAATGAGAAGCTGCAGCAACTGTTTATTGAGCTCACCCTCAGATCTGAACAGGAGGAGTATGAGACAGAGGGGATCACGGTATGTGTGGAGTATGTTTATAAAGCATAAGAGAAACAGAATGTATTCTGTGGTATTTCCAACACAGTTTAGTCACTTTTTGGTCCCCGTAACATGTGTCCCGCTGAGAATGAGCCTTATGACACTTGCAAAGGCATTGCATAACTTTGGCTAAGCACTCAAAATTAGAAACAGTAACAATTGCTCTCTTACATAGAATATACACTTTTGGCAAATACAATGTTGTTGCAACTTGTTTACTTCTAGTATTGGATTTCCACACATGCTCAACAGCAGCAGCACATTTCATTTCTGCAGCGCAATGAAATGCATTACATTTCCTGCTTTTGCTTCACGTTATGAAACCAAAACAAAATAATGAAACACATGCAGCGAGGGACTATGGACTTCATTAGTGAGTCCCCTACAGGTGAAACGCTGACAACTCAAGAGTTTACTTTTCAAATGACAACTTGAAAGTCATATATGACAGACTCATGATTATTCGCAAAGTGAGATAATAGCAAGCGTTTATTTTTTCTAATGTTGATAATTGGTTCACAGCTTATTTCAAATAGAACATTTTACATACATTTGATATATTGAACATTTATTGTGAGCCATAATCATGACAAATATAACACGCAAAGGCTTGCTGTGTGTCACTTTGCAAGTATTGAGTCTATAACATGTATTGGTTCCACATTTTAAATTGTTTTACAGAAATGTTCATAGGGGTTTCACCTATGTAACCAAATACACACGATTCTAGTGTAAGAATGGCTTTTCCCTGTGATCTTCTAACATCTGCTGGCCTTGTAGTATCCAGTCTACGTGGTTACATGCCAGCGTAGGTATGTGCTTTCACACTTCAATCGCAGCGCACAGATTTACATGCATCTGGCTAAACTTTATTCGAATGGAGGCGAGGGACCCTGGTTGGTATTATAAAGATAACTTCATATTTACCAGTGCTTTATAAACATGCTCTGTTTTAGTCATAACATGTATAATGTATATACTGTATGTATGCAAAATCTTATTGTCTGCCTTTTTAGTGGGAACCAGTGACATATTTTGACAACAAGATCATTTGTGACCTCATAGAAGAAAAGCACAAAGGCATCATTTCCATTTTGGTAGCTGCAATTAACTATACATATAACATTTTTACTCTGTATTTCTGTATTTGAAGTTCTGTTGTTGTTTAGGATGAGGAGTGTTTGAGACCTGGGGAAAGATGTGACATTTCGTTTTTAGAGACATTGGAAGACTCTCTTGGTTGTCACCCACATTTTGTCACGTAAGCGTTTTCATTTAGATTCGGGCAATACAAATGTGTGCTATCTTATGCATGTTTTACTGATCCACAAACAGTCACAAACTGGCCAACGGGAAAACACGCAGAATCATGAACAGAGACGAATTTAGACTGTTGCATTACGCGGGAGAAGTTAATTACAATGTTGATGGTATGTTATTTAATCATATAGGCTACTGAAATACAATACAATAATGAACTCCCTTTTCAAAGGTTTTCTGGATAAAAACAACGATTCACTAAACAGGAATTTGAAGGAGGTAACTAAATGTATTTATTGTCTTTATGTATGCAGTATATTTGTATTTACCACACATTGAGAACACATTCTTATTATTGTGGATCTGAGATGTTACTTCTGCTTCAGGTTATGTGTCAGTCTGAGAACAAGATCCTGAGGCACTGTTTCCCTCGAGAGGAAATCTTTGACCAGAAACGACCTGAGATGGTGAGATGTGATTTTGTAAAGATATTTTTTACTGTGCGCACATTCAACACCTTGTGTTTCCTGAAGGCTGCGACACAGTTTAAAAATAGTCTGATGAAACTTAAGGAAATCCTCATGTCCAAAGAGCCTTCCTATGTGCGCTGCATTAAGCCAAATGATTGCAAACAGCCAGGTATTTTAGTCATGTTCAATCAAAGAAAATAAAGACACATTTCTAGATTGTTTAATATGATCCAGTGTTTGTTGCTAACTTTTGCAGGTAAATTTGATGAGGTCCTGATCCGGCACCAGGTGAAATACTTGGGCTTGATGGAGAACCTGCGCGTCCGGAGAGCTGGCTTCGCTTATAGGCGTCGGTTTGAAGCGTTCCTTCAGAGGTCAGTTCTTTCACTGCCCAAAGTACATAACTACATATACTAAGTAGTATTGTAACATATAATAAACGTCCTTATGTATATCATTTATTTAGATATAAGCCGCTCTGTCCAGAGACATGGCCAAACTGGCATGGGCCACTTGCTGATGGGGTGTCCACACTGGTGAACCACCTGAGCTACAAACCAGAAGAATATAAACTTGGAAGGTTGATACTAATACTAAATATGATATATCAAATAGTTACTGTGTATTGTGTATTTACTAAATACTCTTTGTGGCAGATCAAAAATATTTATTAGATTACCAAAAACTCTCTTCAACACAGAAGATGCTTTAGAAGCAAAGAAGCCTGAGATTGGTATTAAGGAAGCATCATAAAGCCCCAGAAGTATACAGATCGTAACACCGTGTTTGTGTTTATTAGTGTTGACCCTGCAAACATCCTGGAGAGGATACAGAGAACGAGCCAAATACAAACGCATCAGGCATGCAGGTTTGCTGAAATCATTGATGAGGTTTACGTCTATCCCATCGTGAAGTGGCTCCAGACATTTTCCTCTTGCTCTTGTAGTGATTGTGATCCAGTCGTTCTGGAGGGGCATGAAGGCAAGAAGACGCGCCGCCAGGCGGAGAGGAGCGGCCAACCTGATACGCAGGTGTTCTGTTAAACCAACGTGAACGTAAACCAAAATGTAAACTAATGACTAATCATTCCTTGTTTTCGTTTAGATTCATCAAAGGCTTTATCTACCGTCACAATGATTACTGTTCTGAAAACGAGTATTTCATTGACCACGTGCGTCGCTCATTTCTCATGAAGCTGAGTAAACACCTGCCAAAAAATGTTTTGGACAAAAACTGGCCAACTCCTCCACCTTCTCTCGAAGAGGTTCGGCCCAATCTCTGCATTCTCACATCCCCAACATTCAAATATTTTATTTCTATTTATTTTTCATTAACCATTAGGCATCTGAACATCTACAAAGACTTCATTTGTGCAATATGGTGACTAAGTACTGCAGAAGTATCCAGCCTGAATGGAAAAAACAAGTAAATAATATAAATAATCACATTTATAATTGCTTTCATAACGTACTGTCTTTTTGTGCATAGATGACACAGAAAGTTGCAGCTAGTGAGATATTTATGGATCGAAAAGACAGTTATCCGATGAGCGTTCCCAGGCTGTTTTTGGACTCAAGGCTTGGTGTGTATCTTCCAAATGAATCAATCTTTATTCAAACAAACTTAATTTTCATCTACCGTATTTATTTTCATTAGAGCGTGAGCAAATTAATCTAAAAGTTGTCCAGACACTTGGTACCGACAAAGTACAGGTGGGTTTTCAACATACAGTATTTGTGTGCCTGTCTTACACTGGTTTCTCTGCAGTACGGTGTGAACGTGGTTAAATATGACAGAAGAGGGTTTAAACCTCGCCCTCGACAGTTGCTCCTGACCAACACGTTTGCTGTACTTGTGGATAGGACCAAAATCAAGCAGAAAATTGACTACAACGCTCTGAGAGGTGAGAAACACGTTCAATGAAAGGTCACGTGTGGCACTACTTCATCTACATGTGTGAACGCTAATGAATAATATGGAAATGAAAGTCATGCTTTTGTCCAATAGGCATCTCTGTGAGTGCCCTCAGTGATGGGATGATTGTTCTGCACATGCCTAATGAGGACAAGAGGCAGAAGGCAAAAAAGGTTCGTTATGCAAAACTATTATTGCTGTGGTTTTATTTAAATGTGATGTGTCTTGATAGGGCGATGTCGTGTTGCACTGCTCCCATGTGATGGAACTGGTGACAAAACTCGCATTGATGTCAAACAAGACCAGCTGTGTGAACGTCAGTCCGGGAAGGTGATTAAATAATTTCTATTTTCAACAAAGCATTTGTATTTTTTCATTCATTTGTATGTATTAGACATAGACTGTAAGTATTGTATTAGATCACAAATCATTTACCCTTTAGATGTTGATAACAGCTGTAAGCCCCACACTTTTCTCTCATTTGAGGCTAATACTAAATTGCTTATATTACAGCATAACGTTTGTCATAGCACGTGGCCGAGAGGGATTCATTGATTTTACAAGGGGCTCTGAGTTGAGGGTGGTCAAAGGCAAAAGAGGACATCTACTGGTGGTGAGCAGAGGATTAATGCTGATGTGATGTCTTTGGAAAGTCTCTGAGAATGTTGTAATCTGTCTACAGACTGCTCCAAACATCAACAACACATGAACACAAAGCAGTATTCTGGGGTGGATTGCCGCTACCGACCAGGTCCTATTATCTATCAATCACAAAATAAGATATATTTGCCTTCACTTTTCAAAATAACAAGATTAATAATACCACTGCTCCAATGTTTTATGTTTTTATTTACGGTTCTGTAATAAACAGTAACTCTTCCCCATAAATTATTATAAATATAGCTGCAGCAATACAAAAATATAAAGATGTATCATTCCTGGTTGCCAGGAGAGTGTTTGGGAGAGTTGTGCAGTCGGCAAAAGTCACTGACTTTTGCAGATGGCAGTTTGTACCATTGTCTCCATCTGTGTTCCACAATGATGTGTGTTTTTGCCACAAAAGGTTTTACATGACTTGAATGTACACACTAAATAATAATAATAATAACAATGATGATAGTAATAATAATACTACAAATAAATAACAAATAAATAAGACATTAGAAATATTAAGCAAACAACACATTTTGTAGAGTTTAGTCCATGTCACATGGTTTCCCTTCTCATGGCTCCCGTAGTGGGACTTGCTTTGGTTGCCAGGAGGAGGAAGTCCCGAGCGAGTTTTGTGAGGTACAGGTTTAGATCCCTCAGGATGATGTATCCTTCCACTCGACTGTCCCAGCGAGTGCGGCTGCCGCTGCGCACAGACACTGTGCGCCCCACGGGAGCCCGAGTGCTGCCCGTGTGGTTCATCTGTAAGAGAAATCATGAGCTGTAATTCAACATTGTTACTTTTTTTATTTTCACTCATTAAGACTTCATTCAGTTTTAACATAAGGTCTTTGCAGAAGCTTGTTCCTGTTTTCACAACAACAATCATCTGTCCCAAGATTGTAGTCCTGTTTGAAGACGTGGACGTTTACTTGGTTTGGGGAATTCTTATATCTTTGATGAGTTAAGACTAGTCACTGTTCACTCAAAAGCAGAAAAAGTTTTACGAGAGACGTGATTTAATATCATTAGCACGTTATACATCTCGTACTTCAGAATATGATTCGCTAGTACTTTATGATGGTTATTCAACACGTGTACTGAAAACAAATAAAAGTATTATTGTGGCTGAAGCTCTGTTTGGTTGGTTGTAATTTAGCTTTTCAATTCAATTCATTCAATTGCAGATGTGATTGGGAGCGCTACCTGGTGGATCACTTGTCTCGTAAGATCACGAAGGTCACACTCGATATGTTGCATGCTCTGATGTAAAGGGCTGTGTGAGTCTGCAGCTGTGAGCTGCTCTCTTTTCCACTTCAGGATGTCCCAGAACACCTGCACGTCCCAGAGCGCCGTGCCAAGTCTCTCCTCGTCCTGTGGCACACACACAAATACACACTTTCAACACCAGGATTAGCCTTTATCAAATCCATTCTACTCTTTTGTTGGAGCAGTGTATTATGTCTTTGTTTGTAGTGTCGTATCAACCTCACACTTCGACAGACACAACTCTGGACTGGATTGTTCCTTGTTTCTGAATTATCTATTGAAATCCTTTCTATCTATATTATTGCTTAACCAATCACAATTTAAATGACAATACACTTTAAAGACTAACATTAAATCCATCCAAGCATAAACAACTTACTGTCATTTTAAGCCAGCTGTAGAAATCCGTGGACAATGATGGGAGTTCTTTCAGGTGTTGACTCCTGTCTTCATAATCCTTGCTTCCAAGCTGCTCTTCTTTCTATTATACACAATGTACACATTTGGTTGAACATCTCCTTGAATGTCTATTTATTGACTGTTAAGAGGACTTACATATTTCGTTAGCAATTGCTGGACCCTGCATCTTGTGAATAGCACAAGACGATAAGAAGTAATGTATTTGGTGTGAAGTACTGCAACTGGAAGAGAGTGGACGCAGATCAGCGAACTGAAGAGGAGGATGAGAGAGGGCCACTGAAGAGTCATCTGCAAACAATAGTAATATCAACAATAATATTATTGACAATACTATAATAACTACATTATTATATACAGTATGTAAGTAAGTAGTAATCTTTATTTATATAACGCCTTTCACACATCAGAGTCACAAAGCGCTTTACAATTGTTTTTTAGGCATTTTGTCTGTCACTCCACACAGAGATGGGAGCGAGTACAGGAAGCACATGCCAGACCTATTGCACATGTTTTTAGTGGTAGGGGAAACTGGAGCACCCAGAGGCAGAGAAGACACGGGGAGAACATGCAAACTCCACTCAGAAAGACCCTGTCCTGACCGAGATTTGAACCCCAGACCTTCTTGCTGAGAAGCGAGAGTGCTATCCTCTTAGCCACCATACTGCCCCATAAAATCATTATGATAATTATATTACAATTAAAACAAGTGCTAAAGTGCCAACATGATGAATACTAATTTCTCTCTTAAACCAAAGCCTTAGAAGATCATATTGATAGCCATAATCAATCATTGATCGATCAGTGAACTCACCTTGTTTATGTTCAGAGTCCAGTCCTGAATCAGGCTCCTTCATGTTGTTGTGTTTTTATATTCAGTAATTACTCTTCTTTCAGTTTCTGGCAGTTGTAGTTTCCCTCTCCTTCTTTCTCGCTCTCATTCATGTTGACTTAAGGAAGTCCTTATGCAATAACACCCACATATTTGGTTATGACATGCACCTGATCTAAGAAAACACACTCTTACATACATTATAATGATCTGTATTATATTCAATTCTAAACAAGTATTATGATTATGCTACTTATCTTCTTTTTTATTTTTTATTCAAAGATGTATCAATATTTGATCTACAAATAAGCTTCTGCCGTAAAACCATGCATAGTTTGGAAATGTGAAATGGAAATAATTTGATAAAATAAAAAATGTCATATAATCAGGCACATTTTGTTGATACAGATCTATGTTCTGTAGCAGCATTAGTGTGTAAATAAATGTGTAAATAAATGTCTTTTGTTGAAAATAGGTATCTATTTGATACGTACAGTATAATACATATAAATATATTTCACACACTTTTATTAATGTTTACTGAGGTGAATTACTTTAAGCCTTTTGATAGCTGTGCAAATGACCAGGGTTTCCACGATACAAAGGGGAACTCCCAAGCGTAGGTCATCTTTGGAAGGTACCTATTCTTCAACTGTTTGTGAAAGTTGGTCAATACAAAACACGACTGTCCTCTGAAACTGTGGGTAACTTGAGGTAAGTCCTGTGGAACAAATTTCAAAATGTTTCAATAAAGTTGATGTAAATTCCTGGCGCAAGGGTTTCCATCTACCTCATTGTGGCTGGACAGTTTCACTTCAGCACCAGTGTTGGCGACTGGGGCTACCAGGTCTTGTGAGTAGTGAGTAGTGTGTAGTGAACCAGGAACTATTTTCACATTTGTCCAGTTCTCAGGTCTCTGCACTGGCTTCATGTGGTTCAGAGAATAGACTTTAAACCAGTTCTGCTTTTCTCCATGGCCTCACACCAAAGTACATTAGTGACGTGAACCAACTCTGACTCATATAGGGGGAACAGGGACTGTCCTCCTGCTGGTGCCCAGAGTCAGGACCAAAAAAGCAGAGTCATGCAGCCACAAACTAAAACAGTCTTCCTCAAATCTAGGTTAAAAACAGTACGGTTAAGCAGTGCATATTGAAGGATTTAACTGACACAATTTTAAAGTACTGTGGATTTTAATGTACTGTGATTATTTAGGACATAGCCTACTGAAAGCCTCCCTTGGAAGGTGTTCCAGGCATGTCCTACTGGGAGGAGATCCAAGGGAAGACCTGGGACTCACTGGAGGGACTGGCAATGGATAAAACATAAGAACCTTTATAAGTGGATGATTATAACTTGCAATTATTCTGTTCCACTTTGGATTTACTGAAAATTATTATCGCCATGTTGAGAGCGCTATTCTGTGGTTATAGGCTATGAACACAGTCTGGTTAAATCCTCCATCCCATTCCCAGTTTTTGATTATCACAGAAACTCTTGTGGGTTATTTACAAACTTTCCTTCCATAATAGGCAAGTTTGAGCTTCCCTTATTTTTATGACCTCTATGTTTGCATCTCAGTCTCATTCATGGTTTCACACAAACTTCTTCAGTCTGAGTTTCTATCCATTTCAAGAAAATTCTTCCTTTTCAACTTCCGATGTAGTCATATAACATACATCTCTAGAGTACGGTCTGTTCATGAAAAAGTCTCGAAACATATTTACATAGAGTTAGGGTTAGTAAGTAAAAAGGAAACTGAAATAATAATTCAAATTAACATTATAAAAAACATTCACTGGTTATTCTGAAGTAAAAAATAAATGAGGTTTAATAAAAGATGAATTTATTTTCTCAATGAAATAACACTGACCGTAAGATAAATAATTCAGAAGAATAATGAAGAATTATTTAAGAACACAACTGACAATAACACAAGAACCAATAATAATAACTATAGCTTTGTTTGTATCGCACCTTTCAGACACAATTGACACAAATCATTGATAGTCGCATGATAGAAGAACACATATTTAAAAGTAGATACAAACCCAAAGAGTGGGTAATAAGTTCAATAAAAGCTAAAGTATGTAAACCTGTATAACTAGAAACATCAGTGTGGCAGCAGTGGTGTTGGGAGACTCAGAGTGACTCGTATAACTTTTGTAGTTTGTAGAATTCCATTTTCATTCCATTTTCATCCCAGTAATAAAAAACCACAATGTGATATAATATTTGGGTAAAATCCCTCCCCGTGCCTCTGTATCAACCAGGTCTGTTCACCATTCAATTCAATTCAATTTATTCTTGTATAGGCCTAAATCACAACAGTAGTAATCTCAGAGGACTTAACAAAACCTTTGAATTCGCCAACACAGATCAGAGAATCAAACAAGAAATTAAATAATAAAATAAAAAAAATAAAAAATAGAGCCATTGATCCAGAAGGAGCAGATGACCAATGTCCATAAATGTTGATAAAAGCACTTCTCTACCAGATGATTCCGTCTGAGTCTGTGGTGCATCCGGATCTTTTGTGATTTAGATTTAGTGTTTGGTGGATTTCTTTGTACTTATCTGCAGCCTCTCCAGGTCCCATTGTGTCTCTATGCTCCAGGTAGGTCGGCCTGCTCCCTGCATCCACCGCCTGCTCCACTGCCTGTTCGTGTTGTGAATAAACTGGTTAAACTTCAGTCTCCTGTCTCTGCTTTGGGTTCTCTCTGTTAACGGTGACAAACATCCGCTTTCCACTATAAATTGTTCTGCTCACACATCAATACAGAAAGTTGATTGCATTTATCTGACTATATTTGTAGTTGAAATGTTTTTTCTTTTTTTTGCTCAAGTTCACAGCAGATGTCTGACCTGCTATGACTCTTTTTTTCAGAAATGCTGTTTCAGATCTCACAAAAAAAAGATGATGTATTTATAATCTTCATAACACCACACACTATACCAGCCTTATTTAGGTCACCACCTCTAACCAAGACATGTTTTTCAAATGGGTAAAAGAAACTGCATAGAGTCCTTTCAGAAAAGAGAATGTCATACATGTTTGATCCCAGATATAAACTTCCACCAAAATCAATCATTCTGACAACTGTCTAACTTTATGTAGCATATTCCACATGGTCTAATCAGTACTTGTTTGATTACTTGAGCAACTGTTACGTCATTTTCAGAATAAGGATGCTTCTCAGAAATAATACATGGATATGCACAGCTGCAATGATTTAGTAAAACATGTCAGTTGAGGCCAGAATTGCACAATAAAAAAAGCAAATCAATATCAAATGTCTTGTACCAGTATTAAGTTACTCCTAAAAACTGTTGAGGGTCGACTGGGGTATCTAAATGAACATGAGAGTGCAATTAAGGACAGCTTTGAAGTAACTGGAGCAAATCGGTTTATACAAATATTGTGAGTGAGTTACCACCAGCTAAGATGCTGTTTACTCAGCTTGCTTTCTGACACAATGGGTTCATCGTCATTCATGGGCCAGTTATAAAACCCCAATGCTCCTATAAAAGTATTAGTAACTTTAGCTCAGCCTTTGATAAGAGCCGTTCTGGTGATCTGTTTCGGGGTCTCCAAATAGGGAATATGTTTGCAGCTATTACTCTTGTGTTTTTTGTGTGCATGACAACCACAATCAAGGCAGATTACCATCACCGCCCATGCCGTATGTGAACGCCAACTTCTGTCCATTGTATTGTATTGAGTGAAGTTAACTCTTATCTTTTTCAGATTCACCCAACATGACGGGCCAGATGTCAGTGGTAAGTTGCCAATGCAGTAACTATCACAATAAACAGAAATATAATTTTATGTTTCTTTTAACCAGATGTCGCTCAAGGGTGAAATGAAAACACATGGGATATTTACCTATGATTCAACAGGAAAGAAATTACGTTTCAGAACCAACGATAGCCACCCTACGAACAGTTCTCTAGGTTTGGATTTGCTCATGTTTTTTGACAAAGTAAGTAACTACTGTTCTATTCTTAGCACCCCACGGTTTTGTCACAAGTATCGTGGGTTTATGAAAGCTTAATACAAATATTTTTAGGTCATCTTCACATTAATTGATTACTTGATGGTGTAGAATATAGATCTAATACAACACTTCTGTGCCAATCTAAGATCAGCTTGGGTTTATTCAGCTGTCTGGTAAAACTTTGGAGAAGTAAATATTTCTTTACTGTTAAAGTCAGTATTGTTTCAACCCACAGGGTTAACAATTAAAGCCATTTACCGTAGGCATTTTAGAAGATTCATGATTACTACAGCTCAATACATGAGAAACAATGCTCACCCATCAGACCAGAGCAGAAACACTCTAAAACTTACACTAGAAACTACCTCTGCATCAGGTGAAGACCAACAGAGTAATAACCATTTTGAATAAGACACTGTGTTTGTTGTGTGTTGCAGCATGTATTCTACGAAATTGATTCCAAGAATCAAAGCTGTGAGAAAAAGTCACTACAGTCCATAGATCACCCTTTGGATATTCCTGATGATGCAAAGTTTTGTACCTCAATGACGGCTGGCAGTGCAAGCATTGAAGGAGAGGGTCTGAAAGTGAATATGTGGACTGGATCAATGCATAATATCAAAGGTGATTAACAAAGAAGTGAATTAATAACGCAACAACACAGAACAACGTCTGTTACTAGTGAATGAGAGGTGGATAAAAGATGTTTTGTCTTTTATAGGCACTTTTAGCATGTTCGTCACTATGGGCTGTTTGCCTTTGACCACATTGTACTCTACTGACTCTGCATCCATCTTCTTCAGGTAAGTCAGACAATATTAAACTCCTAAGTATTATGAAATATAAAAAAACACCACCAATGTTATTTCTATCCAGTACCATAGAAGTTGAGAATGAGATAAAGGAACCAGAACTTCTGATGGTGCCATCCTACTGCGAACACCAACCTTTGGAAGAAACACCTGAAGGAACATTAAACAGCTTCTTCAATGAGTTTATGTAGATTATGCCTCCTCCAAAGAAAATGTTCTATATTGCTCATATTTTTGTCTTCCATAGATGTAGTTGAGAGTGATTGCTCATTAGTACTGTATATCGCCGGAAAACATTTGTTGTCATTTTTACTAACTTTCTCTGCAATAAAATATGTTGTGATTAATGACAAAATTGATTATCGACGCTTTGAGAAGTATAAAGACTTTGCTATTGACAGTTTGCAAATCTGAACCATTTTGCATCACTTGCATACTTAGGATAAAGTTGAATAAAAATGACGATGATGATGAAAAATGTTTTTGTTGTGTATTGGTTTGGTAGTCTCATGTTCATGCTGTGTACATCTGGAACCTCGGCTCCTCAGATGGTAATGAGCCTCTTCCACGCACACGCCTCCCTGTAACAGCCAAACACAGACGGCAGGTGGAGTGCGCGTTCAATTGGTATAAATATCTACACGGCACGACATCGACTTGTGCCTAAATATAAATTATAAATAATACATCCATTGTTTGTCCTGCATAACGGCAATATATTTAATTAAGGTCCAGTGCAGAGGTCGGGAACCTTTTCAGCTGAGTCAAAAAAGCATGGATCTAATATAGCAAAAAAGTCTCATACTTTTTTTTTTCTTTTTCTCGGTGAGAACCATACACATTTTTTAAAACTGTAAATACGTGTGTTTTGTTCGATCAAAATAACATTTAACGAGTAATATTAGTCCTGTAATGTATTATGCTTAATAACCTTTTATACTGAAGAAATCCAAAACATAAAACATGCTTACAAGTAATGCCAACTAACATTTGTCTGAGAGCCAGACACAATCATCAAAAGAGATACATCTGCCTCCAGAGCCCATGGATCTATGATAATAACGCCTGAGCCACAGGTTTCTGACCCCTGGACGAGTGCATGTCTGTCATCTGTGCAATTACATATATATTAATATTCATAGTCTTCATTGGAGCTGCATCTTGTTACTGGTCACTTTGAACAAAAAGGCATAACCAAGCTATATGGTTATTTTGTACAAGATGTGGCTGTGCCCCACATGGATTTATGATAATAATATCCCCCATCAATAGGCAGCATCAATAAAGATTACAAACTAGACATGTCCAAAATAAGTAGATAGGAGGCATGTGAAACATAATAAGTGTAGTATTAATTATAATAACGGCGGTATAAACACATCCAAAGCCATTGTAGCTTTGAGAAGTCGAGTAGTCGTCCAGTCCATGCAAACTACAGCGCTCAGTGAGCGAGCCACATTTTGACCCTGTGCGCCGTGAGCAGAGACACATCCGGGAAGTGTGTGGAAGATGGCGACACTTATCTTCCCTACTGAATGGATCAAAAACTGGGAAAAATCAGGAAAGCATGAGTTGTGAGTACACATGCTTGCCAAAAAGTCTTTTATCTGTATCGATTACAAGCTGTTTTCAAAATCGACTTCATTCGACAAAGGAAAATCACATCGAAGAAGCGTGCTATTTGCAGCTAAAGCTAGCTTAAGTTAAAAGTCTAAAGGGTTTATGATCGTCTTGTGCTGTTGTTAATGTTCTTGTGGATTTGTGTAGATACGTGGATACTGACTATATAGGGTGATTCCTTGTAATCCATCTGATCAGTGTATTAAACTGAAATTATTGAGTTAGCATTGTTAGCAAGTTGTAGCAACCTTGCTGCTATTAGCTAAGCGCTAACTAACTAACTACTACGGATTGACTGGTAAACATGAATGTCGCTGGCTAGCTGTTGGGGTAGTCTTGTTTCTTCATTCTTCTTTTTTATCAATGGGACTGGTTTGAACATTTCTATAACCCTGATATAATAACACCACTGAGATAAATTAACAAAGACGAAGGAAAACGCGAGTTAGCATCAGCATAACGCGCCCCTGTTGTTACTTTGCCAAAGTAAGTGGAGGGAAATGATCTAATATTGACGTTTGGATTAAACAATGTTGTGTCTAAACTACTGTGTTTGTGTTTAAATGATTGTGGTTCGCAAATAAATGTATTAATTCCATAAGTATTGCCAAGATAAAAGTAATGATGGTAATGCCATAATTTACATTTTTATTTTCTACTTCGGTTAAATATGGTTGTCTTTTTGCTTTCATATTAATATTTTGGGATAAGATGAACCCATCAAAGCAAGTATTTTTGTTAACTTTATTTCTATATTGTAAAATGTATTTATTTCCCTAGCGTACAGCTTTGCAAAGAACTAACAGCGAAAACAAATCATGGAAGTGAAAGCAAAGGTAGTAATTCATTGACAAATTAATATTTAGCTTTTCCAATCACTAATATTTGCATGCGTGATTTTTTTTTGCAGACATCCAGGCAGCCTTATACGAGCTCTGCTCACAGGTTGTACAGGGCAATCTTAAAGTGGATCTTGTTGCCAATGTTCTTGGAGAAATAATGGTAATGTTTTACATGCATGTTTGCATTTTCTGTCATTGACAGATTTGTATCTGCAAATTCTAAAATGTGTGTTATTGTTTTAGGAACTCAGAGATGACATGTCATCAATGTTAGCTGATGTTTTCAGTATATTGGGTAAACAAAATGTTTATGGATTATTTTGTGTTTACAAGTCAATGTAAAATATACTTTAATGATTTATGTTCTGTCACAGACTTGGAGACAAGTGCTCTTGAAGAAAAGAACAAGCGTGAATACTACACACAACTAGCAGTAGCCTGTTTGGTAAGATACATATTAGTTCACAACATTGTAGTAGAACATATTAAAGTTTTTTTTTTATCTCTTTCAGATATTTATTCCTGAAGTCATTCTCAAAGAGAGGCTTGACCCTGAAACACTGGAGTCTCTTGGTTTAATAAAGCAGGCCTTTCAGTTTAATCAGAAGATTGTAAAAATCAAGACTAAACTTTTGTAATGGCTGTTCATGAATAAATCTGCAATATATTATCTTAAAAGGAAACGATCCCCACTGATTTTCCCTCACTTTGTTGTTCCAGCTACAAGCAACAGAAGTTCAACTTGCTTAGAGAAGAAAATGAGGGCTACGCCAAACTAATAACAGAGTTGGGCCAAGATCTTTCAGGAAACATAACTAGCCACATAGTTCTGGAGAGCATAAAGTCCCTCATAGGTTGGTTTGTATTCAGACCGTTGAACTGATTCAAGGCACTCGCGTAAAAAATTAATTTTAGAATTATGCATAATTTTAGAATTATTTTTTGGGGCGGATTTTGAACACTTGTGTTACATGCATATTGTCCAAAAAGTGCTATAAATGTTTTATTAACATAAGCCAAACCCTTCGCATGACATTTGAACAACAAAAATGGTCACTGATGGAACGCGGTTACAGAGCCAATTAGGGGTGCAACGGTTTGAAAAAATCACGGTTCGGTTCGTACCTCGGTTCAGAGGCCACGGTTCGGTTCATTTTTCGGTTCATTTTTCTAAAAAAAAGTTTTGTCTTTTTAATAAACACAGCTCATGTGGACTCGGCACCTGCTCTGACTGTCCCCACCTGACCTAGAAATGAATCAAGGGGAAGGAAATGGATGGATGGATGGAAGGCATATTCCATCCATCCAATTATGTCTATTTAACATAATTAATGAAAAACAACACAAAGTGCAACATAAGAAGGCACTTCTTACCCTCATATATTACACCACTTTCCTGATTCTCCCAAGGAGGGGGTCCATTCTGGGCCCAGTCCAGCCTCATTCACTGCATTTATTTAATTTTTGGCATTATCAGTTGTGACTGGGATATTAGTACTGGGCCTTTGTCTTCCATTCCTCCGCTGCTTGTGTCAGTACCTGCGCTGGGTGACTGTGTGACTGTGTGACTGTCGTAGAGGGGCGTGTCTGCAGTGCCAGACTTCTCATCTCCCAGTCTGCGGTGATGAACTGAGCGGTTCCGCTCATGGATCTATTATAGTTTCTGCGGTACGTCCAAGCGTCAGTCGTGAGCGCAGCTGAGGATGCGCGGGAGAGTTGACTTTAGCCCGGTCTGACTGTGCGTAAAGGAGCTGCTTAAATGCCGCGACAATAAGCGGTCGTTGAGACGCTTTTTTCACTCATGTCCTTCTTGTGCCACAGTGCTTACACATCGTGACAGTTTTGTCGAATATTAATCATCAGTGTAGTTACAGTGAAGCCAAAATGCTCTCATACTGGGGATTTAAGACGCAGGGCTTTCAAGTATCTCCGTTCCTCCGCTCGCAATGACCACGCTGTGTGTGGACTGAACAACGTGCGCACAACTTTTTTTTTCATAAATCAAACCGCGGATCACGTCTGTACCGAACCGAAGACGTTGAACCGAACGGATCACGGATCAGTGATGAACCGTTGCACCTCTAGAGCCAATACAAATGATCAGGTTTATTTTCATAATCATTCTTTTGAGGAAGAATGATTGTGTAGAATCAGGAAGAATTCAAGATTCTTTACAATTGTCAAGATAATTTGTAGTTGTGTGTCTTTCTAATAATTTAACTTTTAACTTTATAGGTTGCTTTAATTTGGATCCAAATCGTGTTTTGGATATAATTCTTGAGGTTTATGAGAGTCGTTCAGACCAGGATGATTTTTTCTTGTCCCTCATCAAGTCGTATATGTGTGAACACCTCACTCTATGCCACATTCTTGGATTTAAATTTAAATTTTATCAAGTAAGATTTTTTTGTTAAAACCATATAGATAATGTATATTCATGTTTTACTATATCCAGTTTCTGCTTTCAGGAGCCAAATGAGGAAACACCCAAGTCACTTTACCACATCGCTGCTGCTTTACTGAACCATAACCTTATCCAGCTGGAAGATCTCTATGTACATGTAAGTAGTTAGATCCGGGCTTTAGGTGCCATGTGACCACGGCATGAGTGCCTGGGCACTTTTGCAGCAACCGCGCCCAGGCTCGATTGAAGACGTGGGCCATAGCACGCTTTAAAGCCCAGATGAGGGGGGTCACTGTGGCGTGTGGTGGGGAGTGGGGGTATGAGGTGTGGTGGGGACGTGATTGTGCGTCACATTACGTCTTCCTGTGACACACATATTCACACAGGTCTCTCCTGCACTTTTGTATTCTCCGCTTGTGTTAAACCTTTCATATAAGCCCCGGACCGTGGTTGAGGGGCGCTGGGGAGTGTGTGGCTGCAGGGCCAAAGAAAAGCGTTTCCTACGGGAATAACTCCCTTCTGTCCAGACCCTCGCTCTCAGTGTGGTGCTATTGCAATAACACTTCACACATTCAAGAATCAGTCTTTATTTAATCGCCAGAACACACCAACGCACACACACGCACACACTCTTACACTCGTTACTAAAGAGTGTGTGTGGACTCGTGTCTGCGGCGTACACACACACACACACACACACACACACACACACACACATGTTACCCACTGTACTGCTACACTTTGTATCAGAGCAATTTGGACAAGTGTGAGATGTGTCTTTCCCTAAACAACGCAGTCCTTACTCGAGCTAATAGCTACAGTAGCAGAGCGTAAACAGGATGAGAAACAAAAACTCATCCAGGACACCAAGGTCGTTTCTGGAGTTAGTATTAGCGCTACCAGCTGGACCGAGCGTTGTACTACAGCACATTTGCTCTGGCATGTTTGTGAATATCAGTTGATGTGACCACGGGCCGTTTTCACACCCCTGTGGCGACGATGCGGGCCACTTGGCCTAGTTTGTTTGTAAAAACATATGTGACTGTGCCCTAAGTGTCTTTGCTGTGTCTCACCTGGCATCCCGGCATGCCATTCCACATCCTACCCTCTGCTCCACCATAATTATGGAACACCTCTATTTTCTGTTGCAGCAGTCAGATCAAGCCCCACAGACAATACAGAGTCAAGTAAAAAGACTTTTTATACTCATCGGATGACGTTTATTGTATGGTTATGAGCACTGTCGATTTGGTATTCAGGCCTCAGTGCTGCGTAGTCTACACCTAAAATGTCACTCAAACGCTGCGACAAGGGGAGTTGTATGGCCTTATTCATCACTATTAGTTTTTCTTTGTAGTGCTGAGAAACAAAATGATCTGAGAAAGATATTGGTGTTCTAATCCATAGGGCTGTCTGCACACTCACACATAATTGTTTTGGTCCTAAAAAAGGACTTTTATTTCACAATCTCAAGGTTTTTGTGCATGCCCACTTGCCTTTCTCTCCCTGTACAGCAGAAGCAGTAGGTACCAAGGTTTGACTGCGCTGGCCGTGGAATTTGAGCATTAGAGTAACACTGAATTGTCAGATTGACTGACTAATCTCTTTTTTTCTCCAAGCTTTTGCCTGTTGATGCCGCAATCATAGAGGAACATAAACGAGACGTGTCGGAAGCCAAGCAAACTGCTCGCAAACTTGTGATGGTCGTTCTTCCTTCAGAGAAAAATGAGGATAAGGATAAGGACAAGGATAAAGATGATGACAAGAATGAAAAGGTTTGCTTTGCATTAAAGTGCAAATCTGAATGAAATGTTCATCAAAGATGTGGGATGGAAGTGAATGTGCTGCAAGGTCCACTTTCATTGTAATTGTATTGTACATAGCCGGCTGACAACCAGAAGCTTGGACTCTTGGAAGCATTACTAAAAATCGGAGACTGGCACCATGCCCAGTGTATTATGGACCAGATGCCTTCTTTCTATGCTACTTCTCACAAGGCCATTGCTCTGGCGCTTTGCCAGCTTGTTCACCTAACTGTTGAGCCACTTTACAGAAGGTAAGCAACACCAGACACATTATATACAGGCACTGATTACAAACGTATTTATAATCCTGTTTGTGTAGAGCGGGAGTTCCAAAAGGGGCCCGGGCGTCTGTGATAAAGCCATTGAGGAACAAGCGCGCCCCTCGCCCTGCAGAGAACTTTGAGGACCTACGGAGGGACACAGTTGGCATGCTCGGTTATCTGGGTCCTCACCTGGCACATGACCCAATCCTCTTTGCAAAGATAGTGCGCTTAGGAAAAGGTTTCATGAAAGAGGTACATTTAATGTTATTTTAAAAAAAAAATGGAAATGGTTTATACTAACTGACCTTTTTGCATTATAGTATCAAAGTGATGTTAGGGCTGACAAAGACAAGTTGGTGAGCTTATATAACTTCTTCCTGAGGTTTATCAATGTGACTGCACTCATTTTATATTAAGTAATTGCTTAATTGTCTTGATTTACAGGAAACACTTCTGAGTTGTTTCCTCAGTGTTGCAGACCAGGTGCTTCTGCCCTCTCTGTCACTGATGGACTGCAATGCTTGTATGTCAGAAGAACTGTGGGGTCTTTTTAAACTGTTTCCGTATCAGCACAGGTGAGAAGCCTTCTCTTCTTTAAAAATTGTGGCTTGATGTCGATCTAATGTGCGTGTCTGTAGGTACCGATTATATGGACAATGGAAGAACGAGACTTACTTAAGCCACCCATTGTTGGTTAAGGTCAAAGCTCAGGCCATTGAAAGAGCCCGATACATAATGAAGTAAGCTTTGTCATTAATTTGAGTGTTTTGACGTGATAGATTATCTCTTGTACAGTTAATAGAATGCTTAGTTCTGATTGAAATGCACCTTTGGGCCTTTTCTTTTCCTAGACGACTGACCAAAGAGAATGTGAAGCAGTCTGGAAGACAGATTGGCAAATTGAGCCACAGCAATCCCACCATAGTCTTTGATTATGTGAGTGTGTATATATATATATGTATATATCTTGTCTATTTAGAAAAGACACCTTTCTAATATTTCTTTGCAGAAATATTGCATAGCAAACATCAACATGAATTTCTTTTTAACACTTTTGCAGATGTTATCTCAGATCCAATGGTACGATAACCTTATAGTCCCTGTTGTTGACTCTTTGAAATTTCTCACATCACTCAACTATGACGTCCTGGCGTGTATCCTTTTTTTATAATGTGGATCTTGCATAAGAATAAAACCTGGGGTTTACTATACAATCATCCTTAACTTTAACACTGCCTTCAGATTGCATAATAGAGGCTCTTGCCAATCCTGAGAAAGAAAAGATGAAGCATGATGACACCACCATCTCCTCATGGCTACAGAGTCAGTTTGTTTTATGAACTTATTAAGCTCAAACAACTCATAAATGATTAATCATTGTATAATTGTCCCAGGTTTGGCAAGTCTTTGTGGGGCTGTGTTCAGGAAGTACCCAATAGAGTTGGCTGGGCTACTTCAGTATGTGACTAATCAGCTTAAAGCAGGAAAAAGGTAATATTATTTATTAAAGCATTATACATTAAGCTGTATTATGGTGTTTGTACTTGATGGCAACATGTTTCTATTATTGTAGCTTTGACCTGTTGATCCTGAAAGAAGTAGTGCAGAAAATGGCTGGGATTGAGATCACAGATGAGATGACGTCAGAACAGATGGAGGCCATGACAGGAGGAGAGCAACTAAAAGCTGAGGTAGACGCCACATATATTTTTGTATAGTATTTTAATCATAGTTACATGAACAATATGCGATTTACGGACATATTTTTGTTATTATTGTGTATTCAAATAATTATTACATCACATGTCAATTTTTCTTGATCGACAGGGAGGGTATTTTGGTCAAATCAGAAATACAAAGAAGTCTTCACAACGTCTAAAGGATGCTTTACTTGAGCATGATTTAGCCTTACCTCTTTGTTTACTCATGGCACAACAACGCAATGGTGTAGTTTTCCTCGAAGGGGGAGAAAAGCACTTGAAACTTGTTGGTCATCTCTATGACCAGGTACATCATAATTTAATGGACCAATTTACCATGAATCATCTTATTGAATGTGACATCCTTTTTTGTAGTGTCACGACACATTGGTCCAGTTTGGTGGCTTTTTGGCTTCAAACTTGAGTACTGAAGACTACATTAAACGCGTACCTTCTATTGATGTTCTATGCAACCAGTTTCACACTCCACATGATGCTGCATTTTTCCTGTCCAGGCCCATGTATGCCCACCACATAGTGGTGAGTTAAAAAGCATTTTCTAACATGTAATACGAGTCACGTACAAACAAGTGATGTTATCTTCTTTACAGTCAAAGTATGACGAGCTAAAGAAAGCGGAGAAAGGAAACCGTCAGCAGCAAAAAGTACACAAGTATGTGGCGGCCTGTGAACAAGTAATGAACCCAGTGCACGAAGCAGTAGTGTCACTCCACGCCACTCGAGTGTGGGAAGATATGCGCCCTAATTTCTACGTGACGTTCTGGTCCCTCACTATGTACGACCTGGCTGTGCCACATGGTGCATATGAGCGTGAAGTCAATAAGCTGAAAGCCCAGATTAAAGCCATCGAGGATAACCATGAAATCGTGAGTTTCAGCAGTTTTTTTTTGTGAGTCCTGTATTAAGTCACTGTCACTGATGATAATTGTACTTTTATTTAGCCAATGAATAAGAAAAAGAAGGAGAAGGAGCGATGCACCGCATTACAAGAGAAACTGCAAGAGGAAGAGAAAAAGCAGGCTGAACATGTTCAGAGAGTGCTACATCGTCTCAAACTAGAGAAAGATAACTGGTTGTTGGCAAGTAAGTATTTGCATTTTGGAATTTATTACAGGATTTGGCATATGTATATAATCGGGGTGTAACAAAGCATTGTACCATGATGAATTGTGTTGCACTAATGTCATGCAAATGACTACTATTATTAAACTTATTATGCTTATTATGGTTTTGGCTTGGAGGTTTGTTCATACGCCTGATGCTGATTTATAAGGTCCACTCTATGCATCACATGGAAATTAGTGGAAGAGTCTTGGTTATGATTAAGGTTGCCACTGAAAATGTGACTGAAAGTAGATGTCAGATTGATGTTTATCATGTGCTTTTAGAATCGACTAAGAATGAGACGATAACGAAGTTCCTGCAGCTCTGCCTATTTCCCCGTTGCATCTTTTCATCCATTGACGCAGTTTACTGTGCGCATTTTGTTGAACTGATTCACCAGCAAAAGACGCCAAATTTTTGCACCCTCCTCTGCTATGACAGGGTATGTCAAGAACACATTATAACAAACACTTAATCTCTGCTCCCTTGTCTCATATTAATACATCTGTTCATGCAGGTTTTTTCAGCCATTATTTACACTGTAGCCAGCTGCACAGAGAATGAGTCTCACCGTTTTGGCCGCTTTCTCTGCTGTATGTTGGAGACTGTGACCCGCTGGCACAGTAGTCGGGCTGATTATGAAAAGGTTTGCTTTATTAATATTTTAATTCTATGATGGATAATACTAAAATTTGCATGTGAGTTACATATTGTTGTGTGGTATTAGGAGTGTAGCAACTATCCTGGCTTCGTGACCATCTTCAGATCAACTGGCTTTGATGGAGGACACAAAGCAGACCAGCTGGACTATGAGAACTTTAGACATGTAGTGCATAAATGGCACTATATGTTGACAAAAGTGAGTTTCTTCCTTCAAAACATAATAAAAATGTTAATCCTATTAGTTTGACAAAATTAATTTCTCTTTTTAGGCTTCGGTTCACTGCTTAGAGACGGGAGATTACACGCACATTAGAAATATTCTAATTGTGCTCACCAAAATCCTACCTTGCTACCCAAAAGTCCTGAACCTTGGACAAGCTTTGGAGTTTCGTGTTCACAAGATCTGTCTCGAAGAGAAGGACAAGAGGCCTGACCTTTATGCCTTAGCAATGGGGTAACAGCATTGTGTGCTGAGCAGCTCTCTATAGAGCAACCATTTCTACCATGTTGACTCTATTTTGATTGTTCTTTTTCATTATAAAATGCAGCATCTTAATATTCTATGCCGGTTACAGTGTTGAAGTAGTTTTTACCAGACGCTTTAATGGAAGTGTAGTTTAACTATTTTAGAACTTTATCTTTAAGATATCAATCCAATGTTCCATTGAGAGAAATACTCACAAGTTGGTGTTGTTACTTGACTAGATTAATTCTATTTAACTTTCTGTGACATCTATTGTCATTGCCATTTGCTTTGTATAAACCTTTTGTTGCATCTGACAGTTATTCAGGTCGATTGAAAAGCCAGAAGGTGCACATGGTCCCCGAAAATGAGTTTCATCACAAAGAACAGCCAGCACGTGCCGCCACGGTCGGTCAACAGAATGGTCCAGGAGGCTCTGGAAAACCTGCTACCAGCACAAACAAGACTGATGATGGGGCATCCGAGGATGGTGGTCAGTTTCTTTTCTGTCTTATTTTCTCTATGGATGTGTCAGTTGTAAATGTAGTTGGTTTGTTCACAGAACGGGCCAAAGACAAATCTCAGGGGACAACAAAACCAGTTAGCAAAGCAAACAGTACAACGGCCAAAGTGACTACCAGCAATGGAAATGGTGCTCTCAATAGGTACATGCACCTTTGACTGACTAAATATTGAATTGTGATCAAATTGAATCAGCAAACTCATGCAGACTTTTTTTTGGATGGCAGTACTAAAGGAGTGAAGGATGATAAGGAGAAAAGCGGCAAGGAGAAGAAAGAGAAGAAGGAGAAGACTCTAGTCAACACCCCTGAGCAGAAGAGTGATCTGAGACGAGAGAAGCACAGGGACGAAAGAACAGGGAAAGAGGATCGGGCTACACGCGAGGGTAAGGAGAAGACACCCAAGTCTGAGCGCGGGAAGATGGAGGACAAGAATACCAAAGATGACAAGCCCAAAGCTGGCAATGGCGAGCCTGAGGCATCCAGGGAGTCCAAGAGTAAGGAGAAAGACCGCAGCGCTGCAGCTGCAGCCGCCAAGACTTCAGTCCCCAGGTCTGAGTTGGCTGAATCTGAAAGGGGTAAGGAACCTTTTTGTCTTTATTCAGGGTAGACCCAGGGTCTTAAAATGTTTAAGATTTAAATTTGTTCAAGCTAAACATATTTAATTGAAAGCCCTGAGAGCTCCTGTCCTTCGATGGTGGCAATGGATAACGGGAGTTATAGTCTGAAAAAAGTCTTAAATAATAACCCTGGAGCTACCTAGTTTCTCTTTAAACATGATACAGATTTTTTAATATGTTTTCTTCTTTTAAGATCACAAAAGAAGAAAGCTTGACAGCCACTCCTCTCCATCCCACTCCTCGTCTGTAAAGGTTAGTATGGCTTGAGGAAGGCTGTGCTCATTTCTACTCTGTCTGCCGGAAGTTCCCTGCTGCACATTCCAGCTGCTTTGAAGAAAACGGAGAGATTTTTTATTTTTATTTTTTTTCTTCAAAACAAGTATCCAGATTACCACCTATATCCACAGGAGATAATACTATGGACATGTCCATCAAGCTTCACAGAAAGGTGGGCACCCTTCAGGACTCGAAAGTGTTTTGTATATAGTACATATTTTGACATCAAAATTATTTTTGTATAAATGAAAGTGCCTTGAAGATCTCTTAATTTAAGTTCGTTCCTGTGGATTTTTTTCAACTCCTAAAATACTTTTTCCAGACCACAAGCGTTGGCTTTTTATTTATTTTTAGAAGCTGTATTTTTATATTATGGAAGTGCCTGTTACCTTTTAGTATAGTGTTTTTTTTTTTTTTTTTTGCAAGTTGAAGAGTTCCAGGTTAAAGAATGGATTTTTTCCCCCCCCAACCATCTACTAGAGGAATTCCCAGAGGAAGTCTGTCCATTTGCTGTTGAGTGTCAAGTGAATCATCACTCCCTTTTTGGCTTGTTGTGAAGATCTCCAATACTTCCGACCAATTTTGTCCCCGAAGACCCCCATCATTGTCAGCCGGTGATATCGACAGTCGTACCTACCTCCGAAGGAAGCAGTGAGAATTGGATTTTCAAGAGAAGATGGCCGCAGAGAAAATGCAGTTTTACAATCCAATGGTCCAAATGCCTGACGCTACACAGATGGAGGAAAGAGGAAGTGTGGGCACAGCCTGAATCGTCGGAGAGTTGTCCAAACCACTGGGGAGCATGTGATAGGTCTTATATTTCCCTTCTACCAGAGAACTATTCTCCAAGTGTCTTATCATTCCCAACCTGTAAGTTCCAGCACCAGTCAAATAGTATACATTTAGGGCAGATGACAAGCCCTTGCATTTGAATAGTGCATCCTGATGGGCATATTCTTGTAGGCACATTTTAGCACTAGCACTTTAGATATGCTGCAAGAGTTTAATTCATAATGTTAAAGTGAAAGATGAGATGTATAGTCATTTATAAACTCAGGGCTATTCTAGTAAATACATTCCACATGTTGACCTCTCCTTTTGTAATAACAACCTTAGTCAGGGGGAGATTCTTGATGCTGATCTGACCAGCACCAGTTCCTTTTCCCCTGAAACCTTCAACTCTGCTGCTGTCCCAGCACCCCACCCCCTCCCAGCTCATGTGTCATCTCCATTCATCCCTACAGGACAATAGCACCGAACTCAAGGATTCCACAACCAAGGTATAAACTGCCTTTTACTGTTAAAATGGCATTCACAGGTTTTTGTTCCAATTTCACCATTCAAAACAAAAGTTTCTTAAGATATGGTTTGTGCTATAGCAAAATAATTCTGGACTGTACTGAAACCTATAAAGAGTTGGATCTGTTTATTGTGCTGTGTTCCAGGCAATTGGGAAATGCTTTGCTTTGCGCCTATTGCCCATTAAAGGCACACCGTGTAACTCTTGGCCACTAGGGGCGCTAGACCTGCAACTTTCACGTTTAGCGCCCCTAGTGGCCACAAGCAACTCAGCACTGTCGCAAAAGTCAACAAACAGTCAGCCGGTGTCTTTTGAGTGTGTATTCAGACAGCATGCACTGGTGTGTGTGTTCAAACTGTAGAGACATGCCTACAGATATTGAGAGACTCTGCTGTGGTCAGCCTCCAGACCGCTGCATTAGTAATCTACCACACATGGACTTCTATATCCTGGATGAGGGAGTTCTGCGTCTAGCTCGTGCTGCGTGGAATGACATCTTTGCAGTCGATGACATCCAGGAACCAGGTGAAGAGCAGCGCTCATACAGACATGCAGCTTACAGCACGATCCCTTTCGCGTTTCCTCTTTTTAGCCTCCTCCGAAGGTTTAAAATTTTTCCTTGCCTCAGCCATGACCAGGAGTGGAGCAGGTGAAAAATGAGTAGCAAAAGCCTTAGCTCCATGAGTATATCAGCGCCTGTAGCCGTAAAGCAAGTCTTTCTTCCAAGTCACGTGACCTGGTGGCAGACGGTCCGTCTGCTCGAAACTTACATGGGCGGTATTTCAAGAGGGCAGCCCCGCTCGGAGCATTGCAAGTGTCAAGCGCTGTATATTGGCCCAAGTATTCATATAAAATAACTCATATGTGTCAACTCTTTAGGTCACAAAGTCCGCGGTGTGCCTTTAAGAATTTAAACTTCCAAACTATTTGAATTAATTGTTAAAAACAACTATTCTACGAATATGGAAAATATAGTTGTATGCATGCGTGTTTATTTATAGTATTTTTCCAACTAAACAAGGTGAAGCAATGGGACCAATAGAGGTTTTGCACCACCATGTGACCTACATAGCAACCGTCACTAAGCGGCCATGTTAGATGGCAGGTATGAAACTTTATACAGTCAGATTCAACACAGTGGCCGAGAGCACACCTTTACTTAGACTGATGGGAAAGTTTTGCTGCGTCTTTAATTGTGGTAAACGCTCAGAGCGAGACAAAGAGGTCTATTTTTTTAAATAGGAAAAGAAACTATCAAAAAACGACGGCAGCAATGGTTAGCAAGCTAGCATTTGTGACAATGCAGTTCAAAACGGGGAAATCAATAACGTGTTTGTCTGTTCTTGTCATTTTCACCTAAGTTAGTTGTTCTAATAAAAACATTGCGTTGGAGTAAAAAGCCTGTCAGTGACGTGTGGTTGGTGACTAAGGCACGGACTTCATCACAATCAGATTTTGCGCTACATATCAACAGGACATACAGAGGATTATTCACACATGGTCCGCATTGTTTGCTCAAACAAAACGCCAAAGTAAAAAGCACATTTAAAAATGTGTTATGGTCTTACCTTATATGAACTCTATACACCACTTCATTCAGTTCAGACCAGTTTCCTGTTTAAGTCCAGATAAAAGTTTAGAATAGATGTGTAATCCTCTGTTTACAATGACTCGCTCTGAGCGTTTACCACAATTAAAGACGCAGCAAAACTTTCCCATCAGTCTAAGTAAAGGTGCGCTCTCGGCCACTGTGTTGAATCTGACTGTATAAAGTTTCATACCTGCCATCTAACATGGCCGCTTAGTGACGGTTGCTATGTAGGTCACATGGTGGTGCAAAACCTCTATACAATATGTTTTTGAAATATTGGAAACCTTCTGCCAAACAGATCCCAGGTTGACCGTGCCGTTACCTTATTTTAAAGCTAGTTATTTTTCTGGAAAACTACCACTTAAATATAACTTTAAACACTGAACCACTGAGTCTTAAAATGTACTCATTTTGTTCAGAAAAACAAAAATAATAATTACTCAAACCCCTCAAAGGAAAGGATGAGCTTTAGAAAAACCTTTCACAAATAAATGAATATATATTGGAATTGCTCTGGCGACAGTAGCTCAGTTGGTAGAGCATTGGCCTTAAGGCCTGAAGGTCGTGGGTTCAATTCCCACTCTACACCTTCTCCACCGACTCCCACTGATGACTCCTGTCGTTGTGTCCTTGGGCAAGACACTTAACCCCACTTTGCCCAAAGCCCCCGCTGAAAGATCAAGGCTATGCTCACACTCAGAGAGCAGCCGTCCTCCTGTGGACTCACCACCTGCAGAGGGTCAGTGAGGGGCTGGTGCTATGAGACTTGGGTGGCATCTCTGACTGCCACCCCCCTGACCCAGAAATGGATTAAAGGGTAGTGGATGGATGGATGGAATTGCTCTGATCAATTGGCTGCTGCTCATCATTGAGTAGATTATGGCAAAAATCACATTGTAAATATGAGCCTCAGATTATTTGGGCCACATTTGTGGCCCACAGTTGTGTGTATGTATGTATATATATTATATATATATATATATATATATATATAAGCATGAAATAATTAGACATAATGAATTATGCATTCATCAAAAAGCTTACGCATAAACGGCCTGAGCTGATCAGGCCATACTGTCACAATCATTCATATAGCTTAATATAGGGCCCTGTCCGCAGAGCACTCCTTTAACACAGTACAGCAATAAATGCTAGTCCGAAAGTGTAACCCTGCAGGGAGGCTGTGAACATGAGCGTCAGAGGCACATTTGGGACATGCGCGGAGCACATGGGCAGATAATCAGTGGAAGTTTGAGGGGAAAAAGAGAAACTGCGAGCTAGCACATGTGGTGAGGGAGTTTGTATCATCGCGACTGGTTTACAACAATTAAAATGACCATACAGTTTAGTTTCAAAACTGGCCATTGCTATTACAGGTAGCATTCCAGGGCATTTTTCCCACATACCTGGAACACGCCACTAGAATATGATCTACGAATGTGTGTACGGTATACAGTTGCCATTATCAGATAAGATCACATATAATGATACTTTGTTCAAATACAATGGTGCTTCTTTTGTTTTTGATATCTAAATGCCATCGTAGCATCCTATCAACTACAATTCAGTCGACCGATCGAAGAGCAGAGAGAGGGATCCAGAGAAGAAAGAGTCTCCTGGACGAATGAAAGAGAAGAAAGAAGAAAAGGATCGCAAAGAGAGGAAAAGAGTCAGCATTTTAAAACTATCTATTATTCTATATACTTTTGCAGTTTTGATAACCGGACTTATTTTCAGGACCATGTCATCAATGACCATGAGACCAGTCAGGAAGTCAAACGTCGGAAGGATGAAAACGGAACAAGTTTGTTGGTTTTTACTCAGTTTATGACATGCTTTAGTATTGTTCTCATTGCAACTCACTGTCTGCTCAGATTCATCTAAAACCAGCAAGAGCACCAGTCCCTTGTGCGACTCTCCGCTTACAGTCGAGAAGGAGAAGAGCAAGAGACCAAAGTCTTCAAGTAAAGAAAAGGGAGACTCAGTGAAAACGGAAAGATCTTCCACTGGAGGAAAAAAGGTACATCTTTGAGTTGTGCCATTTGTTATATACTATTCCTTTGTTTCAGCTTCCTGTTACGATCGGCTATTTTATAACCTTTTATTGCATCCCAGTTATCTTTGAAGGTCAGAATTTCCAATTTCTGACGTGCAGATTTAGAATATCAACCTTCCAAATTCTTACTTGGACTTGTGCTTCTTTTAGTTGTCTTCCTACAGTTCTCTCGCTGCCTATAACCTGTGCTTCAGCCTCTAGTGTTAGTAATAGGCTGTTATTCTAAAAAATGTGAATGCTGCATATATTTATTCAGTGCCAACTACAACAAATGTATAAAAAATCACTCCTAAACACTAAGTGAATTTATTTAACTGAACAATGTTATTACATAAACAGATTTGAATTCTAGCTGATGAGCACCTAGTTATTTTGAGTTGTTGCCCCAACACTACACGGCTCATGGTATTTCCAAAATGTCCACTGAAATATACTTCTGACACGGTACTTTGAGATACAGGTCAAGTTCCGATATGTCCTTTTTTCACATCTTTCCAAAACCCATGGATTGTTGTGAAAACAATATTGTTTTTATCAAGTGAACCTTGTCACTCTTCCAAAACACTTATTTTCTGTTCTAGGAGTCCAGACACGACAAAGACAAATCTGAAAAGAAGGAAAAAAGGGACAGCACAGGCGGAAAAGAAGAAAAAAAGCAATATCCTTAATTTTGTGTATAATAATTGTGACTCCCATGTCATGGAACCCGCTTTCAAATAGCAGAAGTTAGTATTAGTAACGGAATGTCAACTGTTTCTCCATCACAATTCAGTGTTTCAGTTTTTTATTGTGCAGTTGAGCACATAATCAGAAACCTTCCCCTGATGCTGGAAGTGGGAAATTTGAAATAAGTAAATGGTGTCAATATAAGGTTTAAAGAGTCAGAATCTGAATCATTGTAAGGCTCAAACGCGGAATATGCTTTGCCTCAAGATGCAAACAAGTTTTAAGAGTTGAAATTAGGGCCGGGACTTGAGAATTAATACAATAATCCATTAATTTTCTTCCCCTTAATCCAGTTGGCAGTCAGAGCTGCACCTAATTCACATAGCACCAGCCCCTCACTGATCCTCCTGCAGGTGGTGAGTCCACAGGGGCCTTGATCTTTCAGCGGGGGGTCAGGCCAAGTGGAGTTAAGTGTCTTGCCCAAGGACACAATGACAGCAGACATCAGAGGGAGTCGTGAAGTAGGTCTTGTAGTGGGCTCAAACCTACGACCTTCTGGCTGAAAGGCCAATGCTCTACCAACTGAGCCACTGTCATCTTAATTAATTCATCTAAATGAATTACATTTTAATTGTGTGTCTGTTTTGATTTCACCCCCTGTCAATCACCTTCTGTAGGCGGGCTTTTACAACTCTGCCACGTCACAAGTTGAACCAAGGCGTTTTGCTACCTCGAGAATAAAAAAAGAGACTGCTTTGAGGAATGAGGGAATCGAGAAAATAACTACTTTGGCCATGTGTATGAAGGTCATAGAGCACTTTAGTTATGTTTAAAGCATAAGGAACATGAATTAGCTGTAATAATTTTTTAAGGTCATGGATATGACTTCAGCCACTGTATGTTTGTGTGTAGTCCTTAACCCTGCTCACTCATAAATCCTCTGACAAGCATAGATAATGCCCAGTGTCTCATGGAGGTAAGTTTCCAACAGCTCTTTACTGTTTGTGTATGAATCCGTGAGCAGTCAAATGAACGGCTTGTCTTGTTTGCCGCAGAACGGGAGAAGTGGTGCTTTGTTCCCAGCAAGAGGACATCACCTCCACCTTCATAGTCAGAATTCTGCCTTAGCAAAAAAGGAACCTGCCCTCTCAACAGTCAGTCATAGTTACAAGTCCTTTTTCCATTTTGAGATTTTACAGTAACTCATTAGAACATGTCTTTTTTTATTATACAGTATGTTATGCCGTGTGCATTTGATGAAAACAAATGCCAGTTAGTATACTGATTACTGTACAAAATACATTTTGATAGTGTCTGTTCATGGATTTGGCATGTTTTCTCAAAGATTTGTTTCTGTACATTGTCTGGCTCTGCTTAAACTCATTTTATTGGTGTTTCACGTTCATTATCCACTTACCTCGTCCTTTAAAGATGCGTAGATATTTTTTAAATTTTATTTATCTTCATCTTTTAATTCGAGTAAAATGATCTTAGGTTATCTTCTTATCTGAGCAGTCTTGATAAAAGGACCAGTGTGTATATTGTGTACAATAAAAAGGTAACATGAAATCAGTATCATGTTATTGGTTTTGTATGTTTTTTCCTTCTTGACGGTGTCCTTTTGTGGATTTATGTTAATCAGGTTTTATATAATTTATAAAGATGCCATTTCAAATGTAGAATTGTAAAGAAAATCAAGACGAACGACCAGCACCTCTGTACTGGAAATACAACTGTTTAGAAATGACTTTTGGAAATTTTATCTGCAGTATTCATTGTACTTTTTTTTTCTACAAAATGAAAACCCAATAAATATTATAGTTTTCCTAGTGTGTCAACCATGGTGCCATTTCTTGCAATTTAAAAAAAACCCGAATAGGCCAGTTATGGCGCATTGAGTTGATTTTTGTTTGTGAACTATGCTTTATATATTCTGTCTATAAAAGTAAAAACATCCGTGGGTCTCTGAATACCAAAATATTTGTTTATAAACCTTTTTTTATTACCTCATTCTCAAATTCATTGCTTAAATGCAGAACTACTCACAAAGCGGGTAAAATGAATCTCATTTTATTCAGGAAAAGTATTGAAATGCTCTTACACAATCTTTATTTTCATCCACGTGCAACTTTCATGGCTGAAGTAAATTTACAAATGAAATAAATCCATCCAATCGGGGTCAGATGCTTTGAGATTTAATCAAGGTTTACTCAGTTGCACTTTTAATATACAACTTAGTCCAAAATCACATGCAGTTTGCTTGGGAATAAGGGTCTAAGATTTTAAACACATCTGAATGCAGACTTTCCATAGAAATTATACAGGTAACGATAAATCCATACCTCTGACAATGCAAAGCTCATCACAACCAAAGAAGCCATGAAGTTATTCACTGCTTTACTGCGGATACTGCAGAACTATTGTGGGTTCATACTCTACCCAAGTACAACTTACTGACTTTATGATGCCAAAGGAAACCTTACCTCATTTCATTAGTTCACAGTTGAACAGCAGTTTCACAAAGTAGCATCTTTAAAAAAAAATACAATTCCCAACACAAATGGTTTGAGGGTTGTAGTGACAAGTTCATGGTATGTGTGGGGAATTATTAAAGCTGGGGTACCTAACTTTTGTCTCAATTCGGTTTAAATAGAAAGTACAATTTTAGGGACAAATATAATCGTATTTAACTTGACCTCACACTATTCAACGCTTTGAGCTGAGTTTAATACATTTCCCCTCTCTTTCACTTTTTTTTGTCTGAAAAAGCTGATATAAAGTTGTGACAAAAATGCATGTGAAAACAATTGAACTGTTTTGAGAACGAGTATTGTATAAGAAAATTAATTTGTTGTGGTTTGAAAGTTGGGTACCCCGGCTTTAACACTATATTTAAGGATGTCTGATCTAGTATATGGCAATGAAAATAAATACGTGTATATATATTACTAATCATAAGAATTATCTAAGCAAAGATGTCACCACAAAAAATATCAGGATCTTCAGGATGCACTGATTGCAAGTCATGGCTTTTGTCTCTTTGAAATATAAAACAACTTCAGTCACTTAAGCACAAATTATGTAAATACGTCTGGGAGAAACATTTTCCCCCTTTTTGACAGTTCTCATAATTGCATTGCCTTGACGCCAAATGCTTCTTAAGGCACTATAAGAGGCAAATCCCCATGGTTCAGACATTAGTCCTGCTCCAGCCTGCCATGGTGTGCGGGCAGGCCTCCTATGTACAGGATGTGTCCAGGCCCCAGGTCCAGGCCCAGACAGCAGCAGTCCCATGTTGACTTTGGACTTAAGTGTCTTTATTGTGTGCGGGAATCACGCAGTGGTTTTTCATCCAGACGCACACCACCACTTGTAGAACTGAAATACTGAAGGACAAGGTGTATTAGCGAAATTGTCTTTTCATTTCATAGACTTAAAAAAAAACAAAATAAGATGAAGTCACCCTTTATATTTTAACACTCTCTGTGCCATAAACGTTGTAGCCTTCACGGTACGTGGCAAAGTTTTGTGCGTTTGCTGGAGGGGCTGGTTTAAAGTTCTGGGAATGTTTTGCTAATTTTAGTTTTTTTGTTTCTTGGCGGGATTTATAGCAGAACTCTACCAACGCCACCGTCATCGCTAGCCCCAGCCCCCCAACCAAAATATAGAAGACCCCTGCCACGTTGCTCAGGCTCAGTGCACTTGTCTTGTCCTGGGAAAGGTAAAAACCAACATTTAGATATCTTCAAATGGCGAACGTAAGAAGAATACATATCACAATGAAGGTAAAACCAATTTACTGTATCTAGTATATCCCTCTTGAGCCAAACCTGTCACAAATGCATGTTTTTGCTAACATAAATACCACATTATTTGTTTAAAAAAAACCCTAAAACACAAAAAAATCATTCTGGTCTGTTTAGCTCAACACTTATATTTTAAATCATATCGTCCATGTTAATAATATAAACGGTGAATGCAGAATGCTAGCTTTGCTAACTTTGCTAACCCTCTGTGGCTAATGCTAATGAGGAAGGCGGTCGTGGTCGTACAGGTCTGCAAATCGGAACGCTTCAAACTTTACACATTACATTTTACATCAAATAACAAGTTGAAGAAGGCGAATTGAACCATTTTTGCTGCTATTTAGGGCCAAACATTGAAATTCATTTATGTGCATTCTAATCCATCAAGCTTCTCACTATTGCTTTTCTATTTAACCACTAAACCACTAACCTAGCCAGCCTCACATGCTTAGATTACTTTCAGATATATGTGAATGAATTGAGAACACCAATAAGCTAAATTTCAATTCAGGTTTGGATGACACAGCAGCATTCTAATGGTTTCAATTCTTTTCTGATAATGGTATGGAAATATATTTTATGTATCATGCTGAGTGGAATAATACGTTGGTTGGAATAGAGATTATTATTATCTAATGTGTTTATGAAATCTAAACTAATGTTAAATTTTAAAATTTGACAGATAAGCAAGTGTTCACATGTCATGTTTGAGAGGATGTATGCTGGCATAGATGTTTTGCAGATGAAGGTCAAAATGCATTTTTGTACAAAGACCTGCAGCGACTGACCTTACTTCCAGAGTCCTTGGTTCCACATTCACCTTTATCGTACCACCATTTGTTTTTCAGCTTGTCTAAGATGCCTTGTTCACTGAGTTTCAATACGGCAAGGTTTACCGGAGTTCTTCACGTGGGAAATAACATAAATAACATTTAATATGTTATTTTATGTTATTAAACTTTTTAACTACTATGTACTAAGCAAAGCGATATTGTAGGGTCCTGGCCAAGACATATCATAGCAAGCAACATTACAATAAATGATAACCCAAAATGACTACCCTAGCATGCCAGACCCCGGCTATATCGCTTTGAGTAATCGGCACACACTGATCACATTAAGAGACAATATTTAAATTAAGCAGCTGCTGCACAGAATGAGAGAAATGACATATGCAGAAGTTTATGTGGTGCATTGTGTGCCATGGGCAGCCCTAAATGTTTATTAAGTTGGATCTAACAGGAACCCTTTCTTGACTTACAGGCAAAATGAAGCAGTCCCCTTTCATTACCAACAGAAGCTGAAGCTTACAAAATGCAAATAAAGACATTTTATAGTAATCCGGTATGTCTAAAGAGCCAAATAACTCCTGGAAGGTCTGTGTTCACAAAAAACAAGGCTGCTTTTAATCTGATTTAACAAGGACTATGTTTTAGGCTGTATATTATATCATGGCAAGTTGACTGCTAGATTTCTAAGCGATATTTTCTTTCAGAAACAAAAAGCAATGTTTGTAATTCAGTAACGGTAATGGCTTAAAACTTATTTTGGATGCTTTTGCAAAATGATCAAAAAAAACCCATGCAAAAGGATGATTTGTCATTCCTTTTTACTGTCAGATGAAGGGCAAAGTTATGATGGATTCTTAGGCTGCATTCTGTATGTTCAAAAGAGACACGTAAGGTGTAGGCAGTACAGTCGAGTAGACTTAAGGAATCAATGCCTTTTTATAATATTGAAGTTTTCAGTAGTTAAAGGGGTCTGAGTTCTACAGTTACAATTTTCCAAATTGAATATTATGAAGTTTTTTTTCCCTGAAATTGGATATTTGCAGTAATCAGATCAGAAAGCATCTCACATTTCTGCATTTAATCACCATCAAATGTGATCTGATCTTTTTCATAATCACAGAGATGAAAAAAACAGTAAAACCACCCAAACATGTATAGATTGTCATATCCATCCATCCATCCATTGTCTTCCCCTTAATCAATTTCTGGGTTGTCATATTTTTATGAGAATAACATGCAAACAATGAAGATTTTTTTATTTGTAAAGTTTGTATAGAGAAGGGAAAGGTTTCAGAACCATTTCTAACAGTCTGGATGTTCATTAATCCACATACATATAGAGAAACTGTCTACTAATGGAGCTAGTTTGCCACTGTTACTTATTTGCTTCTCTCCCAAAGAGTGGTCGCCCATCAAAAAGTATGACAAGAGATCAGCGCAGAATACTTTGAGATGTCAAAATAACCCTAGAGTCCTATATCTCTGTCCACACATCTACTATATGTAAAGGACTGGCCTTGAATGGTGTTTATTGGAAGACTCCATGGAGGAAGCCACTGCTGAGTAAAAAAAAAACATTGCTGCACGTTAAATATACGCAAAATGCATTTGAATGCTCTACAGAACTAATACACACTAAAACATATTTTGTGAATTGATGAAACCAAAGTTGAATTGTTTGGGAAGAATCCCATGAAAACTTCAAGCAATCGTGAAGCTCAAGTAAAGCAACCAGAATGGTTTCAGAAGAACAAAATACAAGTTCTGCAGTGGCCAAGTCAAAGTCCTGACTGGAACTCCATTGAGGTGCTGTGGCATGACCGAAAGACAGAAATTCTTGTTAAACATCCCAGGAAAATGCATGAACGGCAGCAGTTCTGTAAAGAGGAATGGTCAAAAATAGATCTTGATCAATATGCCAGACTGATCTCCATTTACAGGAAGTGTCTGGTTAAAGACAGAAGTGCTGTCATTGTTTGTATGCAAACATCATTAAACATTTGAAAACATATACATGTTTGGGTTTTATTAGTTTGTAGTTTTTTGGGTGTTTTTTAGTTGATCCCATTTGATGGTGATTTTATATAGAAATGGGATCAATTCCAAACACTTCAGATACTTTTTCAGGCCACTGTACATGGGAAATGTGACCAACAATAATATGTTTTACTTTTAAGAAAAACAATTCTATTTGATTGAATCCTATACTGTACAACAGGAGGTGCCAAATCTTGAAGACAGGGCCCACCTAAAAGGCGCAAAACAGACTCTCAACCAGATAAATACAATTTTAAAAGTGTTGAAATATGTTCAATCCATTGTAATGCAATGTGTTTATTACAGTTTCCAAACATAGTTGTATAGCATTTAAAAAATCTGGAAATCTTTCAATATTGCTAAACACTACCCTCTACGAGAAGAAAAATTAAGCAAACTCTCAGTAAAGTAGTAGTAAGGACTAAGACAAGCCAGTAGAGGGAGCTACATGCCGTTATATGACCATTTTCTGTCCTCCCCATATCAACTAATCATCCTCATCAATGTGTACACATGATGAACTGTTTCCGGAGAACTACTTTATCAGTAACTAAATGGCAGATGGGAAAAAAATAATAATTTATATAATGAAGGGCTATCCCAAAATGGGTTTCAGTGGTTCCCCAAGGTTTGTTGGATTGCACATGCCTTACCAAATATGTGCACAGACTGGTTAAGAAATAGAATAAATACATATTTTACGATAGTTATTATTACGTTAGTATTGTTCTTATTAATCATGCGTAAAATTTTTTCATAATACATATAAATCCGATTGACAGAGGGAGTGGCTCTGTGAGCAGAAGCCTATACTGCCTAATTTATATTAGGGAAAACACAGGGTTTAGATTCCCTTAAACCCCAATCTTTAATCAAAAAATTAATGCACAAAGGTACGTTTACAATAGATAAAGGCATGCAAGTCAGAGTCAGAACATTTTAACTATTCAGCAGATTATTTGTACATTCTTATACTTAACTGATACTTTGGGGAACTACTTGTTAAAGAGTATTGACCTACTTGTTGCTCAGGTTCTGAATTTGAGGTTGGAGTCTCTTGATTTTAGTAACGCAATATGAATACTGAGTTTGGGGAGGATATAGAGACTTTTTCTTGCGTGGCAAAATTTAATTTGCAGCCATTGTCAAATCAAAAAGTGTATCTTTTTTGTTTGAATCCATTGTTACTTGGATCATAACTTTATCTTTCAGTCTCTAAGCAAAAAACGGAAAGACGTGTTGAATGCAGGACAAGACAGGAAAATATGTGCGCACACACACACACACACATGCGGATGCAGACACTTACAATGACCACATACTAAAGATAAGTATATATTCACATTTGATTAAGCATCAAGTTTTATCTAGAAAAATCTACAGTTACATGTTTTTGCCTAAATTGAATATTTTATGGCTTTCAGCAATTTAGCTCATTTACTCAAACTTTCTTTTTCTGAAAGTGAAATGAAGACATAGAAAAATGGCAGTCAGGTTGGTCATGAATCGAGTAGTCGTTAGGAATGGTGCTTTTACAGTGGGAGGAGACGGCAGAGTTTCTTGATCTTTTGTGCTGTATCCTACTCGCTCCCTGTTTGAAGTTTTTTTTTTACCACAGCTCTGCTTGAATCTCCTTCCACAGAGCACATGGTCATGAGGCAAGCCTTGGATCAACAGGGGCACATCGGGGCGCCACTGCACTGCTCATCCAGGTAACATTGGCTGCATTTTGAAAGCCTTACAAGAGATTTGATTTGAAATAGCCCAAACATGTAAGTCTTATTTTAATTGTTTTTACAGTAAAGATTCTGATCTAATTCACCAATGATACAGCAACATAATTACCGGTAAACAAACATGTGCTGCGCATCACATAAACTAATCACTAAAGTCTAAAAACAGTCATATCAAATGTCCCATGATCACTAGCCTTTAGAAGTAATGTCTAATACAGTTTTAAAATAAAATCTATACATCATAAATTGGCAAGTCAAATCAAATTCTCTTCCAAATGGAGCCCCTGGTTACCGTGTTCAGATGACCACAGAGAACTCACTGCTCTGGGTTGCCAAAGAGCCAGTGTTGTGTTGTCACTCTTACATTGGGTTTCAGTGTGAGGGTATTGGACAGAGATGTTTCTGAATCAGATTTCATTAGAATTCTCACGTTTGCCTGCAGATGCTTAGTCCCCTCAAGACAACGCTGTCCCCCGTGCGGGCCCTAATGCCCAGGTGGTTCAGAGAGTGCATTCTTTATCAAAATGTAGAGGTATCAATATTGAATGAAATTCTAAAGCTATGAAAATTCCTGAAGCTTATATGTTGGTATGTAGGTATATAAACAGACATAAACATTTCTGATTTCATAACTACATGCCAATAACTAAGAAGCCCTGTTTAAATATAAATATAATCTAAATATCTATCCAGTAGCCAAGTAAAGGGTTCCCACTCGATCACATTAAACTAATACTGAAAGTTAACCTTTCTCCAAAGTCTACTGTCAGTGACTCCAGCCTTGCCGATTACTCCATTGTAGGATACCGGACTTTGGTGACATTAGGCTGACCTTAGAGTCACCTCCCCCGCTGCCGCACTCTCCCTTGTCGTACCACCATTTGTTTTTCAATTTGTCCAAGAGGCCTTGCTCATTCAGTTTTAATACTGCCAGGTTAACAGCATTTCTTGAAACGATAAAACATAGCTTGTAAGAAAATGAACAGGTCCGTGAGAAATCTAATATATTAAAATATTAGTAAAGAAAAGGAATTCATTATCAATGGTTAATATAGGGGGAGAGAGGGACAAATTGGGAGTATATTTCACTGATGTTAAAGGGTAAGGGTACAGCAAAGGAATCTTGTAGAAGTGGCATGGAGGATACATATTTCTAACTAAAGTGTGTGGGATAGGGACATTGTGTCATTGCTGAGTCAGAGATATACACATTCAGCATGCAGTTTAACGTTCATCACAATTGACGGCAGAGCAGCATTTAAGTTGCAAATTAATTGGATAGGTTTCAATAATTATATTTAGAGCAATGCAAAGGGAACCACAAACCAGTGGAGAGAGAGGGATGGAAAGAGAAAAATACCAATGATGGGAATGGTGAAAATGCACATTGCCATTCAAATGTCTATATGAATTAATATACCATAGCTGTATTTAAGAAAAAAGAGAGAAGTTATTTTAGACTAGAGACAAGACAAAACAACCAATGTTCACTTGGAAAGAGAAGAAATGAGGTAGAAATGGTCAAGCAATTTCAGGGTAGGTGGAATACTAAATAACATTGAGGACATTGTTATAATATCCCACCCACCCTAATGCAGATCCTTTTGGTGTCGCCACACCGTAGCCTTTAGAGTCCAGGTTTCCGCCCACTTTCATGGTATCGCACGGTTTCCGTTGCTCTATGTACTCGTTCATTGTAGACTCAAGTAGAAAGGCGAATTTTCCCTTTGACTTTCGCACTCGGGACACCCCATCTGGAGTTGTCTTGGCAAACACTGAAGGTTCAGCTGATTTCATGTAAGACCACATTTTCTCATAAACAGCTATTTTGGAGCGCTGTATTTCAGAGAAAAAAGAAAAAGAGACATTTCAGTGAAATATTATTAGCAATAACTACAGAAATACACCATGAGATACAGTATAATCTTATGGCAAAAGAATCATGGGAGCAGACATGGTCCTTTCCCCGACAAATTAGAATCAAATTTGAGACAGAACATTATCTGCAACTTGTGTTTGACTCTTTTACTGCAGGAACCTCTGCAGCGGTACAGAAATGGGCTTCATGCCAGTAGCCTGAAGTCTGACAATCTGGTCACACAGCACATACAAACTGCTGGTCATGTGGGAGACCAGGATTAACAACTGCACAACAGATCTCTGGTGTTTGCACTAGCAATTAGGATTTAAGCTTTAAAGAAAATCTGCTTTTGTTGTTGTCATGAACTGTACTGTGATAATGTTGATGTTTTTTTAATTGAAACTGGAGCGCACCTTCATAAAATTATAAGGCTTTGTGAATTGGCTTATGTGGCTAATGGACCAGTGTTGCTTGGTTGTATCAAATATCCACAAATGAATACGCTTTGATCAAAATGAACCAGAATTCATCTTAGAGTCGCAGCACCATTTTCAAGTACTTGTTAATGCACCCTATATGTTTAAAGAGTTGGACCCTAAACGTTAGCTGTTTGGTGGTGGTACATTGGTGCAGATTGGCAGCTCTGCCTTTATTAAGCATTCTACAGATATTATGGAATGTAGTTGTAGCAAGTAAAGCTAAAGAGAGCTTCAAACGGAATTTACAAAAAAGGTTGGCGTTATATACAGCCACATGAATAATCTATCTGTGCTGTAATGGATTGGGGCCATGTGAGTGAATCATACTTGACATATGCACAATTCCTGTTCACTGGAGTGATCACACAAACACTGTGGAAGTGACAATAATAGCTGATGACAGGCAGGCCATATTGTGAAGATAAGAATTTTTTGTAGGAGCAAGAAGATGCTTGTATAGAATCATTTTTGGTCATTGCTATTTTCTGCTTTATTTCATTAATAGTTGCATTCTCTGTGATTACCTCTTTACACATGTTCTATTTATGTGACTGGCTTTGAAGATTATTCGGCTGATATCAAGAGAGTTAGTGATTAATAGTGGCAGTGGATTCCAATTAATCATCTACAACAAGTGCTTACAATAGTGTTTCCACTTCCTGCAAGAATTATAGACTATATGTCGTTCAGGTTAAAGCCACTGTCACATCTGCTTGGGGTACCCTTGATAAATCACAGGATGTCTTCAAGGCCAACATTAATTATCACCTTCTCACTTGAAGAAAAAAAACGAAGCACCACTGGAGCACATTTCAGTGAGTATTGAATATATTTTGATAGATTTTTTTTTAGTAAGCCACTTAGAGAAGTTAAAAAAAACGCACATAAAGACTCTTTTAGACACTAGCTCCAATGCAGCGCATGCTGCTTTTACTATGACATCACACACACGCACACACACACACACACATGCACACACTTTTAGCAGATGAACATGTTTGGCTGAGTCAGAGTGTAAAAACTATCACACGTGCCTGTGTTTCAGGCTGTGGCCAATCACAACAGCAGACCAAAACTAAAAATAGATCTAACTCAGAATGGCACATTGGACGGGAGTGACATTTCAATTTCTGTGAAACGGGACATTTCTCTTAAAAACTGAAAAGATCTTTGGAGAGTCTGCATCTAGACTGTGAATGCAGACTCTCCAAAGATCTGTTTGTTTGAATGGGACAGTGTTTATTAATGAACAACAGTTCCGTAAATACATCGGATTGTAACCTTGGGCTAATTTCCATCTGTAGTCCCACAGTCGCACTCCAAAACACACACTCATTAACTCTGAACTTTTGTACATGTTTTTAGTGGTAGGGGAAACACTTGGAGGAATCCTACGCAGACACAGGGAGAACATGCAAGCTCCAGACAGAAAGACCTGGAGGTGAAATCAAACCCAGGACCTTTTTGCTTTGAAGCACAATTAAAAACAACATGGCCTGTTGGCACATTGTATGAATATTTATAAAGACTGATATTAAAAATCACCAATATAGTTTTGATGTTGGTGAATGTCTTACTTAATATTCACCAATATCTATCCACTATAAGTGAATAAACAGAGGCTTACCCTAAAGAATTCCTTTGTGGAGCCTGAGTCCAATGTCCCATAAGCAATCTCTGTCTGCTTGGCCAGGTCTTCAGCGCTTTCGATGGGGGAGACCATCCTCTCTACTGTGAGGAAAGCAGCCAGGTTTGCCGTGTAGGACGAGATGATAATAAGGGTGAAGAACCACCACACCCCTCCTACAATCCGGCCAGAGAGGGACCTGAAGAACCAAACACAGTGGGCAAAGGTACAACATATATACACGCACACACATACAAAGACACGCTCTCACAGTCCTCTCTTTTTTCCCACATAAACTTGCCACACCTACAAATAATTTTGGTTTCATCCTAATGTAGCGGGTTACTTTGTAGGAATTCAGCCTGTCATACTGGCCTCAAGTACTTCATTTATACTTTAAAACAGTTTTACACAATCACAACGACCAGGCTGTAGGAATGTATGCAGTTCTTCTGATTTACAATGTATAAATTTGTGTGTGACATAGGATTACCAAAGACTCTGCAACTGATGAGTCATGTCATTTTTTCACATGTACCACATCACATGCAGCTGTAAGTATAGTGACTTTTATACCGCAAAGCATAGAAACAAAGACAATGCTATTATAATAACTAACATTATACTTATTCTACACGTCTATACTTACGTCTTTGTCCACTTAACAAATAAAACAAGTTCGCAAGCTCTTGTAGATTTATCAAGCTGTGCAGGATTGCAATGTCACAGCAGTGGAGGCAAATGAAACCTGCTCACTATTCCAGTTTTGCAGGCTGCAAATACATATGATCTATTCTCCAGCACCCACAATCAAAACACAAATTGAGCAGGCAACGAAATAAAGGCAAACTTGTTTGACACAAAAATACTTTATATGCACCAAGATGATGACCGTAAAATGAAACATGCAGCAAAAACACGGTAACCCTCCAAGAATCATGTGTGAATGATATGCAATGGCCCCTTTGCATTTTACAGCCCTCAGCATGGTGGATATAAGTTATTTTGTGGATGCAAAGTATCTCAGCCAGCATGCAGCTTAACAACAAATGAATGCAGAGTGCAGAGGAGTAAGGAGCATGCTGTGGAGTGGGGCATGAGAGGGACAGCAGCAGGAAAGGCTAAGCTAAAAAATAACCAATATGCACCATGGCAAGATGAAGTGGTCCATACAGGACTATAAAATGCAGTGTGATGATGAGGACAGCTGACAAATGGTGGATAACGGACACAAAAATAACCAACCTTGGTGAGATATCGCATCCTTGCTGCATGAAGGCGCCCAGGGAGAACCACAGGCTATTAAAAATCCCAAAGTCATTTGGCGGGTCTGGAGGGCTCTGAGGGTCTTTGGCCTCATCATTCTCATCCAGGTGCCACTCATACGGACTGAAGCGGCTGACCAGGAAAAGCACCACGCTCACACCGATATAGGCAAACACTATGCACATCCAAATCTCATAGGCCAGAGGGTCAAGGAAGGAAAAGACACCTGGCTTGGACTTTTGGGGCTTCTTTATCATAATCGAGATGCCAAGACTCATAAAAGGCTTTGAGAAATCTATCACTTCTTCCCGTACCAGTGTTATGGTTAAAGGAGCCACTGCTATGTCAGCTCTCTGTAGAAATGGAGACAGGCATAATCTGCATTAGACTCAACAATAAACCAATATTTAACATTAAAAAGATAGCCACTTTATAAATTGACACTATGGTGAGACCAACATGCATGGTAAGGTTGTGAAAACCTATGACCTTTGGCTCTGTTTTGTATTTTTTGTGCTGTAAAACGCAAACAAAAAATGTAGGGCTGATTTCAGATACGTGCCCGTTGAAGCTTTGAGCATTCAAAACGCACGTTGACCACACTGAGACAGACGCTTGTCCGCCCAAAATATAACCCATGCGTTTTTTTCCTGAGACCATGAAGACAAACATATACATCTGACTTTTGCTGCTATAGCTGTCCTCTGGCCTGTATTGTCCTCTGCATTTCTATATAGATTTAACCAGGGCAGCAGCTGCCGCGCTGGTGTTTATGCATGCCGCAGGGTAGGCCTACTTTGTTTTGCTTTCGGCCTAGCGACAATCTTATTCTCTTCTCAGCTGTAACTAGAACCATTTTTTCTGCTCTTCCATTTTTTGCCAAAACCACAGAGAACCAGCTACATAAACAGACAAGGCAAACGACTGCACATGTACGGCTGTGCATGAGCTGGCACAAGGAAACTCGTGATATGTTCTGAGCACAATTATTGTCTCCATAGATTACTTACTAGTAATTAATCTACTTTCATTCCTAGCTCTTGAATAGTAAACAAAATATTATGCATTATGTAAAAAACCAAAACATTTCAATAATGTGCCCATCCCATCTCGTGTGTTGATACTTACTCCATACACCAGTTCACCCACCATCCCGTTCCACGTCTTGGTCTCAGGATCTCGGGCTCCATACTTCCCGTCTGGCACGATGGACAGTTTATATTTGATCCCAACATGCTTTGCAATTTCAGCAGCTAAATCCACACAGTAGCCTTCATATCGCTCATTCCCATCCGTCTGCAAATGGTTTTTCTTATACATCACATATGGAGCTTCCTGTTAATAAACACAAGTGTTGAGCTAATTATAAATAAAAATATGGCAAGAAGAACTCATGCTCAAAAACATGAGGCCTTGTTGCACACAACATGCACAGCAGAGGCAAAGACCAAGGAGCGTATAGCATTGGGATATTATGTAATAAGAGATCTTAATAACATTAAATACATTTTAAAAGGGATGAAAAGGCAGGTTGCAGGTGGAGAATTGGAATGCTGGGATCGGAGAAGAAACTAGGCAGAATATAATATATATAATAACGAGACCAAACAAATCAACATTTAGGCAACAGAGGGGATTGCATGTGCTTTGCATTAGGTCAGCACAAGGGCGGAGCAGGCTGCACAAACAGGACTGGTCCGATTCATAAAGTAAACATCAGTGACTGCTGTTTGGATAGTTTTAAGATTATGTAAAAATAAATAACAGCAATGTTTGTAATAGGTTTTGTCTGACAAGAAAGCATACTGCTTTAGAATCTTTACAGATACTACAAGTAACACATGCCGTAAGTTGAGGCTAGACTGTAAAGGCCCTTTACTAACGTTAAATATTATCATACTTATTTATGTTGCAAGTGTGTTACCTCCTAATCAAGTACTGTGTTTCAGTGGATAAATGTTGTTTCTAGTAAGGCACCTAACATGGAAAATGATTCATTCATTATGATCTATTCATCTTCTCTACAATAGTGCATGTATGGACAGAGAACATCCCTTCCTTATTTCCCTAATGTCAATGTTGATAAATTATTGTACCTCTTTATATGATTTGTTTACTTAATATTAACTGACAATGTTATGATGTCTTATGATTAACAGTGGTGTGATGATCTATGTATGAGGACAATGACTCTGCTGACACTGAAATGGACAAATAATTCTGAATTTGCGTAAGATGCGAACATAATAAGCAAAGTCAGAATGGACGAGAGGTCATTATTTTAAATGTAAGATAAGGCGCACCTTATTGTACATTTAAAAATGGCCTATGAATATCTATTGTGATCTTTATGTGTATTCTAAGCCTGTTAACAACTGAAACATGTCGAGAAGAGGGATAAGCAACCACAGGCTCGCACCCTTGGTGGATTATGTCTTCTCTTGGGCAATGTGCTTCTTGTCGTAAAGAGTTTGTCAACAGAGGCACTGACAATTTACTTAACAAAAAGGATTTTTTTTTTCTTTACTTACGTACGCACTTAATGAAAACATGATTCCCTATCAGTAATATTATCAAGAGCCGGTATTGTGACGTCACTACTACAACAGCCACCTGATCAGATAAAAATCAAAATGCTTTGACACCCACACGGATACAGTTGAAACACTCTTGGTGAATCGACTGTTTCAACATGTAGTGAGTGGATGGAAAGCAACGCAAACCAAATTTTTCTACCGTCCCAGGACAGATTGCAACAATGGACACCTTGACCTTGAGTGGCAGAAGTCTTATCAAACTATTATAACCTGGTTTAGAAGTGTACCATAATAGTAGTGACCACAATTGTTCGGTTTTCCACAGAGGAGGATTCGTTGGTGACCTGCTGATCCATTATATAAACAAACTTTTCAAACTCGTTCCAATAGCCAATCTGGAAAAAACAAGAGATTGGCCGTTAGAAAGCACAATATATGGACAATATTACACATAGAGCCTCCCAAGTGCATAGGAGTTGGTTGGTTCTATGTGCACAAGGTAATATTGAAAGCTTGTAGTGGGGTACTGGTCCTTCATACGTTTCATGCACTATAGATCAGAGTAGGTGTAATCTATTCCCAGCTAACTTACATAACAGGAAGCCTCACAAAAAGAGCACTTGACAATGATCAGTTAAATAGCACCAAGACACACTTTACAGTCTGGTGGTGCACCCTTTATTTTGACACTATGTATATAATTATATCAAAATAAAGTCAATATTAATTCTAAAAGTGAAATCCATACTTACCAAAGTTTCACTATACATCAGGCCATGGACCCCAAATATATGTTTATGATTGTTTTTAAAGTGACCTCTGTATACACATAGACTGAATCATAAGTTTAAAGGCACATGTATATTCACACGTATATTTATAAATCCGGGTGCTAATCTTTGTGTGGAAAGTAAAATAGCATGGACAATAGTGGTTTAAATCTATCTTCTCTATCTGCATTGTAATGGTGCTTTCAGACCGCCAACGCTGAAACGCACATTCTCTAGTTTTCAGACGTAGGGGTCTTCAGACCAGAAGTACAGTACTGGCACGCGCCGGAAGTGGCGGAAGTAGTCGGCGGGCTCTGATGCTAACAGAGTTTAGCTAGCGGCTTCTTGTGTACAGATCTTCTCCAATAATGCAGCTTTGCAGCGTGTCTGTGTTCAGAGACCTTCCACAGACTTTATATAACAGTTGTATGTGTTCACGGAGGTGCGCAATAAGTTTATTTTATCATTAAACGGTACTTCCGCATTGACGAACACAATCAAAGCAGTTGTATAAAGTCACGGGAGCATGAAAACTCACATGTTAACAAGCACTATATCCCCCATTGTCAACCCTGGTTTAGTCCTGATGTAGCTCCTGTTTGGCTGTTTACGAGTATTTTTTGCGGCTCTCTGATTGGTCGCTGCACGAACGTCCCGAGGAAAGGTTGAGCAAAATTTGAACGCGCGTCACCATTGACTTTGCATTGAAAGCCGACGCAGCACATGATCCGGTCTGAACGCGGCATTAGTCATCCACATCCACCCATGGATGATGTGGACGTGAACGACTTATGCTTGTTTTTATCACCTACACCCAGGAGTTATGTGACAATTCCTTTTTTTTTGTTACTCTCGACAATGTGAGAAGATGTATCATCACGAATCAGAGCCTTTAGCTTAACTGTTTTCTCCAGCCTGCCTTATGGTTTGTTTGAAAACTTCAGGTAGAAAAACTCTAATATAACTCCATACAAAGCTATGTGTCATTCCGTACTCCCACTGTTTATTTGTTTAAGTTAGTAACTAAATGTGCAGATTGGATCTGTAGACATCTGGATTACTGTGATCAAAGAAACGGTGGCCTCTATATCACACGTGGCTCACACCTCTCTCTTGTTTCTGTTTAGCAAAGAACCTCAGCGCCTTTTATATGTAAGCCAACAGCCCTGGGGGAATGATACAATCAGATTCAATGGAGCAACTTTGTGATTCACAAAAAATCGTTCACAATCAATTATTATTAAAATACAGTATTTGTGATTATTATTTTCTCAAAAATAGATCAGTTCTAGTCTTTGTTATACAAAAAATCTTCTGATCACAGCTTACAGAACTGGTAAAGGGAAAGTCTCTTGTATTTATTGTCGATATTGGCTGTAAAGTTAAATAATAATCTCACACTTTTGCATTTACTGGGTGTATTTTATGCTTGACACAATGTGTCAATTTTAACTATCAAGCTCTACCTGTCTTGAAGGCACTTGATCTAGAATGTGATATTTCAACATGTCCGAAGGTGAGGATTCATAATATTCTATCAACACCTGTGAAAGATCTACGGCCTGATAGAAACTTGAAATGGGCCGTACATAGCATCTGGCCCAGGTAAAGATGGTGCAAATCCCATTGTTGCTGCTGTTATCTTGAGATTTAGAAACAAAATGTAAAGGCAACATGTGATTGCCACTGAATCAAACTGTTGGCTGTGGATATTTTCCAATCTTCACTCAGCTTTTGGCTTGCAGTTCCTGTACAAATCCAAATTGTATGACTTGCACAGCCTGAGGATCACCTGTTTTAAATATTTACTCTTCAGCTAAAACAAACAAAAGCTTGAGACTATATTATATTTTCATTAAAAAAATACAGTGTAAATGTACTTCACCGTTTCTGCCTTTATTAACATACCCTACGAGGCCCCCCTGTCTTCATTTCATACACATCAATGGTGTAGTTAGCCCTTCGTCCAAAAGTGTCAAACTGGATGTTTCCAGTCATCCCTTGAACTTGGACCTAAAGAATCAACCAGAAAGGACTTGTTTCCATAACAACAGAGAGTGAAAGAGAAATTCTTTTACTTCTCTGTTTAAAGAAGCGTACCATTTTAAGTGCTCGCTCAATGTCGATGCCTTGACTCCATGGCACTGCAGGATTGGCCAGGCAGTCCCCTGCACTGCCCCGTCGGGAAACATCCACCCGTTGTCGTCGCAAGTATCGGAAAGCCTCCGCAATCACCATGATGGCATCATGGGTCAGAGCGGATGTGTACTACGTCCATATTAGAGGAATAAAAAGTCACACACAGTTACACACTTCTGTTTCATACACTAGGACAGGCAGGACTAGGGTCTAATGTAAAATGGTGCATTAGACTTTTAGTCTTTTAGTAGAACTTTCACTCTTAACTTTCTCACATATACAGCTGTGCTTTTCAAGGAGGTGAATGGAGAATGTTATTTTTAAGATTAAAACAATATCTTTGATGACGGTAAATAAACTATACCTTTAGTGGAGCGTTTTTGGCTTCTGGAAATTCTCTTTCATCCAAGCGCTCCCAGCGTTGGAGAAATTGCTGCACAACAGGACTGTCTGGGTTGATGATCTGGAAGCCCGTAATGTTGGCTCCACCTGCAATGACCCTGTCCAGACTCATGTTGGAAAAGCCCTGAGAGAAATGCAGAAAGAGCTAGGAAATCCCTTAGCTGCCAATCAAAGGTTCTAATCTAGAATGTGAAGCGCACTAATCAGCAGGATAGTTTGAAATGTGCTGTACTTTTTGGAAGCGCAGAAATCGCCTTTGTTCTAACATTTTTAGGCTCCTGCATTCTGTTCTTACCAGGTTCGCGAGGATGTAGTGGTATCCTCTGCCATTCTTTCCTGAGATCACAACCTACAAGAGGAAGGAGGACAGAGTGAGTCACATCTGAGTCCTTTAGTTTGTGGCACCAGAGAGTTAAACCTTAGAGTAGTGTCTTGTGTAAGTTTGTGTGTAGGAGACACACAGAGATGAACCATGACGACAGCGCTTGTTACTTTGTATTAACTTCAACATGTAAAAATAAGGTCAAGGAGTATGCCTGAATTGTGTTTTCACTGTGCTATTCTCACAGCCCTCACTCATGTCAGACATGGATTCAGACTTAATTAAACAAAGAATGTTACTGTCTCCACAGGCAACCACAAAAAAATCTGTTTTTTAAAACTATATAATTTTTTAATCCAAATCTCTATTTGGATTCTCCATTGCACAAGATCGGAATAACAAAGAAAACCTGGAGGTGGATACTATTTTTCCTCCTTAGTCCCTCACTCCTCCGCTGTTTGAATAACCAGAGCTGGATATTGGATATATTGGAATGTATAAAATGTTTTGCTGCTAACACATAATTGTTCCAAACACATTTGTTGGAAAATGAGACATGTGTTTATTTATTTTGGAGCTTGTTTTAAATGCCTTTTTTCATGAATATTAGTTAACTACTGTCCCCAGTCTCCTAAACGGTGCATATACCATAGCCAGTAAAGAATATGGACTGCCTGTATCACTCCCGTTAAAAGTGATAGACTACCAGTTACAGAGCTTACGTGAGTGGCCCTTCCTGCCAAAAAAACAGTGCTTTCAATCCCTGCGTAATGGCCAAGTAGTGCGAATCGTTGTGATCAGTGATTACATGTGACTGGTGTTGCCATTGTTTGAACCAGGCTCTAAAGCAGTTTTTGACTCATGGAAAGTCGTCATAGGGTTTCAGTGCATTTCCGTTTCCGGAGGCATAACTGCAGGCAAGGAGCCAGAATGCAAAGATGGCAGCCTGTGGAGATTGGATTGCCAACCACTGCCATTGGTTAATATCAAATGCTTCTCAAACAAAGAGCACAATGAGATTTTAGTCTTTACACAAACACATCTCTTTTTGTAAGAGATCAGCAACATCTGGTTGTGAGCTTTAGGCAACAGAGGCCACTGAATCAAACTGTTGTAATGTTGAATATTAGCTTCAGTTTTCACAAAGGTTTCAAATGAATGCTTGCTTCTTGTTTCAATCATTATTCTGCTGTCTTAAAAAACATCTGATCTACACCTGTGCCTTTCTCAGTCTGATCTCACTCCCTCAGGAGACCCAAGTGTCCTTGATTTGCCAAGGTTGGCCCTGAGTAAACACTCAGAAGAGATGTGGCTAATTCAATTATGGGCTGTAATGTTACGATTTTACTCATCTCTACAAATGAAAGTAACATTTTGTGAGAAAAGCCAAATAGCTATTCCGGCCTCTTATTTTTCAAACAAACGCACTTCTATTACTGCATGTGCTGCTGTGACCTAAGTGTAACAACACACTAGACTAGAGCCTAATGAAGCGCTGACGCCTAAAGAGACTACTGGCCAACAGTGCCATTTGTCACGAACACAGGGAGGCAGAAAACTCACACTTTTCTGTCAATGTGTCTCCTTCTCCGCTTTAGAAAGTCGTTCTTCCGCAATGATACTTAATCAGACAAGCAACCAGTGACAAGTGACTATAAACAGGTGTTTTTCACATCTCCTGATAAGAAGGTAGCAGTGACTTGGATTTTTTTGATACCACTTGCCATTTCAATGATATTTTTTGTGTTAGAATAGTTAAATAGTTCACCTCAAAAATTCCCCTGACAGCTGCTGAAGTATGTTTGGTTGCAGACAAAACACAACAGTCTTTGAAATATTTGTTGTGCTTTAACATCACTTTTAACTCACACTGAGCGCTTTCAAGCCACTGCTGTTCACTCCACAAACAACAGAACTCATTGTTGAATACAGTTTTTGCGTGATACTTGCGTGAACTATGGGGCTATTAGTAACGCAATTTCACAATTCCACCTCTATATCAGTGTTTGTGCTCATTTTTGTTCAAATTACAAAATGGTTATAAAGCCTGTACCTATTGTTTACCCAGAGCCATTGAGTTCCCTGTTGTGTTCTGTGTCTTGGTGGATTAACAACAACAGCATTGTTTTGTCAGAGCTTTTTGACAAAAATTAGACTAGATGTATTAATATTCTGTTAATTGTTGTGTCAAAATAGTGAAAATACCCAATATATTTCCCACAGCTGTATCTTTCCACTTTTAGAAAGACGAGTGTAACATGTATATGAGCCTGGATCCTCCTGAGATTTCACTCTAATTAAGCAGATTGCAAACAAAGTCCTGTTCAGAGCTGGCAATGAGCCCAAGTGGCTTCAAGCGCTTTTTTGTTAAAGTGACTTGTCATCTGCCAACTTGCCCAACTATGGTGTGAGCTTTCAAATGTTGATAACCGTCCCCATTCACCGTAATTATGGACTTGTACCTAATGGTATAGGCCTCTTGGCACCGAGGCTTCCTAGTGAAAGTGTACCAGCCATTTTTACTTCAAGTTTCAGCTATAAGATTAATTTTCTGAGGGCTGAAATACAGTACACATGATTCAATGGAAATAACTTAAAACCACTATTTCGCTATTTGTGGATCTGTCCAAAGAAAACGCATCTCCATGGAAACAGGAGATACAGGCAGTGCCTTAAAAACATTCAAAAAGCTAAAAGGGTGAAAGATAAATTCTGGGGCTTTTATGATAAGCAATATAAATTAGTGCTGTCAGTTAAAAGCATTAAAACAGCGTTAACGCAAACCAATTTTAGCGGCATCAATTTTTTCATTGCACGATTAACGAGAGCACAAAAGTTGTAAAGGCCGTGACAGCCTATACGCGTGCCGCTACGCAAGGCTTGCCACTTCAGAAGACGCGTGTGTTGTCTGGGGGACGTAATCAGTCATCACAACCATCTCGAGGTCTCAGCCCAAACATGAAGCTATAGTACTTATATACTATATATACTTTTAATGAATACATAAACAAAAGAGTAGCCTTTATTAGACAATTCAAGTCAGTTCTATATGCTATAAAAGCAAAAACAAAAGCATTTGATTGAGATTTGGATTGAGATTAGACAATCCTAATTCTTTTTGAAGGGGATTTTTATAAGCTTAATCAAATCAAAGGGCATTTAGAACAGGAAAATATGTGCGATAAATTGTGACTAACTACAGTATGACATGATGAAATATTATAATAGGTTGACAGCACTAACATAAATACAGTGATTTAATTTTTTTTATTATTTATTTGAATTAGGACTGTGGAATCTGGCCTTCACAAAATGAGCCAGATTCCACAGGACGATCATCAACATTATATTGATGTGTTGATTTGGACATGACATTATAATACAAAATTTATATTAATAGAAATAGATGACGCCTCATTTGCTAGAAAACTGAATATTACTTATACCCTGTTGCTTTTGATACTGGCAGACACTAAAAAGTAGGTAGAATGAGATTGAGACCCGTTCTGATATGTTGTGAGTTCTTATGAAACGAAACTGCACTGTCCTTCGCACATCCCTGTTGGAGCTGACATCCTGCCAGTTCACACACTTGTTTGTTTCAAGGTTTTCTTTCAACTTTCTGCTTTTGGAAGTATAAGCTGCAAAGATGTAATTTAATTCTTTGATTAGAAATCCCTCCTTTTCTGTCAACCTTTATCAATGCTCCACCACCACCTGTGATTTTTGTGCTATAGTTTTACTGCATGCTGCCCATTATACACATTGTTGCTTTTTTTCTACTGTCTATCAGAAAGTCAGTCAAAGTGAAATGTCTTACCAAACCACCTTCATATATTACTACAACAGCATGACGTTTGTAGAACATTTTTGTATAACGATTATGTATCTTCACATTAGGTGAGAGCACAGGGTAACAGGAAGTGGATAGACTGGGACCTTCCATTTCAGATGTACAGTAAAAGTATATGATTCCTTGAAAAACATTCCTTTACCTACTTGAATTTTTATTAGTAAACGTAAAGTCTGCAATTAGGTGAAAGTCAGCCCGCCAAGCCGTTTGATCCGGCTTGCAGCGGTAATCCAAAATTGTGAGGATCTAAAGAAAGAAAGAAAAAGATTTATTTTTTTTTTTTAATTGTTTTTGTACTTTATCATTATTATTATCTTTCTTATTTTGTCTGCTATTTTGAAAGTTGTTTATGATTTTTTTTCTTTTGAATAATAATAATCAATGACTCTTCTGACCACTCTGGAAAGCCATGTTCCAGCTTCTTCTCTCTGATAGACATCTCGTTTTGCTAACAGCTTCTTTTCACCAGCTGTTAAAAGTTTAAACAAGGCACTTTCAATGATCTTGCCTTTGTATCGATTTCAGAGTGTCAATTGTTTCCTGTTTTGTTTGTTTTATGTCTGTACTTTAAACCTTGTTTTATTGATGCACTTGTCTTGTGCACACTGGGGACTTTTGCAGATGTATTACAATGTTTATACTGAAAAAGGGCAAATAAATGAATCTGAAACCGATTTAATTTTCTCTTTAGGGGTCCGGCCCCTGAGGAGACTGTCTGGTGAAACTCTGGCCCTCTGACAAATATAGTTGATGACCCATGATGTAAATTGTCTACAGTGATGTTTGTATTGCTTGTTAATCCCTTTAACAAGCAATGAGGGATTGCAAAGCTGTGAGTCTGAGGTGGTAGTCTGCAGTACTGGGGCCCCTCAGGGCACTGTCCTCTCACCGTTTCTCTTCACCATCTACACTTCAGACTTCACATATGACACACACAACTGTCACCTGCAGAAGTTCTCTGACGACGCCGCCATCGTGGGCTGTGTGTCTGAGGGGAACGATCTGGAATATCGGTCGGTTATCACAGACTTTGTCGACTGGTGTGAGCGCAACCACTTGTGCTTGAACACCAGTAAGACCAAGGAGATGGTCATCAATTTCAGGAGGAAACCACTTTCCCACACGCTGCTGAACATCCAGGGGGAGGACATTGAGCTGGTGGACAGCTTCAAGT